TCTCTCTCTCTCTCTCTCTCTCTCTCACGATCCATATATTTGGCATTCACATTCAATCTGAATGAATCATTATTCATTCCATTTTTTTTTCTATTCTTTTTTTCTTTCTTTCGTTCTGTACATTCATTCATTCATTCAAATCAGCCATTCTATTCCATTTCAAAAATTTTTCTTTTTGGTTCTTTTTTTCAAATTTTGATGATTTGTAGCGACTGTAGAATATCCAACTTTCCAATGATATCTGTCTTATATATGTGGATATGGATTGTTGATGTTTGAAATTCTTTTTCGGTTTTTTTCTTCTATTCTTTAATTCTCTTTTTTTTGATAGTAAGAAAAGCATCATCATTTTTAAATTGTCCAGAGATTTGTCGAATGTCGTTTTTTGTTGCTGTTGTTGTTGTTGTTGTTGTCGTTATATGGATGAATTCGTGCCGTTTCATCTTCGATATACCATGTGGTGAATGTTGAATGTTCAAGAATGGAAAAAAAGTCTAAAAATTGGTTTACCAGTGTGTGTGTGTGTGTGTATGGCAAAGAAAAGTTTCTGGAAACTGGAAAATAAAATGCTTTTTTCAGGCCAAGCAGCAAATAACAATTCATTTTATCGTTATATGCACTGTATATACCAGGTTCTTCAAGATAGAAGCAAACCGAAACTAAACAAAACAAAATTACTTCCCATCTTGTACAGAATTTGTTTTCGACAAAAGTTTTTTTTTCTACTTCAATTCTTAAACTTTTTTTTCCATTCTATCCATCCATATATATATATATGGACAGAAGAAAAACGTTTTTTGTTTCGTTCATCTCTTGTTTATTTCATATTTGGCAATGGGGAAAAAAAAGCTTTTTTCTGAGGAAAAAAAAAAAAAAAAAAAATACACACCATCCTTGAATTCTAGATTCTAGATCCACGGGATTCTCATTTTTTTTTTGCTTTGCTTTTCAAAACAATTTGTAAAGCTTAGCAACACTGTCTCTCTCTCTCTGTCTCTCTGTGCCTTGAGATTATTTGATTTTGGATTTGACCTAGTGAAAGAAAATTTCATTTTCATCATGACAATAAAGATGATGATGATGATGATGATCACTGAACACGTTTTCAGCATTATGGATAACTTTATTTTGTCAGCGTAGACAAGAATTTTTGTTTGAGAGAGAGAAAACAAAGAAAAAAAATTAAAAAATCTTTACCAACAAATTATTTTGTGTATTCTACAACAACAACAACAACAACAACAGCAAAAGATTTTTAATCAGAAAACAGTGAGTGAAAAAAAAACTAATCTTGCATAATTCTAAAGAATATTCTGTTGTTGTTTCTTATTTTTAACCCCTTGGATTTTTTTTCCTCTATACTCACTCAATGTGCCAAGATAATTAATCTTTGCCTTTTTTTTGCATACAACAAGCGAGAAAAATTCTGGTTATTATTCTTTAACCAAAAAAAAAAAAAAAATACCCATGATAACAAAATGTGGAAAAATGAAATATATGAATGAAAGCAGTAAATTTTGTAAATAAAAAAAACAAACAAACAAACTGCATGGGGTTATATGGGTGAGCATCGAGCTTTATTGTGTTCAATCACGGACGATGATGATGATGAAGATCCAAAAAGCAAAATGTCGATGTTATGATGTTGAATTGAATTGAATTGAATGAACGGACTAATATTAATTAATCGTACATTTATTCATTCATTCATTTATTTTATCTTTTCTGGTTTTCTGGATGTCCTGTAGAATTTTTTTTTTTTTTTGTTTTTCATTGTTTTTTCCACTTTTTTTTTCTCTCTGATTATAATTCATGATCATCATTATTAATAATTCATTTTGATTGTGGGTGGGTGGTTGTTGTTGTTGTTGTTGTTTTTTATTATGAATTTTTATTGATTCTATACGTTATAGGTCAGTTTTTATGATGATGATGATGGAGACTAGCACTTCTGTGGGTGGTTGTTTATCATCAATTTTTTTCAATGATTCTTTGATTAAATTGGACATTGTGTTTGGTACATACGAATTCTGTTTGATTCGCTTTACTAAGGGCTAATGATAATGATTACAAAGACTTTTCTCATCATTATTCTGTTTCAGATTTTACTTTGATTTGATTTTCTTCCCCTTGAGTAGTTTATTTTGCTTTGGTAAATATAGTATATTCCTACACACATGAACACACAAACACAAATTGTGATTGTGATTCTATTGGCCATTGGTCAGTTTGTTTTATGTATGTATGTATTGAGCGATAACGATGATGAGTAGTACATGGTGTATTTTTTTTTGTTTTCTCTTCAATGATCATTTGCTGATCAAAACACACCTCTATTTCACTGTAATTTTTTTTTGTTTAATATAAAAAACGTGTTTTGATATACTCTAACCACCATCATCACCACCATCACCACCATCACCACTATACTATTATCAGTGACATGTTTAGGAGAAAAAAAATGGTGTGTATTTTTTTCTGTTTTTTATTATCATTTTATGTGTATGGAATTATGAAAAAGTAGGTTAATTATAATCTACTTAATGGCTTCAAACGATTGCTGTTGTGTTTCAGTATGAATATATGAATATATATACGAAACCAACAACGTATTGCCGTATCGTATATATTCACCGAATTTTTTCTTCTTCTATTTTTTCCGAAAAACAATCACAGCAGCATGTTTAGTCGTTCGTATAAGTGACTTTCGTATAAATTCCAATGATTGTATACAAGATATAATCCAAAATAACAACCAATGTCTACAGAATCTAGAATAATAACAATTTCACGGCTGTTTGGTTGTTTGAATGTTTCAAATTTATTTTTATTCTCACTCTTTTCTCTCTCTCTCTCTCCCTTTTGAATTTCATTTCATTCCGATTGATGGAACTTTTCACTTTTTCTTTGATTCCGGAATTCATTGTCATGAACGAAAAAAAAAAAAAAAACGAGTGTTGAATGGTATTGTTGTCTAGTGAAAATTGCATTGACTTTTTTTTGTTGTTGTCTCCCTTATCGCCTGGAATCGATTCCAATCAAACTAGAGCCATTGATTTGACGACCAGCAGAGCGAATATTTTTCGTTTTCGTTTTCGTTTTCGTTTTCTTTTCTCTCTGTTGATCTGTGTCAAGGCAATGTGGATATAGAGAATAAAATCTACTAATTGTAGTCTATTATCAGACTGTTCAAGAATATTCCACATGTGTTATGTTATCAATTTATTGCTGTTTTATTCTAGAGAGAAAGAAAGAGAACAAACATCCAATAACGACTATTTTGACCTCCGTTATGTGTTATTATTATTTTCATCCAATTTAAAAAAAAAAAATTTTTTATTTTTTCACTAACTTCAAAATTGAAAATGATTTCATGATTGAATTCTTGAAATGAAAATCAATCTGTTTCCGATTCAAACGATTCAATAATTGAAACTTTGTCAGCCGAAAATTTTTTTTTTTTTTTTTTTCACTGGATTTTCAACCCTATCTTTATACTTGAATTTTGTTGTTGTCGTCGTCGTCGTCGTCGTTGTTGTTGTTGTTGTTGTTGTTGTTGTTTTTCTTTGATTTTTTTCCAATTTCAATTTTGTCGCCATTCAATATTTTTCATTTGCAAACTGTGTATGTGTGAATGCACTCTGGGATTTCTTCCTCCCACACACACACACACACACACACACACACACACGATGCATTCATGAATTGATTTGCTCCTTGCGGCTTGAATTACGAAAAAATTTTTTTTTTTCACAGGATATGATTCTGTATATATATGTGAATTCATCCATTCATCAATTTAAATTAAAAATTTATCTGTTGAAGACATCAGTGGTGAAAGGAAAAAAAATAATGAGAAAAGAACGAACGAGTGAGAGAGAGAGAGAAAAAACATTTCTTGATTCATTCCTTGATTTCCAATTTGATTTTCTTATTTTTTTTTTTTTTTTCTTCTTCTTCTTCGTTCGTTCGTTAACTGTTCAATACAATTCATACGTTGCCCAATTGAAATCGAAATGATAGAGAGAGAGAGAGAATGAAAAAAAAGATACAGACACAGAACTTATCCATATTTATGTGGAAAATTGAATTTCATATACGCCATACACTTTAGTGATTCCCATTTCCCATCCAGTTGCATCAAAATCAATATTTCAAAGAATTTGTGATGGGAGAAAAAAAATTGAAAGAAAGAAAGATTGAATTTCTTCACGTTTTTTTTGGTTTGGTTTGGTTTGGTTTCGTTTGGTTATTGTTCATTTTCTTTTGGGATTTTTTTTTTAACATGAGAATTTCAAAATCATCATGAGAACATAATGATGTCATGATGATGATGATTGTCGACCATCACATCATCATTATGGTTGGTTCCATGTTTTTCTCTGTTTCCATGAATGTTGAGAATCAGAATGAATGAAAAAAAATCTGCATATTTGATTGCATGATTGTTGGCTACATAGAATTGTATTGGATTTTTTTTTTCTGCTGCTGCTGCTTAACATATATTCTCATTTTATTGCATTAAATTTATTGTCATGATGATGATAAACAAGTGAAAAAATATCGCTACAGGAAATTTTTTATTCTGATAATGATCAATGATGATGACCTGTGTGTTGGTTTGGTGGGTGGGTGGACGGTTTTTCAATGAACCTGCCTAGCCATATTGAATGAAAATTGTATTGATCAAGGGATGATGTAAAAATTGGCAAAAATATGTAAATCATCGGCTGTGTTTTCAAGTTGTTAGTTCTTGTTTTTTTCCATCATACTAATAACACATTGATACATTCGCAAACATACATACCATTGATATAAATCATTGGATACAATTAAATTGATTGGATCACTAATGCTTAATACATTGAATAAACTGAAAAAAACTGCCGATCGTTTTTTGTTATTTCTTGTTTTGTCTTATTTTGTTTCTCGATAATATGGCCAAATTATGATGATGATGACAATTTTTTTTTTTTTCATTTTATTCATTTCATATATAGGTGACAATGGTGAATCGTGAATCGGCTGAAAGAGCCGTCAAAGATGCCAATCCAATTATTGATGGTAGAAAAGCAAACGTCAATCTGGCCTATTTAGGTGCCAAACCACGGAATGGATTCCTACAAAATGGTAAGAATCTCGCTTTTTCTTTTTTTTTCGTAATGATTATTCATCTACATTCAATATTCTTGTGAATATATATTCTTATTATTCATGTCGGCTTGCGACTGGTACTATACATGAGAATTTGACTACCGAATCATTGTTATTGATTAATTTTCGTTAAGTGTGTGTGTGTGTGTGCATGTTTGCCTTTTTATTTCAAATTGACATTCTCATGTCTGAATGGAAAATTATTCTCTTTTTTTTTGATTTCTTTTCCATTGACAGTTTTTCCATAGATTTGTAACCATTTTTCAAATGTAAATGTTGTGAAAAATATGCCATTGGCAATTTCATCATTATTTTTATTCAACCCAGTTTTATATACAAAATTCGTTTGAAACACACACACACACACGATCGCACACAGATTGTGAATTATGCATCGATCATAATGATAAAAATTAGACTTTTTATCTGATTTATTAATCAAAATGAAAAAAAAGACTCCTACATACATAGTGATGAATCATTATTGTCTTGTTCAAATATATATGGCCAAAGTGGCAATAATTTAAATTTCAACTTTTGTTTTTACCAATACAAATGAATGAAGAATAATTAATGCCATTTGACTTATTCAACTGTCGTTGATTCTTGTTCATTCTGTTCTCATAAACGAAACAAGACCGATGATGATCTAATTTAATGGCAAAGTTTTCGATCGAAAATGTGGCCATCATTTTTAAAACGAATATATTTGAAATAAAAAAAAAAATGAATGAATTAGAAGTTGAATTTGTAGTACAAGAAAAAAAAACGATAAAATTGAAATAGATTTTTCATCTTACTTGTTATTAAAACTTGTCAGTTTGAATACTTGAATAATTCTCGAAAAAATTAACCATAATCAGAGGATTCGTAATTCTTGATTCTGATTCTTTTTTTACTTTTGATTTTCATTCGATGTATATGTAATGTATGTAGGATGAAAAATATGCAGATCTATGCAGTAATTGACAATTCTTGCATTTTTTTCTCCATTCATTCATGAATATACATCGTATAATGATAATGATGATTCTTGATACTGGCGGTTCATATGAATATTTGGCTGACAAAACTTTTGAATAGATAATGGTAGCCTATTCTTTGATTATATCATCATCATCATCATCATTCATTCATTCACCAAAGTGTGATTATCACAGCGAGATTGATAATTTCAGCTTTTTTGCCCTTGTGTTGTTGTTTATTGTTCTCATGGCTACAGATTATTATTATCACATCATCATCATCATCATCTCATGGATCTTCGTCATCATCATCATTGTTGATTTGTTTATCATCCAATTACTTATTTCACAATCTGTATCTGGCTGTTATCATTTTGTCGATTATTATATCACCAACATGATGATGATGATGATGATGATATGAATCATAATTAGCTTCAATATCATTTTTCATTCCATTCGATTAAATAGAACAACAACAACAACCAGAGAAAATAAAAAATGATCAGAATCATCAGTGTGTTTCCAATCGATTCCATCATTATTTAGGTTTGTTTCATTGAGAGAGCATAAGAAAAAAAATCTCACCGGAAAAGCAAACAAAACACGACGATTGATCAAAGAAAAAAAAATTGGATTAACAAAAAAAAAGAAAAAAGATGACGATGATGATGATGAAAACGTAGCAGTGTGTGTGTGTGTGTCGTCAGACATATTGGCCATAATAAGTTTTTTTTTTTTTTGGCGATAAATATTTGGAACACATAAAACACATGATCATCGTTTCGATTTGATTTGATTTTTTTGGTTATGGGATTTATACATGTCAAACAATTTTTTGTTTGTTTGTTTGTTTTTTGCCGTCGGTTTTGCAACATCAATTTTTTTTTCTCTCCATCAATGTTGATGGATTGATTGATTCGATTAAACCATCATGTGTTTCACCATCATCATTTTTATCCTTCGATCATCATCATCATCATCATCAGCAACAAATGATGATCGAATACTTTGGTTTTCGGTTTTCATTTTTTTTTTTTTTTGTTTCTTTGCAATTTCCAGACAATTTTGCTGGCCCATAATTGAACCGAATGAAGAAAAAGAAAAAGAAATTCTAAATCTGTTGGCATTATATATTCGTTGACTTAATGTTTTTTTTTTTTTTTTTCATTCTGTCACATGTTTTTGTTCTATTACACACACACACACACATACACCCACACATTACTGAACAACAACATTGTATATATATAACAATTTAATTGAAACAACAACAATGGTGATGACATCCAAACAAAATGTTGTCATCCATTTTCAACAAGCAATGTATTGGAATTTATATTATCTTGATGCTATGAACAAAGAAATTTTTCTTTTTCTTCATCACAAATTACAACAACAACAACAACAACAACAATTCACATTGATTTACTGATTGAAAGTTTTACATACATTCTTTAACATTCATTCAGTTTTAATTACATTAAGAAATTATTATTATTATTATTATTATTATTATGACTCATGACCATTGTCACATTGTGTAAAATTTATTTAGCAAAAGAGAAATAACTATAAATACAGCCATTTCATTCAATTTTTCGATCCATTAACAATTAGCCATTGAAAACGTGTACAGAGTATTCAAGATTGTCATTGTTTTTAAAATAGTGGACATGAATGAATGAATGAATGAATGAATGAATGGCTAAATTACTTACTACTAACACACATTTTTGACAGACAGGCATACAGCACAACAACAACAACAACAACAAACTATTGGAAAAAAAAACATCTAGGTGCTTAGTAGTATAGTGATTCTATTTTGTTGTTGTTGTTGTTGATTTTTATTCACAAGAATTTTTTTTTTTGTTTTCTTCAGTTTCGTGATCACGATTTATTCTGTAATAATAATAATAATATTCATTTGTGCATTTGTAAGTGAATGTGTGTGTGTCTAGTATCATATTTAATGGCCATCATCATAGTATTATTATTGAAGACAGGAAAATCATTTTCAAGAACCAAAAAACAAAAAAAACAAACAAGAAAAAGATAGGATACACACGATCAACAATTATCCTTTGGTAACAACAACAACAAATAACAAAAAAAAAAAAAAAAAACAATCCGGGTTTGTTCCTGAGAAATGGCCATTCATTTTCGTTTTTTTTTTTTTTTTGGTTCTCTCTCTTTGGTGGATCATGGATCATCAACATTTGATGACAGATAGTAACAACGAAAGTAGTGAACCATCAAGTCATCATTATAATTGTTGTTGCCGTCGACGACGACTACGACTACGACGACAAAGTTATAATTCAATTAGGCATTTTTTTTTTTCTTACTGTCATGTCTCGTATTTATGGCCTCAAATTTTTTTTTTTTATTCTTCAATGCTTGAGATCTTGGAATCAATGAATTTTTGTTTTTTTTTTTTTTTGTTCATTTCTCCCAGATATCAATTATTCATTAGTTTATGATAGAAAAAATAGGTGAAAAAAATTTTGTAGCAGCAGCAACAACAACAGCATGATGAACAACATGTCAAAATATTATTCCGATTCTGATTCTGTAATAATCATATGGAAGACAACAACAACAACAACAAAAATTTCAGAATTAATTTCTTATTCCGTTTTTTTGTTGTTGTTGTTGTTAATAATAACGACGACGATGATGATGATGATGATTATTCCATGTTAATGAACCATGAAATTCTTTGTTGTTTTTTTGTTTCCATCACATGTCATGTAATATATGGGCGTGTCACATGTTATGTGTTTGTAATATTTTTGACATTTAATTTGTGCATATGTTATAGTATTCCATATTTAATCGAATATAAGCTGAAAGAAAATTCTTTTCTCTGATTCTGAATTCGATCTTTGTTGGTTGGAATAATTCACATTATCATCATCATCATCATCATCAACTCCAATTATCATCTTCATCATTTGGTTAACACAGAATAAAAAAAAAAACGCTTGAACTTTGTCTATGTGTTCCATATCGAATATTATGAGTACAAGTGAATTATAGCAATAAAAAAAAATGGTGATGATGATTACAAATTCTAATCTAAATCATACAAAGAATTGTTTGCCTTATTTTTCATTCTACATGTCTCATTTTGTGTTTCATTACATTTTTTTGTGATTCTTGTTACATTTACATTACTTTCATTGTTTCATATATATATTCTGGCGATATATTCTGGAAACAAAACAAAAAACATTTCACATTATGTCAATAGTGTCCGGGATAATGATAGCAGCAGCAGCAGTCATATAGATTCTTATCAAAAAAAAAAAAAAAAAAATTGCTTCATCATAACCATCATCATCATCATCATCATCATCAATGTTCATTGCTTATTACATTTCTATAGTGGGTATTATCTGTCGAAGGTTTTTTTTTGTTTTGTCTCTTCATATATCTCTTAAATCGTATCGTTTGTCTCATGTTGTTTTTGTTTTCTATATGCTGACAATCAACAATGATAAGGATTTGCCCATTCAAAACAAAATAACGAAGGATTTCTTTTGGTGAATTGGCATCTGCTTCAATGTAAAGTGTGTGTGTGTGTTTTGGGTGATGGTTTACATTTTTTTTCTGTCTGTCAGTCTGTCTGTCTGTATTATTACATTTTCTGTTTCCTGTTCATGTATATATATATATAGAGTGTTAGAATTGATAATTTTTGTGCTATCCAGCTAAAATCAAATTGAATTCAACTTTTTTTTCTTTGTCTAGTTTTCTCCGGGTTATTCGTGTAAGAATGAAAAATATCATCATATAGATAATATCACAAATTGAAGTGGATACTACTTGATTCAGTTTGTTGTTGTTGTTGTTGACATAACGGACGATGAAACTGAACAAAAAAAATTGTATCAAATATGATGATGATGATAAGATGGACAAAAATTTTTTTTTTTTTTTTTGTTGTTGTTGTTGTTGTTGCCCAATAATTTTATTGACCATCTGCGAACATTTCATTCACATGGACACAGAAAAAAAAACCAATTCCAATGATTAAATCAACACTGTATGTCTTTATTCAGTTATTTATTTATTTTGCTGTTCATTTGATAATTTTTTTCTTTTTTTCTGATAGAAATAATTGCAATGAAATTACTTTATCAACAAACAAACTGAATATTCATGTTTGTATGTTTATTCTGTATAAATTCTTGTATGTCGGCATTTTTCAAATGATGGAATTTCATTCAGAAAAAAAAAAAACCAAAAAAACTACGACGACGATGAATAAAGAAATGGGAAAAAAAGAAAATTTTCATAAATTGAATATGAATAAAAAAAAAAGAATTTGAATGGAATGGAATGGAATGGAATGAAGTAGGACTTATTTATGATGATTATAGTTGTGTTACATGATGAAAATTTTTAAATTGAAATTCATTGAACACTGTACATGGTTCATTATTGCAGTAGTAGTAGTAGTAGTGGCAACCACAGAATTTATTAAGAATATTAAGAATCAAGAATATTGTCTTTTTTTCTGGATATAAATAAGTGTTTGTGTGTGTGTGTGCATGTGTGTCTTGTGTATTTCATTTATTTTTGACATCAATTTTCTTCTTCTATTCGATATTTATGTCTGTTCACATGGGTGTCATTTGGTTTATTTTTTTTTTTTTTTTTTGTTTCTACACATTAATTGAACACCATTTAATGTCCACATTTTCATTGATATATTTTTTGATGGCTTAGTTGATTTATATATATATATATGTTTTTTTTAATATGAAAAAACGGCCATTCGTGTATATGGAAAACCAATTTTTTTTCTCTATATGGAAATAGCTTTTCCACTGTGAATAAAATCTCACTGAATAAAATCGAAATCAAAATATTGATTTTGATGATGATGATGATGATCCATACGTATCAATCGATCCATAATATAATGATAACTACAACCAAAAAAAAAAACTAGTAGTAATGAACCATATATAACTGAACTAACTGAGATCGTCCACCACCGCCACCGCCACCGCTTTAGATTCGCCTCATTGATTCAGTTCAATCATTTCAATACACACACACACACACAGAGAGAGAGACACTACATATTGAAGAGAATATTCTAGTTAATATTTATAATGGTTTGAGCTTTTTTTTTATTCTTGATTCTTTATTTCATCATCATCATCATCATCATCATGATTGTATTTTTCATATCAGTTAGTAATGTAGTATAGTAGTGATCTGGTTGTTTCAAAAGTTTGAAACCAGGAAAGAAAAAACGATCCATTTTAATCTTAAAGTTCTCGTTTTTTTTTCTTTGATTGCTTCTTCATGTTGTTGTTGTTGTTGTTGTTGTTGTTGTCGCTGTTTTTTTTTCTCTTCCTGTTTCCCATTTATAGTCGCTTGTTGTTGTTGTTGCTGCTGTTGTTGTTGTTGTTGTTGTTGGCGACACTATTGTTATTCATATTCATCTCATCTTTGTGAGTGAAACGAATTTTTTTTTTAAATATTCACCATTCTATCCAATCGCAAACCAAAAAAAAAAAAAAAAAAAAATCAGTAAATGAATGGATGGAAAAAAAGACACTGGAAACTTTTTTTTTCTCAATGGCAACAATGATAAAGTTGACAATACTGGTTATCGGTTTCCAATGAACAATCAATCTTTGGATCAGAACAAAAAAATTTTTTTCCCCACCAACAGAAAAAAATTCGATGATATTCGATTATCGAATATCCATCAATACATAATTAACACAATTTATTTATTGTTTCAAAGTTTCAAATACTGATTGAACATTTTATCGAAAATCATTCAGAGTTTTTTCTTGGGATATCGTTTTCATTAAAAATTAAAATTGTCAACCAACCAGAAAAAATAGAGAAAAGTTCAAACAAAAAAACAGAGAAAAAAATACATGATGAGCGAACCTGTTTGGGTAGATAATATTTCGAAATTGTCATTTTTTATTACACGGATATTAATAGCAACAACTGAATCGATTTTTTTCCCCATTGTCTTTTCCTCTTAGTTTGATTTATTAAAAATCATCATCATCATCATCATTATTTTCATAAGAAATTGTCCATTTCCTATATCGATCCAATATATATAATCACTATTTACACATCATCACATCACATTTGGTTTTTTTTGTTTTCTCTTTATTTTAAACTTTTTTGTTTATATTTAGATTTTGGTTTTGATTTTTTTTTTGCAATATTCAGTGGTGATCAATAATTATCGAACCGAAATTCATAGAAAGAGTGAAAAAAAACAAATAAAAAAACCGGCATACAAGTAAACACATGTTTTTTGGTAAGAATGAAAAAAAACAAAACAAAAAAATTCCAAAAGGTCAGTCTAATCAAATCAACCCCAGACCCGCTGTAAACATCATAATGTATGAAGTGAACATGCGATAAATCGACAAGCCAACCAACCAAACACACACACACACACACACACACACGAAGAAATTCCATTTTGATCGAGAATTCTGTTGAATAAAACTTTTTTTTTCATCTCCAATGGTGAACCAAACATTAATGGTGACCACACACACATTGACAAAGAAATGAAACAAACAAACAAAAACAACAAAAAAAAAAAAAAAAATTCGGGTCAGTATGGCCACTATTGTTTTGTACATGATTTAATAGTTGTTGTTGTTGTTGATGATGTGTTTTGAATAAAATTTTTGTTTCATTGTTGTTGTTGTTGTTTTTGTTGTTGTTGTTGTTATTTTTGTTGTTGTTGTTGGTATTGTCAAATTCCATACAAAGTCTGGAGTATTGTTTTTTTTTAACCATCGAATAAAAATATCTACACTCTAGCAATAGCAATCTATTTGTGGTCTTGGCATTTTTTTTTTTTTTTTTGTTTGTTCATTTTGTTCTCCTTCATTTGTTCAATTTTTTTTTGTTCTTCTCGTTTAAATTTCAATTTCATTTGGCATTTAGCATCACAATGTGAATATAATAATAAAAAAAAAAACTTTTAATTCAAAAATAAAACAAAAACAAGAATCAAAAAAAAAAAAAAATTTTTTTTTTACTTTGTTACATTCAAATTTATAAATACAATGATAATTCGTAGCGATTTTTCATTGGTGTTCACTAGGGTACCACCACCCACCTTCCCCTCCAAAAAAAAACAACCAGCATTCAGCCAACCATTCAAACAATAATGATGATGATGATGATGAAAAAATCATTATGACACACACACACCACACATACAAAACTAAAATTGATCCAAAATACAAATTGTCCGATTGAATTCAATGTTTTCACTCCATTCATTCATTCATTCATTCATTGAATTCATTCATTATGAGAGAATAAATGTGTTACATTGTTCAAACAGGAAGTTATATATATATAAAACACACACACACACACACGAATACGAATACGAACAGAATATAAACGATAATAAAAGAATAACTCTTTTATTTTTCCTTCTTTTAAACTAGACAATAGAATGAATGAGAAAAAAACAAAACAAAACAAAACGAAAAATTCATTGGGCCATGATGATGATGATGATGATTGTTCCATTGTATATGATGTGCTAGATCTCATTTTGTAATATATAATGGCTATGGATGCTATTTGTCTATATTTTGTGCATACATTTGTATTGGATAGAAAATGGTCGATTTGGCAGGAAAAAATTTTTTTTTTTCAAAAAAAATAAAAAAAAATGAAAATTCGCTGAAAAGCTTCTTCTTGTCGACTGTCGGCTTCACTGCATTTCATTTTTTTTTGTTTCCTTAACTTTTATATTTATACTATGTTTTGTTGTTGTTGTTGTTGTCTGGAGTTAAACATTACACATTTATTCCATTGAAAAAGAGAATTTTTCTTTTCTTCTTTTTTTTCACTCTTATCTGTCGGACGTCTTGACCTTATCGAAATGGTGAATAAAAAAAAAGAAAAGACAGAAATTCTCACTATAATCTATTCTTGCCGCCGCCGCCGCCGCCATCGTGTCTTGTCATTTTTTATGTTCAATTCAAATTTATTCTGATCTACTACAGTTGAAACTCATCATTTAATGACTAGCTGGCTGGCTGGCTGGTTTTTTTTTTTTTTTTTTTTGAATATGATATAATGTCTTAGTTTCGCAGATAAACATATCCTAAACACATTTATTTTTTGGGTTCCATGTAGTTACACACACACACACACACACACACACACACGCAGACTACAATTCATGATGCTTCTCATATCACACACATGTATATGATGATGATGATGATAATGACAACGACAAAAGGATAACGATGACAAATGATTTTAGATCCGCAACCACCATCCCCCACAAAAAAAAATTTTTCCCTTTCTGTCTCTTGTTCAGACATTCTCAGAGTTTTAACGCGATGATGATTATAATACTGGCAAATAACGATTTTTTTTGTATTTGCTAGTCAACCAAGTCATTCAAACAATAATAAATGTGAGAAAGGTAAGATTCGGTTTCATGAAATTTGATACACACACACATATTGATGTGTTTTTTTTCTTCATCTTTTGTCTTCATCACCATTATCATCAACATTATTCATCGTTGTAATTAAATTCAACCGAATTTTGTGCATTGAAAAATTTTTCTCTTTTTCTTTTTTTCTGTTGAATTTATTCTCATGAAAAATTTTTTGTTTGTTTCATTTCGTCATTTATATAGGTTTTCCATTTTCATCGCTAACCAGAAATGCAATTGCAGCTGTATCCACTGGTGGTGGTCCTTATCCAACATTTCCAAATTCAACCGGTACAGCATTTGGACATGGATCACAATTTGGGTATGTATGTAAATAAACTTTAAAAATCAGAATCAGAAAGAAAATTTTTCATTCATCTTGTTCATCGTCATTATGAAACACGAGAAAAAAAAATTTGTTCTTTCATTTCCATGGAATTTTTTTCCTCTTTTTTTATTGATTTTGGAAATTTTCTCCTGCTTTTCATTATATTCTATCAGAATCTTTAATTGAAATCAAATTTTAAAAATGCTCCAATTCTTGTTGTTGTTGTTGTTTTTTTTCAGGAAGATTCTTTTTTTCCTTCATTCATTCGTTCGTTCGTTTGCTGGTTAGTTTATTTAATTCTATTCCATGCATTATGCAATGAATGAAAACATATAAGATTCTAATATCATACGGTGATTCAATTTGCGATGCTATTTACCAGCCGTTGTTGTTGTTGTTGTTATAGTTGTTGTTGTTGTTGTTGTTGTCGTCGTCGTCGTCGTTGTTGTTGTTGTTATTGTTGTACGATGATAACAATTTGTTTTTTTTATGCTTCTAAATCATCATCATATTATTTATATATATAGGAATTTTTTTTTCTCATTTCATTAAAAAAACTTTTTTTTTACCATCTATTTTCTTCTTCGTTTTTTCCAAAATTAAGTTGACTTTTTGCTGACTTAATTCTTTCTGTCTCTCTCTATCTCTCTCATACAACCAACCACTGTGGATGGTGGGAAAAAATGACAATAACAACAACAACCAGCCAACCAACCAACGAAAGAGAAAAAAAATTGCCCATTTTGATTCTACTACCCAGGGGGTTGGGTGTGTGTGTTGTGTGTGTATTTGCGTGTATGTCAGGCCTTGATGGCAAAGGTTTTTTTTCATTTCTTTATTCTTTATTATTCTTGAATGAGTCTTTTGAGAATAATATTCCTTCTTTTTCTCTCTCTCATTTCCATCATCATTTTTCTGATGATGGAAATGAATTCAATGTGAAACGACAGAAATAAAAAAAAAATTTGATGAAATAAAAGAATGGCAACTTGAATGAACTTCTAACGAAATGGGATGAAAGTAAAAATGAAAAAAAGAATAAAAAAAACCAAGAAGAATCCAAATGATCCACTGCAATAATGTTATGATGGAATTTTGGAATAAAATAAAAGTGAATAATGCTCATCAATTGAATTTGCTGTATAGAAACGAAAAAAAAAATTCTGTTTATTCATCATTTACTGAAACAAGAAGAACCAAAAAAAAAAAAAACAAATTTCTTCCTAGTATTTAAAATTACTTTTTTTTGGGGAATTATATTGATTATCATTAATATAATCGATTTATCAAAGAATTCTTGTTGGTTCCAGTGAATTTTTTTTTCTAACATTGATTTGGTCTAATGTTATTTGGTGATTTTTTTTTTTTGTTGGAATTTGATTGTCATCGATTGCTTTTTCATCACACATCAAACAATTATTTGGACGGTCATATCCGGACAAAATAGACCATTTTACCGGCTATATTTTGATCGATTTGTTCATCATCATCATCATCATCATCAATGGCTTCAGAGCCATTGTAATTTTCATTCATTTTTTCCGGATTTTTTTTTTGGTCTTCCGACGTTTATCGTTTTTTAAAAAACGTTTGATGATCATGATCATTTTATGAGAAAAAAAAGAAAAAAAAAAAGATAATAACCACCACCATCATCAGCTAGCCGCCCATCATTAACTCAAGACATGATGATGATGATGAGGATGATGATCGATGCACAATTATTATCACATGAATCTTTTGAATGAATTCACACTTCCGACACTTTACATTTTTCACAGCATTTTTTTTTGCCCATACATTGTTTAATTATTGGATTCGATGAGATTTTTTTTTCGTTCCTTTTCTTGATCTATCCACAGACCAAGATGTTACCATGTCCATGTCCATGTTCATGTTCATGTTTTCATCATCATCATCATCATCATCATCAACTTGAAGAATATTTTGATGATTTTCCGATTTTTTTCTTAATTTCTTTATTTTTTTTTCTATTCGTCAATCCAAAAGATTCTTTCATCAAAGAATATATAACGAGGCAATGAAAAAGTTTTTTTTTTGAACAACAACAACAACAACAACAACAAAACATCGAAATCGAATGAATTGTTTGACCAAAAAAAAAAAAAATGTGTTCGATGTTTTTTTATCTATGACTGATACTCAAGAGAATTCATTATTCAGTGTGTTATATGTAGTATTTAGTTTGTTGTTTTTTTTTTTTTTTGTGCTGAGAGGTTTTTTCTTTGAAAGGCAACAAAAACATGATGATGATGTATATATATATACACGATAAACTTTACAACTTCAACTTTTGTCCATTTTTTTTCTGCATGTATGTCAGTAGTATCGGTTAATTTGACAAAATTTTTTTTTTTACTGGCCATTGTCCACGACAACGACAACGACGACGATGAAGAAGATGAGAGATATTGGCGTTGTAGTTGTCGTTTTTTGTTTTTTTTTGCTGAGACAAAAAAAAATTTTTTTTTCAAAAGAGAAAAAGGGAAAGAATGACTATAGTTTCTTTGTGTTTTGCTGCTGCTGCTGCTGCCCGGCTCTTGTTATTATTAGTATGCCTTTATTTTGACAACATGAGATGTGATGTGACATTGTTTTTTGTGAACAACAAGAAAAAAAAATTGACATCTCATCATTGGGTTTTTTCCTCCATTTTCTTACTTTTTTCATATATATTCACATTCCCATTTGATGATCATCATACTACTTTTATATATAATATACACCCGGCAAAATGAAAAAAAATCTTTGCCAATCTGTGTCCATTATTAACCATATATAGTGTACCAATGTTAAATAGTCATCATGGAAATGGTAATCAAAATTGAATCATTTTTTTTACCGTTTATTTTGGATGGACCACACTGTAACTACTATGCACGCCACGTTTTTGCTACGGTGGGTGGTGGTGGTGGTAAAACTCTTTGAACTTTAATCATCATCTATCTATATCTTACTTTTCATACATAATGTTAACGGTAATTGTTGAAAACATTCGACTACATTCATCGTACATGTATAGTGACTCATTGATTTTATCAGCGTTTTATATCAGAAAAAAAAATAAATTTGAATCAAGCATGTTTTTCATTTTCGATTTCAGCACTAATACTCGAACAGTAGTTGCAACAACAACGAATAAAATTTTGAAATTTTTAAAAAAACTAAAATCTGCTCATCAACATTTAGCACTAATTGATTTGAACAAAAAATACCAAGCAACTAGAGCTGCTGATGAAATCAACGAAACTTACGAAAACGCTGTCACTTCTCGTACTGTTCTTCACGGTGGTTCTTACGATTTCAAGATGGTACAGCTATTACAGCCTGGAAGACAGATCGAGATCTGACTCACTTCTAGAAATTGATGATTACTGGAATTGATGAGAAGGAAAAATTTATGATCAACTTCATTCGTTCATTGGGAAAGAGAAGCAGATTGGGTAGATGGATGCCCCATAATTTGTCTGAAGAAAAACCTTGGACAACGTATAATGATTTGCACTTCATTGTTGCTGAAATATAGAGTTGATCCATTTTTCAACCGAATGATAACTGGTGACGAAAAATGGATAGTGACTTTACGATAATGTCACTATGAGAATATAATTGTCATGATCAAACACCAGTTCCAATGCCCAGACCAGTGCTTCATCAGAAGAAAGTATTGTTATCAGTTTGATGGAATATACAAGAAGTAGTTCATTTTGAGCTTCTTGAATCGGATCATACGATAACAGCAGAGGTTTATTGTCAACAGTTGGAGCGATTAAAATTGGCAATTGACCAGAAACGACCAGCGCTAGTTAATCGACTAGGAGTCGTTTTCCATCACGACAATAGGCGGCCTCATACGGCAAGAATCACCAAAAGAAAACTCCAAGTATTTGAATTTGGATGGGAACTACTACATTAGTTCAAATATTACCTCATCCCATTGTTTAATTCGATGCAGCAATATCTGGATGGCAAAAGACGTGAAAAATTTTATTTTATCCGTTGTTTGTTAAAAATTTAATTTTTTGTAATTATGGCTATTAATTGAACCAGATTGGTTCGCCGTTTATGTAAATATATATTAATCAGAAAAACCAAATGTTGTTGTTGTTGTTGTTGTTGTTGGTGTTGTTGTTGTCGGACCGGTCATATATAGGACCCAAGTGAATCCAAGGCGAAAAATAAATATAAAAATAAAAAATCTTGACAATCAATTGATGATAATAATAATAATTATCATTTTTAGGTCGATTTTTTGTTGTTGTTGTTGTTGTTCAATCATCATATATTATTATGCTGCTGGCTGTAATATACATGATGATGATGATGATGATGATGATGATGATGGTTTGATTCAGCAATTTTTTTTTGTTTCATCCTCTTCATTATTGTGCTGTTGTTCATCTATAGATTCCAAATATATCACAGACATTCATTCATAGTGTTTAATAATAGCCGATTCAGTATTCTTGGTGGCTTTTACATGTCTGAATACTCTATTTGCGTGCGTATGTACGAGTCTACATCATTAATAAATCACACAATAGTGCCTGAGTGGAAAAAAAAGTAAAACAAAGCAAAAAAAGCAAAAAAAACCTATGGTTAGGTTGTATATTATGTGATTCTTTAATTAAGCTAAAAAAAAAAAAGAAAAATTGCTAGGCCAGAATTTTTCATCATACATTATGATAATCAATCCATGATGATAATGGATAATTACCGCATTAATTGTTTTTTTTTTAACATTTACTTTTTTTTTTTTTGCATTGTTTCTAATGTCAAATAATGAAATGGAAAATACGCCCAAATTTGTTTCTTTATTATTATTATTTCATTGTTGTTGTTGTTGTTGTTGTTGTTGTTGTTGTTTTTTTTTTGTCTTTTCATATTGATTTTTTGAATTTTTTTTTTTATATATATATAGATTTCCTGCTCAACCACATATAATGTATCATCATCCAGGATCATCAGCATTAGCAGCTGCTGCTGCTGCTACAGCAGCAACTACACCACCTGCGGCAACATTTTTACCATCAGCAACACCAGCAGGTTTATTATTAACACCACCAAGCGCTTTCTATTCAGATTATGGTCTAGCTGGTCCTAATACAGCATCAGCAGCTACAGCTGGAACAACTGGTCCATTTCCGCCATCAGGTTATCCACCTGATTCTGGTACAATATTGACTACATTTTTAGCGCCAACATTTGCTGCTGCACCACCACCACCACCACCACCACCATCCACAATAGTTAGTTCATCATCAAATTCTGGTCATCATCATCATCATCATCATCAACAACATTATAATGGTACAACCGGTGGAAATCATCATCATCATCATCATCCTCATCATCATCATGCAGCAGCGGCAGCCGCAGCACAACAAGCAATGGTAGCTGCTGCAGCAGCTAATGCATTAGCAGGAATATCTGGACCACCATTACCACCACCACAATCATCAACAACCGGTGGATCATCATCAACAATGACGCCAACAAATTCAGCAGCAGCAGCTGCGGCTGCTGCTGCATTCTATCTAAATGGTCAACATACAACCAATGGATTCTTAACTGGTGTTATTACACCATCATCATCGAATGCCTATCTTAATGATACAAGAATTGGATAGTTTTTCATAAAGACAAAAATGAAAAAAAAATTCATTACCATAATCATCATCATCATCATCATCAATCATAATTGACCATTACAATGTAATTCATTCGAATTAATCAAAAATTGTATGGCGTCAATCATTTTTATTTTACTTTCTTCACACAAAAAAACTCATATATTTAAATCAATTTTTTTTTATTTTTGGATATCACTTTATATATATATATATTGAATATATATTACTTCTTATTATCTTCTTTTATTTATCATTTTTTTGTCTTCAAACAAATTCTTTAATCAACTTTAATTGCAATATATAAAATGAGCAATACACTCACCAAAATGAAAAATTTCGATCATCATCATCACCGGCATCATCATTGACATCATCATCATCGAAATACCAATCAATCGCCAAATATTGTTATTCATTCATTCATCATCACTATATTTATAATCATTATCATCATCATTGAAATCATAATCTTAATTAACAATTATCATCATGTCATTAATACAAAAAAATAAAATAATTAAATTAATCGATGGATGGCTATTTTCAACAACGAATTCAACAACAACAAATAAAAAAAAAAGAATGTCCAATTATATTCATTGGTGTTCAATTGATTTTGAGTGGTTATATGATTCGAATTTTTCATTTTTTTTTACATATATCCTATATGCACAATTGGCAAACATAAATTGTGGAAATAGTAATAATATATAATAAATATATATATCGAATCGAATCAATTAAAAGAAGAAGAATAAAAAAAAGAAACATGAAAAATTCATCAATGAAAAAAACAAGATAATAATTCTTTTCGCCAACAACAAACAAACAAAATGGTAAAGAAAATGACAAATTGATGAATAGTGCCTAAAATTCATAAATATTCACACTATACATTCAATTACACACACACACACACACCTATACAACTTTGAACCGCCCTGAAATTTTTTTTTTTTTTCTGGTTGTTGTAATCATCATCACCATTATCATCATTTAATAAATTATAAAAAAAACTTCATATTCCAAAATGTCACAACAACAACAACAACAACAACAACAACAAACAACAACAACAACAACGACAACGACAACGAAATTCACTTTAAATAATTCATCATCATGATCATCAAATATTTGTTTCATTGTTATTTATGAATATATATGTGGATTATATTATTATATTTGTTGATATGTTGCAAAATTTGATTCATTACATCATCATCATCATAAAATAACATATATAAATCATTGTTTTTTATTATTTTTTCATTTATAAAACTCATCATCATCATCATCATCATTGCCTTTTTTAAATTTTTTTTTCTCATTCAATCATTGATCACACATCAAAAAATTATCATCAATATATCGATACGATAAGATTTGAAATGTAATTGACACGAGCATCAGCACAACAGCACACACACACACACACCGATGGAAATTCGATAGAAAAATCAGATTTTGCAATCCATGATCAACAACATGATGGCCATAAAACTGGAAAAAAAGATGAAATTTTGTCATTGCCATAATATCATAGAACATTCTAGATTCTTAGAATCGTATATTTTCTTTTTATTATTTCATTGTTAACACTTCCGTTTCTGTTTTGTTGTTCACTTGATTCATTTTTTCATTCATATTTCTCACTTCAATGATCTGTGTGTGTGTGTGTGTATATGAATCTGGTTGTCGTTGTTTGGAAAATGTGCTCAAAAACAAGTTTCAATTTTTTTTTCACTTTCTCATAACGAAAGCCACCGATATCATCATCATTCATTTTTTTTTCTTCTTCATTGTGTGTGTCATCATTGTGTTTTGTTCATATATGAGAATATGTTGTTGTTGTTGTTGTTGTTGTTGGACAGTTGTGAAGGGTGATTCTTTTTCAAAGAATAATTTTTGTCCCCATATATATATAAAAAAAAACCATTCTAGTCAGAAGCAAAAAAAAACCAAAAGTTTAAAAAAGAAAAAATTATAGCCTTGTTGAATTGAATTGAAAAAAAATGAAACTGAAAAACTTTTTTTTTCAATGTTTTTTATTTTATTTGCAATCAATAAATCATTTCAAATAGTAATGGCTATAAACAGAGAGAGAGAGGAGAGAGATGATCCATGGATACAAGCAGAAATATGTTTTTTTCTTCTCATTTTGTTTATTTCATTCACATATTATTGTCCATGTATTATGAGTGGTCAACCATTATGGACAATTGAAATTGGAATTGGATGAATGGATGTGAAAAATAACCAGAAAAAAAAAAAACACAACAACAACAACAACAACAAATCATATGTATGTGTATACACAATGGGCACATATTGTTATTATGAAAATAATTTTCCTTTTTCATACATTTCACATCAATTCATCATCATCATCATCATAAAATTTCGGTTAGTAAAAAAAAAGACAATGAAAATAGAAACAAAAATCACACCCACACATACACACATTGACTGTCCAGTCTCATTAAACACAGTAATTGTTTTGTGCACAAATAAACAAACAAACAAACAGATAAACAATTTTTCTTTTCCTCAAATTTCTGGTGCCAAGGCAAAAACAAAATGAAAACACCACCGACACACCCCACACACACACACACACACAAACAAACAATGCTCTAAAAGAAAAAAATTCCACATCCATAATTATATTATTAAAAAATTGATTAAAAATTCTTTGAATTTATTACGATTATATGAAATGATGATATATTTACCTATCTGTCATATATTTATTATTATAATTATATTATGATTCTTATTATTCTTATGATTCTTATATTATTCTTATGATTCTTATTATTCTTATTATTCATATTTATCATCCATACATACATGCATACAAGAATCCTGTAAAAAAGAGAGACAAATTACCTGGCTTAAAAAAAATGAATACTTTACCATGTAATTCATTCTCTTTTTATTCATCATCATCATTTATTTGTATTTCATGACATTACATGTTATCTTTTGTCATCAATATTTTCATCTTCATCATCCAAATGCATTCATTATATTCACCACTACTACCACCAACAACACCCGGCGCATTTATTCGCTCAACAACAACAACAACAACAACAACAAAAATTTTTACTTTAAATGGATTATAAATGAATGAATGATGATGATGATTATTGATTGGTGGTGGTGGTGGTGGTGGTGATGGTGGTTTTTTCATCTTTATACTTTCCTCTATTTTCCAACTACCACTAAAAAAATTACGACTTTCATTCAATCAGAAATGGTGAAATTTTTTTTTTTGTTTTTTGTTTTGTTTTGTTTCGACAACTAAACTATGACAACACATTCATCATCTATTTTCTAATTTATAATTTTACCCACCCACCCATCTTCATCATCATCATCATCATCATCTATTAAATCAACAAAATGAAAAAAAATGAATGAATGAATGAATGAATTCTCAAGAATAAAATCAACCGCCGAAATCATCGATTTTTTTTCATTTCTTTTTGCTTTGTTTCTCTTTCTTTCTCTCTCTCTCAATCTCTCACTCATGTTTATTATTATACAGAACCATCTACTTCCCTTTCATTCGATAATGTAATAATTCATCAATTTGATTTCGATTCAATCTCATACACATCGAATCGAATCGAAATGAAGAAAACACACACACACACACATACACACACAGAGAGACACAAAAACTTAAGAAAAAAATCTTTAAAAAAAATAAAATACAAAGATGGCGATCAATTATATTGTTTAGCATCAATCAATTCAACGAGAAAAAAAAAGAAAGAAGAAAGAAGATAGAAGAAACAATAAATTACTTTGGCCAATGACGATATATACGTGGTGTTTGTGAAAATAAAAACAAAAAAAAAAAAAAATAAAGAAATTCCAAACACACACACACACACACACAGATAAAAAAAAGACATTAAAAACGACAACATTATCAAATTGACAAAAATTTTTCATCAATCATCATCAGAATCAGATCATTAAAAAAAAATCATTGAAATTAAAATCATCAACTGAACAAGTGAAATGAAAAGGAAACAAAACAAAACAAAACAAACAAAACAAAAAAAAAATTATAAGAATTACTAATATTATCATTATATTTATAATAATAAAAATTATGAAATAATAAAAATGTATTATAAAATACTTGAAAATTGATAATTTTTCTTTGATTTTGTCCAAAAATGATGATGCGTCAACGAATTAGTAATAAAAATATAAATATTCGAACGAACGAATGTGTAAATCCATAGATGGCGATAAATTCTTACATTCGAATAATTCATTCATAAATATCATAATACATCATCATCAGAAATGATATCCATCCAATATTCCATATATACAATTCATTTTTTAAATTCTATTTCTAACAATACCACCATGAATATATCGTTCTTGACTTCAAGTAAGAGAGAGTGAGAGATTCGAGAAAAAAAAAGAATGCTTAGATGTATGAACAAAAAAAAAATTAGGTTATAGTCAAACTGTGCCAATTCAACTTTTGTATATTCATTGGATTCCAGTTATGCGAGAAAGCTGCCAAAAAAAAAAATCCGATGCCGAAACTACAAAATACAAAGCAATCATATGATGATGATCATCATGAATAACATCAACAACAAATGCCACCACTATTATAAAAACAAAACAAAACGAATGTACTGAAACAAAATCATCAAAATATACCGAATATATATATGCTATAATTATGATGATGATGATGATGATAATAGTGATTCGAAAATAATGTCGTCGATATTAATTTTGTTCCTGGTAACAGTACGCCCTTATTATTATCATCATCATCGTCATTGGCATTGCCATTATATTCATGTTCTTAATCTCTTTAAGAATTTTGTTTTCATTCAGAATATTCTTGTGACGCGTAGGCGCTCAATTGAAATTGAATTGAATTGAATTGATTGAATTGAAACAAATTCTTTTCATAACAGAAAAAAAACAATTTTTTTCTCTTGTCTTGTAACTATCTGATTATCAGATTCCATACGACCGTTGTTTTGTCGATTTTAATTAGCATCAAATAAACACACACACACATACATGCACATGGTATTGTGTTTTCGAAATATGTGTGTGTGTGTACGGTATCGACAAATTCCAACGAATTCGAATCGATTCCAGAATTTTTGTTATTATAATGGAAAAAAAATTTTTTGATTCAACCACAAGAATTCAACAGAATCGTATGTGTTTGATGTCATTCTACAATGATATACCGACAACCGGAATGAAATGAATGCATTGGATTCAAAGAAAAAAAAACAACGAAACGAAATTCTTTTGTTATTGTGTCATCGATTTTTTTTCATTTTAATCTTTAAAGAAAAAAATTCTCACCATTCATCTATATATACTTGTTTATCACGAATAGTTGTGGGTGTATTTGGAATTTACTATTCGACAATACACAAATTGTTCTAATGTCGCAATAACAATCACGATAATCATACAACGACAATCATCATCATCATCATACGGAAATTGTTGTTGTCGTTGTTGTCGTAATTATCTTTGACAAAGCCCCCCCCCAGTAGTGTGTAACAAAAATTAGCCACCAAGCCATGTAGCAGAATGAGTTATAATAACAGCAACAACAGCAGTAATATTTCGAATACGGGTGGCTGTACAGGATTCATTGCACATTCAATTAATCCGACAAGATGTCGAAAATGTTACAAAGATATCAGCGAACATCGTCAACAACAACAACAACAACATGATTCAACTGGCTTACAGCCATCATCATCAGGTACGTGTGATATTTTTCATTCGAAAAAAAAATTCAATTTAAAACCATGTTTAATTTAATTTTATTTTATTTATTTTTTTTTTTTGGTAAATGAAAATTATATTCAACAAAAATAAAAGAAAATCAACGATTCCGTACACCACAACGTAGTTCATCATTAAAATTGGATTCATCATCTGATCATTCACAATCGGTTTCATTTACATTGAAACCGAAATGTGTAAAATTTTCCGATACAAAAAACGATGCTAATAATGGCAATGAAAATGATGATCGTAAAAAAACCATCACCAATGATAATGAAAATGATGATGATCCGATCGATGTGGCATTTACCGTTTGTGTTAAGAAACCAACCAAAACGTTATCATCATCATCATCATCGTCATCGACGGCTGAAAATTTCAACAAAAATGAACATGATTATCAAAGTCGTATACAAGAATTGAGTAAAGAATTAACCAAATCAAAGGAAAAAATTGTTCTACTTGAAAGTAAAAATAAAGAATTTGAAAACATGGTAAAGTATCAACGTTATTCTTTATTTATTCTAATTAACAATCGATTAATTTTTTTTTGTTCATACTAACCATCCATTTGCATATAATTGATCACCAAAATGTTAATAATGTTTTTCTATATTTGTAATGAAAAAAAATAGCGCAAAACTTTTGCCAAAACAGCAGAAAGTGGCCAAGAATCGATTAAACAGAATTTTGATGAAATGGCTAAACTAAAACAACGTGTTGTCGATATGGAAAATGAAATTAAAACATTGAAAAATGAAAAGAAAACATTGGAAGATAGAATGAAACGAACCAATAGCAATAACGATTCTGTGAATGAATTACGAAATAAACTTATACAATCGGAAAAAATAATCGCACAACTTACGCAAGAAAATGAAGACATAAAAAAAGATGTCAAAGAATTGGAAGTAGAATTTCAAGAATTACATGACAATTTTCGTGAAGATCAATCATCTGAATTTCGTGTGATAAAACATGAACTAGAAACAATGTCAAAAAATTGTCGTGTTCTGCAATTTAAATTGAAAAAAGCCGAACGAACTGTCGAACAATTAGATAATGAAAAATTGGACATGCAAAAACAATTGCATGATCTTTATGAAACAGCTCAGATGGATGTGGATAAACGTAAAATGAAAGAATTGGAAAATGAACTATCTATTGCTAAAGAAGTATCGTTAAAATTACATGCCGAAATTGAACAGCTCAAAGAAGAACGGCTACTCGATATGGAACAATTGCAACAATTACAAGAACAGCAACGAAATAAAAATAAATTGACAACAACAACAACAAATGATAGTGGCCGTAAACCATTTGGTAAATTATCACCATCACCATCGTTTGATCAAAGCACAAAAGATTATGAACAAGTTGTTCGTGATCTATACGATACAATGGAACGTGAAAAAGATCTACAAGAACAGCTTAAATTTTCTGAAGAAGAAACACGTACGACAAGAAAAAAATTGTCAACAATGGAACAGGAGAATGAAATTCTAATGTTACAAATACGGAAAATGACTTTGAAAAATAATCAAACTAAAGGTAGGTTAGATTGAAATTGGCTTAATTTAGATTTTCATCCATCCATTTTTGTATATTTATTATGATTTAGATGATGATGAAAGTGAAAGTGATGAATTGAATCCTGAAGAAATGAAACTTCATCTTGAATTATATGAACAAGAAATGATTGTCTTGAGGCGAAAAACCGATGAACTGGAACAGGAGAATGAAAATTTTCAACAAGAAATTAAATATCTACAAGATAAATTAGTATCACAACCAATAACGAAAATGGAAATACCAGAAATACCGGCCGGATCACCAGTAAATGTTATTTATGATCATAAGATTAAAATACTTGAAACTGAAGCACGTGAATTACGAAAAAAATTAGTGGATAAAGAAAAAGAAAATGAAAGTCTTCGTACCGAAGTTGAACTACATAGACGACGAACATCGAAAGTGATTAATCGTAGCCGTAGTTTAGATTCTGAAGGACAATCATTGGATATGAAAAAACAATTACAACTATTCGAACAAGAAGCAAACATTTTGCGACAAAAAATGATCGCATTAGAGAATGAAAATGAGAAACTATTGAATGAAAATAAACGGCTACAATTACGTATTAGTAAAAAACCTCCACCGGGACCTGCCGATCAATTGCAAATGGAAAACATTGAATTAAAAGACAAAATACGTGAACTGGAACGTAAATGTGATTCATTGAAAACTGATCTAATGAATACAAAATTGAATACAGAGACAACTGAAACTGAAACGGATTTTATTGCCAATCTAAAAAAACAATTGCGACAGAAAGAGAACGATCTGTCCAATCAGCAATCCAAATTGGCAAAGATGGATATCGAAATGGCCAAAATCAATCGTGAATATAAAAAACTTAAAGACTCTTTAAATCCAAGGTTTGTATATATATTATTATTCTGTATTTTTTCTCTATTCTATTCTATCATCATCTTCATTATCATCATTCACTATATTGGTCTAGTGTTTTTAAAAAAAAAAAACTATATGTTATACATACAATTGAAATTGCATGTATCCTATATATTGATTTTATCTATTTTCTTTTTAATGTAATGAAACTTTTTCTATAGTCATAATGTAGGCCACTTATTTTAACTAACTTTTTTTTCTCTTGATTTTATTTTTATTATGCTCAGACGAAGAGTAAATCGTGTGATACGAGAAACAGCTACACGTTTGGAATTGAAAGAAATAATCAAAGAAATGGAAGAAGAACTAGAACATTTACAGACGAATATACGTGGTAAAGATGCGTTCATTGAGAATCTGGCCGAAGAGGTGTCCGAATTAAAACGATCAATACAGGAATCAGAACAGCAACAAAAATCTGGTAACAACATGAATGGTGTTAAAAATTCTCAACAACATGAAACAAGTCAAGTGAATGATTTGAAAAAACGATTGGAAGAGGAACAACATCGTACAAAAAGTTTGCAAGAGAAATTAGACAAATTGGTACAAACAACATCAATAGCCAATAGTATTAGTCATAATAAAAACAATGGCAATGAAAATGAACATAAAATCAAAGATCTAGAAGCCAATATACAACGATATAAAACTAATGCTGATGATTTGAATAATAAATTATCGGAATTTATTCAAAATAACAAACAATTGAATGATGATAATGGTAAACTACGACAACAACTAGAACAATTCAATGAACAGATCGATGTATTGACAAATAAATTAAAAGCAAGTGAAAAATTTGAAAAAGAATTGAACAACAAACTTGATGAAATGAAAAAAGAATTGGAACGTGTACGGAATTTGAACAGCCAGCTTATAATAAATGATGTGAGTGTTTTTCTGTATAAAGTTTTTTTTTGTTGTTCTCTGGTCCCTTGATATTTAGAAATACCTATATGTGTAACATAAAACCAAATTTTTGAACATTGTATACAATTTCGAACAAAAAGTATATAGGTCAAACTAAAAATAATTGTTGTTTTTATTCTTGTTGACAGGTCGATTCTAATACAAAAACTAAAACAGCCACTATTGGTAGTGGTGATAATCGATCCATTACCTTGCAAAAAGAATGCAATGAACTTAAACGAAGATTGGACGAATCTCGTATGACCATTAATGAATTACAGACACAAATTGATAGACAACGGAATGAATTCAAAGGAAAAGAGGCCAAAATTCGTGATGAATTTAATCAAAAAATAGAAATAACATCAAAAAATGTACGAAAAGAAGTACACTTTGAATTACAATCATTACGAGAAGAATCGACCAATTATAAGAATCGTTCAACAGAATTGGCAACAAAATTAGAAAAGTCTGAAAAAGAAGTAAAAGAATTGAATGAAAAACTTAAATCCAATAATGTTCAGGTGAGAAAAGAACAGAATGAATTGATGGAAAAGATTCAAGGATTAGAGAATCAATTGAAAAGTGAACAACGAAAACGTGAACGATTGGAGAAAGAGATTGAAAATGTTGGCCGTGGCCGTGAAGAGGAATTATTACGATCACAAGAAAGAATTGTTCAATTGGAGCGTGAAATCCGTCGTCAGCAGGCCAAACTTGATGATGTTGAATATGATTATACGAATCGTATCAATTCAAGTGAAAAAGAATTGAACAAAATCAAACAAGATTATGATGATTTGACGAATAAATATGAAATGCTTGAAAAAGATTTTGTTGATTTGAAATCCCGAGCTGTGGCCGAAAAAGGAACTCTTGTCGAAGCTGTTGAGTCATTAAAAAAAAGCTATGAAGAAAAATTGAATGAAATAAAATCATTGAAAGAAACATCGATGAGGTAAGTATATGATTATAATATAAATAATTGATAATATTAACCACTTATTGGATTTATATGTTTTTTTTTATTTCCAAAATTTGGAAATAAAATTGCATTCGTTTATTAGTCAACGAAAAGAATGGTATAAAGAAAAATTGACCCTACAAGAACGTGTTGCCGATCTGGAATCAAAACTCAATAAAGCTAATTTGATTGAAGAGGAACGTAACCGACTTAAAATGTTGATGACGGAAAAAGAAAATCTTCTAAATTCATATCGTAAAGAGGAACGTGTTCATAATGAAGAACGTGAACGTAATCGTATCAAAATGGATGCACTACAAACAAGAATTGCTGAACTTGAACGAGTGGAACGGAATACTAGATTTATGAGTATTACTGGTCGTGCACAAGTCGATAAAGAGTTACAAGACTATCGTATACGATTAGAACATTCAGAAACATCACATAAAGGCGAATTGGCTGCATTACATGCCGAATATGAAGGTCGTATGAGATTATTGGGCGAAGAAGTTGAACATTTACAACAACAAATGGTGCATTTAGCACAGGAACGTGATAGATATCGTGAATCATTGGAAAAATCTAACAAAGACCAGGGAACATTTAAGGGCACTTTTCGAAATGAAATTGAAGATCTTCATTCACAATTACGTATCGTTCGAACCGATTTGGAGGGAGCATTGTTGGAAAATCGTAATCTAAAAATTCAACATGGTACAGAAAAAAGTACATGGCAAATACAGTTGGCCGAATATAAAACACAGATCAATCAATTAGAGGAAAGGATTTTATTAGAGACACGAGGCTCAACTAGAAATTATGCTCGTACAAAAATGGAATTAGCATGGGAAAAGGAACGACAAGAAAACTTGCGGTTATTGCAGGATACGCAAAAATTCATTCAAGAATTACGTGATAAATTGATGGGTATTGAAAGTCTTCGTGAAAAAGAACGTGAAGAAGCACGTCGACAGTTGTTAGAATTGAAGACAAACATGGATAAAGAACATGTTGAAACTCAGCAAAAAATTGCCGAACTTCAATTTGATTTGTTAGCATTGAAAGAAGTGCACGCAAGACTAAAATCCCAAAATGAACGCTATAAACGAGAACGTGGAATGTTCGAAAAAGCTAAAATAGATTTTATTGACATTGAAATGGCTGAATTGCGTAAAATAGTTGATTCGATAACACAGAAATCATCGACGACTGCCAATTTATCAATGAAAACTGTTCGTTCAACTACCCAACAAACTACATTAAATAATAACAAACAAGAAGAGATTGTTGAAACTATCAATCAACTCAAGGAACGGTTACATTCTAGATATAATGAAATCATGCAGGAAGCACGAGCCGCATCACAAATTAGTGTCTCATCAAATCTAAATGGCCGTTATACTGGCGGTTCAAGTACATCATTAGCATCGGCAACAAATCTACCACCACCAAGTCATATAAAGCGTGCACCGCCTCGACTTAAAATGGTCAAGAAATCATTATCGTTGGATCAACAGCTTCGTGGTGCTTCACAAGAACGAATCTGGGATTCAGATCATTCATTGAACAGTACACCAAATTCATCGATTAGTAATCTTCGTAGTCGTTATGCATATGGTGGTGGCTATGAATCCGATTCATCTGGATCAGGATTTTTTGCTCCATCCAATACATTGCTTCGTTTGAGGCCAGGATTCACAAAAGATTCATCATTCGCTGGTGGAAGTGATTCAGATACCAGTGCTATTTCAGCAGCTGAACCAAAAAAATCTCTTAAAGAAAGATTTAAAATTCGAAAATCAACAAAATCATCTGATGATGAAGCGTTAAAACAGAATCTCACATTGCAAGGATTTGAAAAAAGTCCAATTGAATTGGCTAAACAACGTGAAAAGAAAGAAAAAGTCTTCGATATAAAATATCTAAAACATTGTCCAAAACATTCTCTCGTAGTGCATCCGTATTATCGGAAACACCGGAAATACAATCTTCGAAACAACAACAACAACAACAACAATCAACTAGTAGGACTAAATCACCGACAAGATCAAAATCACCTGAAGTAAAAAAGGTTTGTTGAATGATTTTTTTATATTTCACTAATAATAATCATTCTATTCACACATACAGCTCTATCAAGAATCTAGTCCTATGGTCATTCCTGGTATAGCCCAATTGAAACAGAAACCAATGCATTCAAATCTGGCCATACCACCATCAAAACGTTCACCACCGCCGAAAATAAAAATCTATCGTACCGAAACAAATGTATGAAAAACAAAACAAAAAAAAAAATCTTCCCATCCAATTCCTAAGCATCATCTGTAATAATTTTATCATTTCTATTCTGGAACATTATCATCATCATCATCATCATCATCATTATGTAGTGTGTTTTTATTCAGATAAAAAAAAGGATATTTTTTAAAATTTTTAAATTCTGAAACTAATCAAAAGATGGCTGTCGGTTTTTGTACAATTCTTTTCATCAAGATGCAATGTTTATATGTAGGCCATAACATTGTATCTAAAATCAAGCAATCAAATCAAAATTATTATTGACAATTATATGTATATCAAAATATGACTTAAATGAATGAATATAAAACTGATTTTTATTCTTTATGAATTCTTTTAACGGATGTCAATGTTTTTTTTTTTTTTTTTGTTCATTTTCCATCATCATCATCATCATCATGATCATCATTAATATTATGCTTTCTATGTTGATAATGATAAGCTTTGGTAGTATTTTTTTTATGAGTAACATATATAAATGAATTACAGAATGTGTGCATCATCTTTACGGACAACATACTCAAATATCATCATCATCATCATCATCATCATCAGGTATGCAATTGTCCCAGGTTTGTCTTTCATTAGAGCCAAATAGCACGAATATGAGAGCCGATAATATATAAATAATACATGATACATAGAATACTTGATTCCATCCATCGTTCGATGATAATGATGATTGTTGTTGTTGTTGTTGTTTTGCTTTTCGATTTGAACATTGGTTAATATGATTCCAACAACGTATGGTGCAAATATTCCGGCCAGGTTTGCCAAACAATTCGTGATTCCCATCAATGTGCTAGCATATGTTGGTGACATATCTAAATGTGTAACATGATAACCAGCCAGAAACATTCCATTGCATCCCAATGCTATTGTGAATAATATGATAGACCATTTGGGATCATTATTACCAATTTGTATCAATAACAATAAACAAATGGTTGGCCCAAGGAATGCTATTGTATTGGCCGTTTTTCTTAATGTTCCCAACCGGAAAAATTGGCTAGCATAAAGTTTATCACAAATATATCCAGCCATACAACCAACAATTGCTTGACATAAATATGGCAATGATGAATATAGTCCGTTCTAAACAAATTCAATGAAAATATATCTGAATGCAATGAATGTAAACTTACTTTTTTAATATCAAAATGTAAAACATTTTGAAAATAACGCGGCAATTGTGTTAAAAATGTATAGAATCCCCAATTTTGTCCGAAATGTGCTATAACCAATGCCCATAATGGGACCGATGTAATAATTGATCGCCATGGCATTTTCGGTTTCTGTTACATATTCATAATCATAATTAATGAATGACCATCATAGTGATTACCAGTAAAATGAGAAAAAAAAATCAGAAACTTACTTTTTTTGTCAGGTCATTATTCCGGTTGGCAATGATCATTTCTAATTCTTTACGTTGAATGGTCGGATGAATTTCCGGAGTCTCATGAACCACTATGAACCAGATTGCGCACCAAATTAATCCAATAGATCCAAATACATAGAATACTGATGGCCAACCACCGAAAAATTCTGAATCACATAAGAGTGCCGCAATAGGCATTGTTAATACGGTTCCTATTTGTGATCCAGAATACATAAATGTTGACATTCGACTACGTTCATACAATGGAATCCATTTTGCAAACATTGAATGCATACTAGGATATGCTAGTCCCTAAATTCGGGAAAAAAAACATAACGAATTCAAATTTCTTCAAAATTACAAGTATTATTATATAGCCAACGTACTTCGAATAATCCTTCCAATACACGACAACCAATAAATACAGAATAATGTATTCGAGCTGCAAACGGACTAATTATAGTCAATATTGATGTGGCCATAATGCCTAGACCGAAAAGCCATTTTGAACCAAATAAATCAGCTAATCTTCCCCCGGGAAATTGTGTTATAACATAACCGGCAAAAAAACTACTGAGAATCAATGCCTGAATGTTTTCATTCCAATCAAATTTATCCTTTTCAATAATCCCGTTTGTAATGGTCATGTTATTAGATCCATTATTATTCATTATCATCCAGGTTTGATTTGACTGGTTATGATTATGATCTACCATAGATACGATTGCAACGGATAGATTCACACGAAGCATATAGAGTAAATTATAACCGAAAAATCCCATTATAACCAATATGAATCTTTTTGGCAAACACTGACATTCTGTTAACATGTTGTGAATAGTAATGATCACCAAGTATGATTAATTAATTTTTCGAAAAATAACCCAACCTACTTGTCATTTTTCGATTCGGATTAGGTTCACTATCGGCAATAACATTCTGCATTGACGGATTCATATCGATTATTGTGGCAATTATTAACTGGATTTCAATCTCAGATCACGGCTGAAAAGGTTACAGAGATTTTTTAGATTTCGTTTTCATCAAATAATATTCTGGGATAAAATTGAATTACTCAATCAGAATTTCATTATGGAAAGCTGTCTTATTTTGAATATCTAGAATTTGAGTATAGAAAAATGGACATAATCTGAAATGACAATCTAAATCAGTTGCCACTGCATCAATTATCAGATTGAGGTCATTTATACTGCAGATAGTGTAATCTGGTGGCGATAAATCAAAATTAAATTCATAACATTTTTTATGAATGGCCCTATGTTTATGAGCCAAATTTAGCCATCGATCATTCTAGCATGGTGGATCTTTGAATCTTTAAATTGTTATATTATTGTCATTGTCATATTTCATTTTTTATTAAACAATCATCGAAGATGTCTGCCACAATTTGTCATCTTTGTAATAAAGGTGAAATTGTTCACGACAAGAAAATGTCCGCTATGTTTTGTACCGGTTGTGGTGAATGTTTTGAATTGGGTGCTTTTACCGATGAAATACAATATCGTGAAGATGATCGTGGAAGATATTCAGCCGTTGGATCCACTTATAGTGTAGAAAAAGGATTCGTCAACAGGTATGTTTCAGGTGGAATACAGAATGATTAATTATATTCTTTACCTTTCTTGTAAACAGTAAATTTTCAAGTCATGGACAATGTTTAGCATCGGTGGATAATGCTAAAACCATTCTACGACGATATTGTGACAAATTATATATTAGTGGATCATTTGCACAGATATCCAGTGGATTTTATCATCAATTATTAATTAAAAAATATATGAATGGCCGACGCTTGAATATTGTATTGGCTGCATGTCTATATATTGCTGTTCGTACTGAAGGTGCTAATGTGATCCTATTGGATATTAGCGATGTTGCCGAAGCAAATGTCTACGATATTGGTCGCTATTATTTTCAAATTATTCGTTTATTGCGGTTTAATATAAAATCAGTTGATCCAAGTGAATATATTGTCCGATTCGTTGATATGCTCAATCTTGGTTAGTTGCATATTATTATTATTGTTTATATTATCGAAAAATCTCTAATGAACTTATTATTAGGCGATCGAACTTTATTGCAGGTAAAGCGCTCAGCGTCATCCATTCGTGAAACGTCCAATAGAATCGTACAACGAATGAAACGTGATTGGATTCATTTTGGTCGTAGACCTTCTGGTGTATGTGCAGCCGCTGTACTCGTCGCCGCCCGTATCAATAATGTTCGATGTTCTTTCAAAGACATCATATCCATAGCTAAAGTTTGTGAGTCAACCATACGTAAACGTATTAACGAATTTGTTGATACACCATCAAGTTTATTAACATATAAAGAATTCATGTCAAACGATCATTCTCTTACTGAAGAGGAAGATCCTCCTGCATTCAAATTATCCGCAACCCTAAAGGATGATATCGAAGCTAATCTGAAAAAAGCGGAAAAATATCAGGATATTATCGAAGAACATTTAAAAGAATCCAGAGTAAAATTACGTGGAATGTATGCCAAGTTCCTGAAAGATATATTCACATTTCAAGATGATGGAGATAAACTCAAAGATGATGAAACTTCAATTATTAAAGAAACAATTATTGATCATAATATCTTATCAATCGATGGTAATATAACGAAAATGACTCAAGAAATGCATTTTGAAGATCATGGTAATCCATCAAATGAAGAGATTGAATATTGGGCCAATCTTAGGCCTTCAGCCGAAAGTCTTGGCCTATTGAGACGTGAAACAATTAGAGAGGAAACGAATAATTATCAAGATCTATTAGAAAAAGGTCTTGATGAAGATATTGATGATGATGAAATAAATGCCTATATTATTGATGATCAAACAGAAATTGGTCAGCGACAAATGGAATGGACAATATTGAATCGAGAATTTTTGGAAAAAGAAGCCCAAGAATTATTAAAAAGAAAACAGCAAGAAACACAAGAGGATAATGAAAAAGAACAAAATGGCAAAACAGTAAGTTTTTCTTGTCAACTTTGATATCGTTTATGAAATATTTTTTTTTCTATTTTACAGAAGAAAAAACGACGGAAAATGGACAAAGTTGAAACGTCAACAGCAACCAGTGCTAGTGAAGCTGTTAAAGCTGCTGCTAAAGCCAAATCTATCCAATTAAATTCAAATCTTAATCTCAAAGAATTATTCAATGAAGAATCGGATCAAAGTTCTCAATTCAAAACCGTGCACTAGTGACATAACAGTTATGCCGAATCATTCGAACACTAACGAAGTGGTTGATTCTCAATCTGATAAGGAAGACACTGCACTTCTGGTATCGTTATATCATTCATATGCCAAAGTTCCAGCGATTGAAACATCATCATACTCACCAAAAGAAAATGTTGCTTCAATATCAGATGATAAAAATGATCACCAAGAAACAAATTCATCGATCAATCAGAAAGATAAAGTTATTGATATTCAACCAACTGACATTGATGATGAAGATCATAACGATGTTAGTAATAAGAAAATAAAAATGCCAATACAAAAACCATCAACCAATATCAATTCAATTGATGATGACGATGATGTTGATTATTTCGGTGACGATGACAATGTTGATGATGACAATGTTGATGACGACGATGATGATGATGAATTTCAGAAAATTAAACAAAAATATAGCTTACAAGGCGAAAGCGGATATGCAGATGATTTTGAAGACTGTGGTTTTTAACCAGGAAAAATATTCAATGTCAATGAACTCAAACCATTTCATTTGTTTATATTGTAATTTTAGATTTTTTTTTTATCTGAATGCATTATTTTGTTTATTTGATAATAAATTTTTTCGAACGATTAAGAAATTCATCACGGATTTGTAAATGTCGCATATCTTTGTTTAGAAATGATTGTTGAAAAAATGAATAGGCTAATTCACGAAATGTTATGGCCAATCGTCGATGATTTATATCAGTTCTTTGAATCGAATGATGAAATTTATATCGTGCATCACCATACAGTACTAGAAGAGATTTTCTTGGACATACAATGCGAATACAATATTCAGGCGATGAGGATAGTTCTGGAAATGTCAATGTAATGGCAGTGGTTGAAGCCAGATTTAATGTGACCAAGCGTTCACCCCAAATCCAGTTATCATCGAAATGAGGATCGATTGATGATCCACGTTCTGGACTGTTTTGAAATTAATGATAATTTGAGTATATAAAAATTTGAAAATATCATGTTTTTCATACCAATATTCAAGATGACAAATTTCTATCGCGTGAAAACGATTCAATATCGTATAATCTGAATATTGATCAAATGGAAGCGATGAAAATCTATGCCAATCGTCATGTGATGTAAGACGTTCACTGCGAATTGTATTCAATAGTTCAACATCAAGTTTTGGCATCCCTTCGAATGGTGTGAAGTTAATTTTTTGTTTTTTGAAATTTATTTTTGGTCCAAAATCTTGTTTACGACGACCTGATTGCGAATCTATCCATTTGAATGAATCAATCTGTCGGATAAGTTGAACTTCTTCATCATCAGTAATCACATCGGTCTGCAAGAATATGCCATCGATTTCAACCATAGGGACATTATTATCGAATTTGTTGGTTTTTTCATGATCCTCAAAATGTTTGTCGAAAAATTCAGAATCATAAGCCCGATTGCCACATCGCCAACAATGGACATAGGTTTTTTCAATATGCAAATTTCGATCACTTGATTTAGGTGGTTGGTATTGTTCGCATTTTGAACAAGTTCGAATACCTTTGCAGGCGCAAGATTTTGATTTAATATCATTGGCCATATTATTTTGAATCAGAAATATAAATGAAAAAATACACATGTGATTTGATTTCATCAAAATCAAATTCCCGATGTCCATTCATATAATCCAGTGCAGAAATTTTAAAATATCACAAGAGTAAATGAATTTGAAATTTTTTATTTATTATTCGTCGTCAACAAACAAACAAAAAAAATATCAATCGCCATCAATAATTGAATATTATTTTTCATTATAACTAAGCGGATTCTGTTTTTTCTTCTCTTAAGATTGGATCCACAACTCCAGGCAAACCAAGACCAGGCAAGCCAAGGCCCGGCAATCCAGCTGCAAGTCCCGGCAATCCGACACCAAGACCAGGCAAGCCAAGGCCCGGTAATCCAGCTGCAAGTCCCGGCAATCCGACACCAAGACCAGGCAAGCCAAGGCCCGGCAATCCGACACCAAGACCAGGCAAGCCAAGGCCCGGTAATCCAGCTCCTAGTCCCGGCAATCCGACACCAAGTCCTGGTAATCCAAGGCCCGGTAATCCAGCTCCTAGTCCTGGCAATCCGACTCCTGGGAGCAATGGATCTAAGAGTCTTTGATTGGGTTGGGCAACATCTTCAGCTGCTATAATATTGGCGATTCCAAATACTATATGGAAAATTTTCAGAAAAAATATTTTGGAAAAAAATTATATATAAAGTTGCGGCAAAAAAAAAATCATAACTTACCTAAAAACGAAACGAAAAAAATAAATTTCATTGTTGATTAGTTTTTGAAGTTATGATTTTTTCGAAAATTTGAAATGAAATAAAATGATGATTATTCCAATAAAAAAAAATCTCTTTTTATACCTATCGAATTGAATTGAAATGTTTTCTATAATATGGTTTCATTAGCCGGTAAACAATATCTTTGTATTGAAATCCAATTCAATTAAAAAAAAAAAAAAAATTATCAACGGCTAAACAAATTATGAATAGAATCTTGATTTTGTTTTTAAAACAAATCGATGACAATCTAATTATCAATGATAATATTTAGTAAATATTCAATAGCCATTCATTCCTTCAGTTATCATTATTCGTGATCAATGTTAAGTTATTTCAATTATTTATTTCACTGTGTCCGTACTACTAATTGAATCAAATTATCATCATTTTTATATTGATTCAAACGTGCCTGATGAATGATGAATAATATTTTGTGGAAAAATTATTAAATTTTTTTTTATCAAATGTTAATAAATAAATAACAGAAGAAAATTCATTTCTTAATATATCAATCAATAATGAAATAAATTCAGAAATATGAAAGCAAAGAAGATTTTATTACCATCAAGAGTGTGAATATGTGTGTGTGTGTGTGTGTGTGTAGACATATTTTGGATGGAATACGTTTGATTATATGACTTTTTTAGTTTTATAATTTTAATATTGACCATTAACAAAATTCTTGTATATGATTAATTATGATACTTCAGACATATCTGAACGAAATTCTGAATATCGACCATGACGTACATTCATTAATAATCGTGGTAGATAGATATAACCTAATATACCAAGTATGGCACCCAAAGGCATCAGGATGAATAAAACGACCCAAATGCTTACTATAGTTAAGAAAAAAAAACAAAATCGTATAAATTAGATTCAAAAAAAAATTGACATTGATCATAATGTGGATGTGTGTTTCTCATGTGGCTTGGCTAGAAAAAAAAATAATAAACAATGGGTGTTATAATAACACATGCTTACAGGATAATAAATGCACAGGGCAAAAATAAATATTCTTCTTCTTTGATTGAATTCATATTGAATCACTTAATCTCATGTATGATCCATGAGAAACAAATCTCATTATGAATGGTCGGCAATAAATGTATCCGAATATAGCGATAATTGCACTAATAGGCATTAGAACCAGAATGGCAAAAGCCCAGCTAACTATAATGATTTGGTCATAATAATAGTGAAATATATTAATGGAATATGGTTTTTATATAGTGGGTGCGATTGGGATTTGAAAGGTTCATGAAAAAAAATGCAGATAAAAAATATTTGAATTTTCAGAAAATAAAAACCAACATTTCAACAAACATTGCAACAAGGTACAGAGGACTCAGTTATAGAAAATAATTTTTTTTAAAAAAAAGCCAAAGCCGACAAGATTCAACACACACACAAACACATGAATTCAAATAAAAACATACCACCACTTCCACCGCCATTTGGCTTTGGCGGAATAAATGTAGTGTTACAATGAAGTTCATCGGACCAATCACCACAATCATTCTGGCCATTACAGGCCATAAGTTCCGTTATACATCGTTCACCATTAGAACAGATGCTTAAATTATATTTAGTGTTGGTACATTCTAGAATTTAGAATAATAATAAAGTTATTATATTAAAACTATTAGACAAATTCATTCAATTTATACTTACTAGAAGATTCGATGGTTATTTCTAATGAAAAATTTTTCTTTTTTGTTAATGATTTTGAAAAGTCATAAACAATAAAAGCCGATCCAATCGATCCTTGATAGTGACTTTTCACAGTATTACCAGTCAAACAATCGCCATTAGTTTCATTACACAATGCACGATGTATGCTAGAATTTCTAAGGCTAATTGAATCATAAATCGTGAGATTAGCTTCGTTTTCTGCTAAAGTACTAGCCATTAAAATGTTGAAATTCAATATAGTTTCAGCTAGATGGCCATTGGACTTTGAATTCATGATTTGCCAGATACAAATTGGATTTGAATGATAATTCGATGAGCTTGAATTGAATTTCAAAGTATTTGTCTTACTCAAATCAATAATATCGCCACAACCGAAAAAAGTCATCTCGATATCGAATCCTCGATCAGAATTACCAAAAAGTAGAGAATTATTTGTATTGAATGCGACGGCCAAATCTGAATATGCAACATAATCAGGTAACATTTTAATATCGACATCGTTGGTAAAATTTCTGCTCAAATCTTTTGCAGTTAGTGACAAGAAATGATGATCTAAAATGATAATATATTAGTATTAGTATATATAATTATTGTCTTTATTTACTATACCGTATAATTGAATATCATTAACCGTAATCAAAACATATTGATCTTTATTAGGAATCATCAAATCTTGTTCAAATCCAATCGGATATAATCCAGGATAATTGATCGATTTGACTGAAAATTTATGCTGATCTTCGATGATTGTGTTGTTGTAATGTAAAAGGTAAGCTTTTTTCGCAATGAAAATATTAGTATCTTTATCCTTATTGTTTTCATCAACAATAAATTCAATTAAGTAATCATAAGAAGATGGCATTATAAAATCGGCAAGATATGATTCATGTTTCGGACCTTGAAGAATTTGTGTTGTACTTTTTGCAGCCAAACGTGTTACATGTAGCGATGAACCTTTTGGTAACGTCAATGAATTTGCACTCAATACAGTGTGGTCTTGGTTGGAATCATCACGTGGAATAAACCAAGAACAATTACGGATTACTTGAAACTTGAAAAGTGGAATTATAACTGGAAACCGTTTGACAATCTTTATCATCAACATGTTTGATGGTGAATTTGATTTTTGACAATTTTCCCCAAATTTCGATACGCATTTCGGTTTTATCCACAGCTATTGCTGAAGGTAATACATTGAATTGATCTAACAATACCAATGGTTTTATTGTTGGACCATGAATATCTGTATTGTAGATAGCAATCTTCATCTTATTATCATCAAGTTTTTCCAGTGGATCAATGTACACGATTAAATTTTTACCAGGCGCCGAATAAATGTTGTAGATGAATTTTGTTTCTTCATTAGTTTTTTCAACATTGATTTCTTGATTGGAGGAAAGAGTATTCAATATAAATGACATATTATTGGTTAGTGCCAATTCAACTGGAATCGTCTTAGTGACGGGATGATTTGAATATGGTGAATCATAGATGATTAAAATTTTTTTATATTCCAAAAATGTATTGATAGTTTTCAACAAAGGAATAAACAATGATTGAATTGTTTGTATGACTTCCATTTTCGGTAAGCTATATACGGTTATTACATCACCTGGATTCGGTAACATGGTAGTCTCGTCCGTGATCATTATTTCATAATATTTATCAACATTGTTAGTAAATATTTGTGCACAAACCATTGATGTTAATGATTGATCTTGGCGATCTTGTTCATTCGGATAAATGATTGAAGATGAAGGATTTTTATCATTCAATTCTATCTCTTTACTACAACTTGCTGTAACAAGCCAATAATTGATTTCAATAGATTCATTAAGGGTAACATTGAATTTATTCAATTCAAATTTGATACCATCAATTTTGCCCATGTAAATATCCGGAAGGTTTGTCTGATTATATTGTTGGCCATCCATCTTGAAGTTTGTAGTGGAATTTTTGGCAAATGTTAATATAATCAATCGTTCAGAATATTGAGGACTGGGTAGGAGCATAAATTTCGAGTCAATAACGGATGTTAAACCTTGATTGATTGGAAATGACAATGATCCACTGTCTCTCATTAAATAAACATCTGAATAATTAATGTATAAAATTATTTGAAATGCTCGGTTGAATGTCGAATGTTGTGGATCCAAATCAAGAGTAATGTTCAATTTATCATATTGATCGACAAATAATAGGCCAGATGAAATTTTTGCATGCTTATGATTGTCATAAATGGTGTAAATCGTTGATTTATTGTTCGTTTCGAGCATAGTTGTAATGGTGATGTTATCTTTTGATGACAATACAACTCGAGAAAGGTCAATTGTTTTCCGAGAAATCGGTATATTGATTATCCAAAGACATTTTGTCCGGTTCTTAGCATTCCAATTGATTACATTTAAATATAGATAACCGGTCTGATTATTAAGATTTAAGGAATCACTTTTATACGATGTACTTAGATCGCAAAAATTCTGTTCATCAGCAAAACATGATCTGTATTGAAATACTATTAATAATACAATAATTATTGTCAAAAGAATCAGAATCCAATATGTTTATACAAACCAAAACAGATGAAAAATGACCATGTGATGATATTGAACAATTTCATGGCCATGGTTGAATGATTGAAATTCAATCAATTATATTCAAGGATATGAATCTGATCCACAGCATCGAATGGGAAAGAAATCAAGAAAAAAAAATTAGCAACGACATACGAGAAACAGTTTGAATCGAATATTATGTTATGAAGAAACACCTACCAATATAATGACAATGTTTAAAATCGAATCAAATAAATGATTGGTAAATCGATATCAATTATGAGTGATAATAACTTTATGACAATCACTACAAATAGATATAGAATATGAAAACAATATCGATATATAAAAAAAACAAACTTAATGATAACCTTTGTATATGATGATGATATTTAATCCAATATGGTTATGGTTTAGTTATATTGTCATTGACGATACACTATTGTTATCACTATAAATGTGATGATTAGAATCAATGAATAAAAAAAACTACCGGTATTATAACTCAAGAAACGGTTGTTTGAAGATTGTATTTTGTAGACAAAATTAAGAAACAAAAAAAATTATTATTCGTCAACAGTTTCGATGACAAAAAAAACTGTTGCCAATCGATATTTTTTTTTATTTGTCAGAAGCTATATCGAAATCAAAAGCAACGAAAAAAAAAATTATCTGTTTACCATCAGTCGCCGTTAAGAAAATACTAGAAAGCCAACCAATCTCATCACGAATGCGCCATCTGGTTGATATTGAATCAAAAAAGAAAAAAAAGTTTCTCGATTTCGAATTCAAATAAGAAAACAAACAAACAAACAATCAAATGGAAAAAAAAATTTTTTTTTATTCAGAAAATTCTATAGAATTGGCATAAAGGCTAATATTTGCAAATGATATACAATGCATGTATGATACCTGGTATATAACCAAGAATAGTTAATGCAATATTGATGATAAGATCGGCCGAACATCCACGTTCAAATAGAACACCCAATGGTGGTAAAATAATGGCCAGAATAATTTTACAGATATCGGAACACGTGAACGGCATTGTTTCGTATTTTGGTAAAAATCAGCAGCAATAACAAAAAAAACAAACAACAAAATCTTGTAATATGTGATCCAAATAGTCGATGGATAACAAATGAATGGATGAAATGAATCTACTTATATTAAATAGACCTTTATTGATCGATGGATGGATGGATTAACGACGCCCAAAAAGAAACGATTCGATTAAAAAACGGTAATATGCAGTTATGAGTCGATACACAAACCAGAAATCCTCCTTTTTTCACCGACAATTGAATGATGGGGATGATGATGATGATAATATCGATGCAACAATATAACAGTCTCTAAGTGCTCGTTTTAACTTTCAATTTCAATGATTTGAGAAATTTTTTTATATTTGTTTGATTGTCGCAACATACACACACACACACACACACACATCAAATATGATTGAAGATAATTTTTTTTTGTGTAATTTCACTTTCAATAGACAGATATTACCTTGAATCAGATGATTTAAAACACAATTGTTGTTGTTGCTGTTATTGAAGGACTATATTTTTTTTGGGTATACAGGTAAAAAAAAGGCAATTGCAAAGATTTACAAAGTTGTTTTTTTCTTTTGCAATAATGCTTTGAAAAAAAATGGAAAAACAAATCAACCGAATGACTTTTTTTTCAAGAAAAGAAATTTGTCCGTTTCATTTTCATTTGTTCTAATTTCTACTTTGAAAGATTTAAATACTTCGAAAATTTTTTTTTTTTTTTTTTTTGAAACCCAAAAAATGGTATGCTGTCAAAAATACTCGACAGATGGCAATAGATGTGATCTGAAAAAGAAATTTCAATTCGAACATTTATATTTGTTGTTATGACGATTTTTATTGTATTTTTTTTCTATACATTTTGATGATGAATAACAAAAACCAGAAAAAGATAAAATAACAGCAAGAATTTAATTGAAAGTGAACACATTGATTTTTTTTTTTGATTACATTGTGGCGATCGATGATGGAAAATAAAGAAAGAAAAAAAATGAATTGAATTGAATTGAATTTTTGACGGATTTTTTTTCCAAATCAAAATGATGATAACGATGTTCAAGGCGAATCAATCGATGGTCGAATACCTAACGGAATTCATTTTTGTTCTCATCTTCACTTCATTTTGAATGTGTTAATATTTAAATATAATATAAAGGGCGTGGATGATTCCGGGTATAAAACCCAGAATGGTGAGGGCAATGTTGATGATAAGATCGGCACCACATCCTCGTTCCAAAAATACACCGATTGGTGGAAATATGATTGCCAAAATTATTTTACAAATATCCGTACAGGTGAAAGGCATTTTTGTTCTTTTTTTTTGATTTTCGTTGTTGATTACCGAAAAATATTAACAATAAAATGGGTGTGGATTTCGAATATATAATCACAATCCAACAAAAAAGACGATGGTTGTAATACGGTGTATGGTTGGTGGACGTTTAATTATGGCTGAAATGATGTTTACTTAATGATTGAAAATGTGCTCGAAACAACAATATATCGAATATGAATCGTTTGTTATTAAATAATTTAACCATGTAGTAGAGTCTCATTCGATCGAATGAATGACTAACATCAGAACCAATGAAATCAAAAAAAAAAAAAAAAAAACCAACCATGAATCAAAACCAGCCCAACAGGCTAAACTATGGCGACGACTCTTTCAATGTAGTCGACTCTTTTATTTTTGATTTGGATATATAAATTTCTATTGAGGAATGTGTATACTACTACCATTATACATGATGATGATGATTATTATCATTATTATAAACATCATTCTACATACATCGTTTTCCAAGGTTTAATGTGAATGTATTGGACAAACATCATCATGAGGAGTTGTTGTTGTTGGTTGTTGTGAACAACAAACCTGACGTTATCCAACCAGAATGTTGAATGTTTTAAGAAAACAAGAACCATAAGCTATTAGTAATAATGATGCGAACCACACCCTCTACCATTGTGTGCGATATAGCGTTAGTTAATGTTAATGTTAACCTGTGTTGAATTTCTTCATGCATTAGTTGATTGATTTAATTCAATCAAATAGTATAACATTGAAAACTGTGAATAATCACCGGAAATGTTTAATTTGCAATCAGTATTTAATATTAAGCATTATAATACATCATCATCATTAACATTGAGTGGGTTTGATGAAATCCTATTAACAAACACGGATGACACGTTAGTTGATTGCTTTCTTATCTTATTGATAAGATTGTCCATATTAACATCAAAAGATGAAATCATCAGGCACTATTCATTCATTCATTCATCGTGCACGTAATCAATTGCATTGCACGTGAAACAATCATCAAAGTCATTGCTATTAATAACATGATAATAAATTCAAGGTTTTGCCCTTTTCTCAAGTTAAAAACAATGATTTCATGCATGATAAATTATTTTGGAACCACTGAAAAAAATGACAAATGAATGAATGAATGAATGAATGGTTGAATCATCATCATTCATTGATATTAGAGAAAAAATTTAAGTCACCAGATCCTCGTGCAAGAATATTTGTTACTTATGTCAATTTTAATCATGTTATAATAACCAATTATGGTCATTGCGTGCAGCAATGTTTTTAGACCCAAGTCTATAGTCCATAATGATTAAATCCGATTAAAGCATACATTCATATAGATCCTAAAATAAACCATAACATTGACATGATTATCGATGCAGGAAATAGCAATCAAATATAATGAAAACGATTGAAGAAATCTAGGTCAATACGGAATATATCGATATTCGCATGTCCCCCATATATATATAATTGGTAATCATATTGTATTCGTCAAGAATTGGTGGAAAAAGAGTTTTTTTTTATTTTATTCATTCTTGGTTCTGTCCATCCACATTACAACGAAATTGTTTTGTTAGTATTTTTTTCGTACTAAATTATCTAATGACAATCAACAATGACTAAACGAAAAAAAAATTGACAGCCTAGAATGTTGTCCTCATTTCGAATGTTTTCACCATCATCATCATCATCATCATCATCATCTGCATTGTCGTCATTGCAAATTCAATGCATCCATATTGGATGATTCATTCAATCGATTTGATTTTTTTTTCTACAATAAAACACAAAATGATGGTTATAATAAACAAACAAACAAAAAAAACATTTTGAAAATTTCAGGTGTCGTTATCATTGTTGGCAATGTTGGCAAACCACCACCCATGGCAACCATTATCGAAAACAATATCATCGTAATAATCAATAAAAAGTTAACATCAACCCGGTTACCATGTTTAGCTCATTGATTTTGATTATTATTATTATTATTATTATGTTATTATCATTTGATTGATTGCAATAGTATAAATAATAAAATAAATCCACATTCCAGATATAAATAAAAACCAAATATTACAAACGAATACTATTGTCATGCCTGAGCGTATATATTACATATATATCGAGATATGGAAAAATTTTTTTTTCCAAAATTGACATTTCATTCATTTGAAAAGATAATCATTTATTTAGCCATACAAAGCTAGTGACATATATAAATCAATCAATCAATCAACAGAATCACTTGTTTGTTTTATTTCAAAGAAAAGAATAAAATTGGTAAGATGAGAGAAGAAAAAAAACAAGAAAAAATCAAATTTTGTTTCAGAGAAAAAAACAAAATGGCTGTTGTTGCTGCTGCTGCTGATTTGGCTATATTCATATTCATATTTGATGAATTGAATAAGAATTCTTGTTTTATATAATACAAAAAATTTAAATGATGTGATTAGATTGACCATGCTGCTGCTGCTGTTGCTGTTTGAGTTTCAAATGAATGTGTGAAATTAAATTCATTGAAAAGAATAATGTGAAAATTATACATTTGATTATGATTTTATGAAAAGATGTGTACTGTTTAAATGTTTAGCCATTTTATGATAATCTTAAAGTATCCTTGAGAAATTCATCCGGATCCACAATGGCATTCATTCCACGTAATAAATCAGCTGCATCACAATATTCACCGAATGATGTTGATGGTAGAATATCATTTTCAAATGTATCCAACATACGATCGGCTGATTCCATTAATGATTGATCATTATGTCGTATATAATCTATCAATGATTGTGACCAATCATCATCAGCTTTGTTTTCCAAAGACTGGTTAACAGTAATATAAAAAAAAAAAAAAATAAAACCAGATCATTAGAATGGAATATTAACATTAATAGAAAAAATTACCTTAAACATGACAGTGTAGAATAGATTGATCATTGCAAAAAACATTAATGCCGGTTTTATTGTTGAATATTCGGGCAATTCCATTGTTGAAATTGTTTCGACATCTCGTGAATCATTTGGCAAACTTCGAATCAATGAACAAAGAATCAGACGATGAAGAAAATAGAAACGATGTTGTTGCCAAAATGATGGTGAATGTAACAATATGACCATTGTTGAATAAAAGAATGGACTTTCTATCTGGAAACAACTTTCCAATAATTTCGATGTAGATTGTTGCATAAATAATTCTTCGAATGCTGTACGTTCACGATCGGTTATTTTTGTCGTATTCATTACATATAACGCAGTATGCATTAGATAAGGTGTTAGATATAGATTAGATTGTGCACCACCACCACCGGTCTCTTCCGAAAATGTTCGTGTATTGGCAAATCGAAGTAATAATAATTTCAAATCATGAACAGTGCCCAAGAATGAATTTGTACCGACAAAATCACGTTGACCAACAGCCTCCTGTAGATAGCTATTATGTCGAGATAGTGCATGAGCAAATAACGATTCACAAACATTTGGGCCCCATAACGGTAATAAACCATTACAACGTGTATTGGCATTATGTAATGATGCTGATTGCCATTCATCTCGAGTACGTGCATGCCGTACAGCATCCATATGACATTCGACATGTACAATATTAAAATGCGTTACGGTAGTATAACCTAAATTTGGAATTGAAATTAACAATGTCAAGATTGTAAGAAACATTAAATCAATCAATTCAACTTACCAATCGTTTTACGTGGTTTTCGCTCTTCATATTCTTCAGCATTACAACGTTTTGTAAATGTATAGATGGCTAGAACTTTTTGCGGTTGATATGCATAGCCTTCACGACAAATTGAACATACAAGACCTTTTTCTTCTTTTAATTCACCTTCCATTTTTTTCAATAAATCAGAATCGGCCATAACTTGTCCCTTATCATTAGCTTTCATTCCTAATTCACCAAGTTGTTTTTCACGAACAGCCATTGCAATACGTTTCTTTTCTTCTTTCGTTTTCAATCGAATCTCTTGAATTTTAGCTTCAACCGATGGATTTTCTTTCAATGCATCCATAAGATGTTCGGCCAAAGTTGCCATATGTGAATCCGAGAGCACTTGTTCCAATGCATGAATGATTGGTACACCTTCTTTTGTGATCAACATTTGAGTTCGTTCATGTCCACGACACATACCGGTTAACATTTTAAGTACATATTTCAACGCTGGTCTTGATGTAAATTCTTTCCATTCTTCTGAATTAAGAAGAACAAAACTTTTCATAGACGGTGCATTACGAACAAGATATTCGATGGCCATCGAAACAAATCTTTCTTCATTCATACGATCTTTCAATCGTGCACCATTATGATTACGTTCAATAGCCGAAACAAGTGAACAGAAAAGTTCATACCAATGATCGGCATTGGCAACTGGTAAATTCTGTGTATCATAATCATCGAATTCAAAATAAGGCCGGAAATTATTGATCAAAGTTGACATTTTTTCCGGATGACCAATGGATAGAAAAGTGATAACACGTAAAATTCGATTATTCAAAGAGGCAACATTACTATTGAATATGATTGAATCAGGTGATGATACGGAATTTAAAAGCATCTGTATATCATTGGATGTACCACAGGTTTCACGATTAAATAGATCAAATACATCTGGTTTTTCTTTACTTGCTTCAGCCAATAATGTTTCCATTATGGCTAATAGCTGTTCAAAATATGATGGTTCACCAGGTGCTGATGGTAATGTCAAAAGATCAGCATGAGGATTCTTTAGGAATAATCGTAAAATTCCCAACATAATACTTATGGCATTTAATTCTGGTTCAATCAATGTACGTCGATTTGAGATAACACGGACACAATAGCCAAATAATTTCAAAAGTACAAACAACAGGCTTCGACTACGATTATTAATCTCTTGTATTGCTTGAAGTCGTTCAAGCATTACACTAAGGCCATTTGATTGAGACATTATATTGGCCAATTCAAACATTTTTTCATCATCTTTAACGACAGATTCTTTGTTGGATAAATTTTCAATAAATTCTTCTGTAGCATCACCCATCAAACCACGTATACGATAGATTATTTTCATTGTTGGTCCAGCCACATTGATTGATTGAGTAGCCAAATTACCAGATCCAGGAGCAGCGGCAAGATTTGAGCCCAACTGCAAGGCATTACCAGTAAGCGTATCAATAATTGAAATATCTGAACCGAGATTGAAAGTTCCTCCGGCCCATGAATGTCCACTTGCTTGTTGTTGCTGTTGTTGTTGTGCACCTTGTGCATCAGCACAAACAATTTTCTTATAAACTTCTTTAACCGGTAAATCCAATGATATGATTTTATTGTTGACCAACAATTCCAGACCAGAATCATCTTCCAACAATGAAACCAATTCACATTCTTGACAGATTTTATTCTTTATATCACGCATTAGCGGTCCCATGCCAGAATCTTTCGAACTATATGGATTACCTAACATTCGGCCTTGTAGGAAATCTTCTTGTTGTGGATCTTTTTCCAACGAAATGAAAAATTCATCTGCATCTTTTTCTTCTGGATGTATAATTGAACAAAGACGTTCGAATATGAAAACCGGTGTTCTCAAATCTTGAAGAGAACATTTTTTCACTGATTCTATGCAGACTTTCATAAAATTTATTGTTTCAGCTCTGGTTCCAGTCGTGAGTAATTCTAATAATTCCAACAAAGCAGCCTGTGTTTCATCGATCATTTTTGTTCGTTGTACAATCAATTTCCGTAAGGAAAGATAACCATCCAAAACAAAACCAACCATTGATGATTTATGTACACGACGAATACGTTCATCACGCATAAATAATTGCATCAATTCAACTAATTGTCGTAAAGCTGAACCTTGTGAAAAATCCGAACTCAATGTTGATTCTTCCAACTGTTTAAGACGATCAATTTCGGTTGATATTAATTGACCGAGATGTTGAAGCAAACCACAGAATGTTAAATAATATCGCCAATGGTTATTTTTTGCAATATTAATTGTTTTGGCACTAAATTCACTGAAAACTATTGATCTGAATAAATCATAAAATTCCAGACCAATTTCTCCACCAACTTGACAAAGATCATCCAAGAATGATGTAAACAAATCGATCAATATACGTCGTTTACTTGTTAAACGTTCAAACAAGGCCATCAATAATTGTCGACATGCGATTCGTAATGCTTTTGATGTTGGATTGAATAATACTTCTTGAATCCATGTTGAACTTGCAATACGTACGATAAAACATTCAGATTTAAGATCACGAATCTGCCCAGTTTGATGTAGATATAACCAGCGAGCAAAATATTTTTTCTGAAGATATTCATTATATTGAGCTATCATTACTGGATCATTAATTGTTTCATTTGTATGCGGTGGTATTTTCATATTTCGTTGTTGCCATGCTGGAAATGATGCTGTCTGAGAATCAGATGAAATCCAATGATAAAGATCAACAGAAACTTTGACATTCAATGATTCAAATGGAATACGTGTTGGTTTCAAATTTTTGCAACATGACGAAGATGGTGATTGTACGGATGCTAATTGTTCCACTGTATTAGCGGATGATTGTATTGCTTTTGATTGATCGGATTTTTTCTGATCATTTAATGCTGGTTTTACAATCAAACCATATAGTATACGAAGACAAGGCAATGTAATTGCCTCTAGTACGGCAGGTGATTTATTCTGCAACGATAATAGAAACAATTTCATAACACATCGTAAGCGTTGTTCCCAGCAATTATCTTCATTTTCAAACGATGTGGCCAATAATGACATTTCATGACGTATGGAACCAAAATCAAATGTAGTCATGAATCGTGTTTGCAATACGGAACCAATTTTTTCAAGCAATAGATTGTTAAATTCTTCAGTAATTTCCAAATCATCTTTTATCAATAGGCATAACAATGCACGAACTTTTGCACGAAATGATGGAGTACCAATACGAAGATTATAATCGATTAATTCACGGAATAAATTTGATGAACCAAGAATGGTCTTATATCGTGAATTATGTACGAGAGCTTTAAGTAAGATGATACAATGTTCAATTGTAGCACTTGCACATCCATAACAACGACCTGATTTAAAATCCATTGGTAAAGTTTCATCATCTTCATTTGATAAGCGTTTCTTTTTCGTTTCAACACCTTGATAATGTTCATCTATTGGCAGAATTTGTTTACCCTGTTGTTTTTTACATGTGGTCGATGTTGATATAGCAGCCATAGACATATCAACCAATGTGGATGATGATGTTGATGACAAGGATGTGGTTGAACCGCCAAATGTTCTTGTGATCATATCATTTTGTTGATTGCGATGTTCATGCAAAAGTCGTTTAATATCATCTAAATTATGGCGATTATCATTTTGTCGATTATCATAATCCACCAATTCTTTTCGTGTGTATAGAATTTTTTGTACAATTTTAGACAGTTCTTCAAAATGTACACGACAATCATTACTATAACGTGATGCTAATTGATGAATATATCGATTGACCAAAACCGATGATGATGATGAACTAGTTACCGATGTGGATGATCCAATGGCAGATGTTTGTAACGAAGATAAAGCCACATTTCCAACGCCACCATAATTAGCTCCATCCATACCGCTACCATCACTACCATATAAGGTACTATGATAATCTTGTGAAAATAACAATAGATTTTCTAATGTTGGCCGTATTGATAGAATTATTTTATATAATCTATCCGCTTTATCCAACAACGTGTTGATGGTCTGTACAGCTTTTGCTCGATCTTCTTCATTCTCAATAGCTTCGACAGCCGATGCTGTGAATCTTGCAGTAAGTACATAATCAAACTTGGCATATTTGCAAAAACCACAAGAATTACAGAGGAACGGATCTTTTTCATCATAATTGATAGCACGACATTTATGACATTGAAATACATTTTCACCACAATTTGTACAAACACCCGGATTGGCCAATACAACCGATGAACAACGTGGACATTGTAATGTTTCAGTGGATAGATGTGATTGTTCATAGAAATCGCTATATTCAATCATCAGGTTACAAGCAACAATTGGTAGTGTAAATTCAATTTTAACTTCAGATTGTGATGGTGCCAACGTTATCTGTTTAGCCTTATACCAGACAGTATTCTTATTCTTCAATTCTACCACGGATTGCACACAACGATTATTATAATAGATGCATAAAGTTTTAACCATTTTTGATTTTTTCAATTCAGAAATTTTCACAGCAATTTTCGATATAGTATGCGCACCATTCAATTTGACAATCTGTGTATTGATCGTAAATCTGGAATCTAATTTCATTGCTGAAAGTTTGACGGCTACAAAATCCACTTCAGGATTATTGCAGACAAGACATGGTTCCGTTTCCAGATAATAACCATTTAGATCCAATAATGATTGTAATGAATTATAAATATTTGAATTCGGATGCCGAGCTAGAACTTGATTTTGATAACGAAGCAAACCAATAGCAGAATCGGCATATGAACGTTCTTTGTTTGTTTGCAAACGTGTTGAACTAGATGATTGATGTAACTTTGATATAGACAATGTGAAATAGCCCAATAGATCGACGAATTGAGAAGCACGTTTTCCATAACAAGCAATACTTGGCCATAATTGCCAAAATAAGGAAAGAAATTGTTCCTGATGAATGGGCTGTAGCGATTCATAGAACATATAAAGTAATGAATGAGTAGCCCAACGTTGTTGTGTTGAATTTGATTCCAGCAAAAAGAAACGAATAAAATGTGAAAGTATTTGACGATCCAATACGACAAATACATAACAACATATGAATGATTGATGATTACCATGTGATGTAGAAGATTTTCCTGAATCTTTAACATTGTCATCTGTTTTATTATCTGTCAAAAAATAATAAATTAGTTTCAACAAATGATTAGAATTAGAATGAATACGATTACCAATGGAAATAAGATTGTTGGTCAGATTTTTCTCTTCTGGTTTTCTGCTCTTGCTATCCGATGATGAGAATAATGCTAAGCTTAATAATTGCAATATGATTGAAGAAATTCCTTCACCGAATAGGAATGAAATTCGAAACAAAAATGGTATGATACGAATTTCATGACGACAAAGCCGTTGCCAATTGTGTACACGTGTAGATGCAATATCCAGACAAGCTTTCAGATATTCGACCAGATTGATTAATTGTGCATAAGGAAGATTCAATAGACGATGTTGATCAGATGACATCATTGTCATCATCATTGTATTGGCTTTATCGTCATCATTTTGAATGACCGTTGCAATTATTATACGAATCAATTCATCTAATTGTTCTTCATCATCAAGATCTTCTTCAGTGATACCTAAATCTTGTAATTTAATTTTCATTTGATTTGAATTATTTGATGATGAATGATCGAAAAAATGCATGACAATAATACGTCGTACAGCACGTAGATTTGTTTTGATGGCATAATAATCACGTACTTGACGATAACGTTCTTTTGAACCGCATAGATTGGACAAGAGTTTTCGTACTTGTTTTCGAATATAAGGTGTTACTGATGGCAACATCATATATTCACATAATGTTTCAATCCATGATACATTAAAATCAATTGGTATGATCGGTTTCGATGGCTGTGATGATGATGATTCTTTATCAACTGTTGAATCTTTGTCTTTGTTATCATCATTTTTGGTTTGTAGTTGTTGCTGTTGTTGAGCATTGAGGAATGATATCAATTTTTTTAATTGATATGGCATTCGTAAAGACATTTCTGTTAATAATTCTGAATAATGATCAAATGCACGGTTTGCAAATACAAATGAATTGATTGCCGTACAAGTATTTGAAAGATTAATACTTGAATTCGTAAAATTATTCACAACAACAACACCGGATGTATCTTGAGCTTGTTGTGAATTTTGTTGCTGCTGATTAGATGCAGTGGATGGTGATGGTGATGATGGTTGAACAATTTCAGGTAATATGGTAAAAAATGGTCTTAAATCTGTAGGTATAAACATTGAATTCAATAATCGATCATCCCGCATATGGATACTTTTCTTCGAATTATATTCAATTATCAATCGATCATATCCTTGAGATTTTGTCGTAGTTTTATTATCCATTGAATCTGTTCCACTTGATTCAGATTGAATAGCCATTTGTCGCCAATAATGTTTCAATAGATGATGTAACATTGTATAACAGTAATCCAACACATTGGTATTGGATTGTATCAATTGTGCAGCCGCTAACAATAGGCTTTGATGTATGGAAGTTGTGTTAGCAGTTGTCAAAGTGGAAGCTTTAATACTTTCTTCATTGAATGTTACGAAAGAAGATTTCATTTGTCCAGATTGTGATGATGGTATCAATTGTCGGAAACTTTCATTTATCGGTAAATCTTTGGATAAAAATGTTTGCCATGTAATTGTTGGGAAACGTTTAAAATATGATAAAAATATATTGAATAATCGCATCGTTAATAGATGGATTTCATTTTCTGCTATATGTTCAATACGATCTTTGTATTGAGAGATGGATTTATTATGGCAACGTAATTTAATATGTGATGGACTTGCTGTCGTATCATTTGTTGTTGAAGCTGATTCCGAAACATTTATTATTGAATCATTTGATGATTTAGCCAATAAATGATCTAATAATTTTTTCATAATTTGATTGAAAATGATGGCAAATTCTTTCTGGTCAGATTCGGTATAATTAAAATCCGTAAGTATGGTAAGAACCTGTAGAAATGGTATAGCTTGTATGCCATTCAATTTGATCATATTATCGAATGATTGATTCATTTGTTTCAATAAAGCTAAACATAATTTACTGGTTACCATTCGACGAAGTCGTTTTCTATTCTTTTGAATTTCTTTTTGCTGTGTTTTTGAATCTTTTTCTTTTGATTTTGATTGTTGACCATCGCTTATTGAAACAGTTGTGTTTGATGATTGTTTTTGTGATTGACCAGCATGTAGATGAGTAGATGAAATATTATTTGTTCCAGAACTAGACACATGTCCACTGCTACAACGTTTATTTGTGATTGCTTCAGTTGATTTCGAAATCTGTTTAGCACCTTTTAATGATTGTGTTGATGCTTCCATGGAAATCAATTCATCGTCATCATCATCAAATTCATGTTCTTCTTCCACTTCAATTGATTCCATAGTTGTATCGGCCAATTTTATTTCATCATCAAATAATTCTTCATCATCATCATCTGATTCTGAATGTACGGAATAATGTGATGAAGCTTGACCAGGATCAGATTGTTGTGATGATTGATGATGTTCCTGACTGGATTGTTGTTGCCGTACAATATCCTCTTCATCTTCTTCAGGTAGAATAATATTAGATGAACCTTGTTGATGATGATCTCGTTGTCTTTGGCGCTGTATTCGTTGTCTCTGGTAATCGGCAACAATTTCCTCTAATGTACGACTTGGTTGTTGTCTTTCAACATCAATTTCGATTGAATTCGATTCACCATCGGCTCTACCACCGCTATCTCCTCGTTGTTGGTCTTCCAAACTTAATGCAATAGCAATTTCCATCATTTCATCTTCATCCATAGTTTCAAATTCGTCTTCTTCGTCATCGTCGTCGTCGTCTTCGTCATCATCTTCATCATCATCAACAGGAACATCTTCAACCTCTAATACTTCTTCCAATGGTATTGATTGTTGTTGCTGTTGTACATTAGCACCATTATCTGAACCAGAATTCGGTGGAAACAATGGAGGAGGAGCAGATGATCTATCACCAATAGCACCATAGTTATTATCAGAAGTTATTTCGGCCAAACGTGAAATATCCAATTCTTCACCATCAAGATCAACATCTACATCATTATCGTCGTCGTCGTCGTCATCATCATCATCATCATCATCTTCTTCTTCTTCTTCGTCATCATCATCATCTTCACCTGTGATTGATTCGAATATTTCTTGTTCATTCTGTTCTTGGTTTTCACGACGAAGATTGGCCATAAGATCTTGAAAATATGGAAATTCACTATCAATATTAAGTAATAGATTTTGATATGGATCAAAATCTGAATCCAATATTGATTCACTAACACGTTCCAAGAGGCTGGCGGCTGCTGTATTTTGTCTTCGACTTGATATTGATCCAAATAGGGATCCTGATCCTTGACCACTAAGTGAACTAGCACCACCACCAGTGTTTGATGATGAATCAGGTCGATTGGTGGTTGTCCACCAACTTGAACTAAATCCGGATGATCGTGAACGCCTTGTTGCACCTTGTCTATGTAAAAGACTTCCAACTGATGATGTTGATGGTTCTTGATTATTGATAGATACATTAGCAGTATTCTGATGACGATGAGTCGCTAAATAACGTGCAGAAGGACGTCGTTCACGATTACTATCCGATTTACCAATGGCAGATGAAGAGGCACTTGACTGTTTTGATACAGATGTTGTACGATTACATGATGATTGTCTTTCTATATGATGACGATAAACACCACTCGAAATTGAATACAAAATTCTTAATAAGGCTTTTTTCGTTGCAAAAGTAATTCGTGGATCTAGAGCACATAACATTTGTATTAGCAATTGTGAACATTTATTCATCACTTTCTGTTGATTATCATTTTGTTGATCAACAGACGTCGTTGATGATATGATGGCATATGTTGATGAATGTAAAATAAATACCAATGAACCGACTACTTGTTCCAGACCGTAATAATGGCCAACCATTGTCAATGGACTGGTCAGATCATTCGATGGTCGTAGTGAATATAGACGCCAGAATAAATCAACAAGATAGCTGCAAAATTGTACAGTATATGTATGCGGATCATTGGAATTTTTACTAAAATATTTCATTATGAAACGGATAAAATTTTTCGGATATTCATGTACATTTTCTCGGAACCATGAGAGATAATAACGATATACGTTAATATCATCAACACGACTGAGATTTTCAATACCATTCTCGAAAAGAATATCCCCACGATGTTCATCATATTGATTACGTGATGGTAAAAGTTTTGCTAATAGCAAACAAATTGATTTATCCAAACGATTACTCAATGATATGGTCAATAATTTCGATGCGATAGATAATGATGTGTCACATTTTTGCTTAAATTCTTGCCCATTACATAGATCACGTGCAGTCATTATCCATATTGCCGATGATGCTCGCGGTCGTTGATCAATGTTCATTTCGGATGTTGATTTCGTAAACGATATTAATGATTCCAATACATCCAATGAATTGGCCATCAAACGATTTACAACGATGATAGATTGGTTTGTTGATTTCATCGTAATAATCAATTCATCATCAGTAATACAAGGAGCATATAGAAGAAGACGTAATTTTTGAATCGGTGATTTCATCGATATTGATGATGATCGTTGCTGCATTGCCGATTGTGTTAATCTACGTCGTAAATCACCGAATGGTGCATTACTAGTTCCATTAGTATTTGCAATAGCATTAGCAGTTTCTTCTTCATTCACCGATGGTAATCCAACAAGATCACGGAGACGGCCATAAACACGAATTGAGTCAACAATGGTTACCTGATTTGAATCACCACTGGGAGCAAATCTTATACTGAAAGTATTTGTTTCGACTAATTTTTTCATCTCAGATCGTGTGAATGGTATATCAAACCATCGATGACGATTGACAGCTACCCAAACGGTTCGGCCAAATACTTCAATAGCTGTAGGCGCACGTGCTGGATCACATACACCAAGATTAACACGTACACCAGCCATAACCATATCGAAAGAACCGGTCTGTGTGACAGTTATGCTGAAACCATTTGGCTTTGTACAGGCAATGTACATATTGGTTGAATTTAGACGATTTTTTATCTGTTGTACATTATATACTTCTAATACATCGGATCCACCAAATTCAATATCATTCAACATGGTACATCTTTCGAAAAAATCTACAGCAAAATGAGGAGTTGATTTATTCGATGTTGATGACGATGATTGTTGTGGTTCATTTGAACCAGCACGTGATGATGATTTTGATTCAGCGTTCTTTGACATCGTGGATGAATGATAGGCTGGCATTCCATCTAGATTATAAATTTCCGGCTTTAACCAGAAATTAGTTTGTTCTTGAACGGCACGATAAAATCGTAATGAACCATCATCACATAATGATAATAATGTTGTAATTTTTGAGCGATATTGATCATTGAGTTGTGATGAAATGGCAACAAAATCAATAATTTTTTTCTTCGGTTTTAATTCTTGAATTTTTATACGATTTGATTCAATCATAAAACAAATTGGATTATTCGTATGCGTTAATGCAAAAATAAGGCCAGGATGTTGTAAAACTTCGGTCCATCGATACAATGGTTGTTGATGTGATTGAATCGGTGGTGGTGATGATGATGAAGATGAAAGATCTGATTGTGTGATCAATGATGAATCCTGTTTCGATGAATTATTATTATTATTATTTGCTATTGATGATTGTAAATCCAAAGATGTTATATTCGTAATTTTCTGATCATAAATGTTTCGTATGCCAAATGGGGAACAGAATGAAAAACCAGAAAGAAAACTGACAAATAACATTTGCAATAAATGTGAATAATAGATGGAATTTCCGACTACTGTTGATTGATTATTTGGATTCCATTGTTTTGGATATGAAACATTCAAAATTGATGTAACATAGAATACATCATTTGATGATGAACATTGACTTTCGGCATTCAATTCTTCAGCATAAATATGGCCACGGCTAGAAAAAATTAGAATGAAACGTTTACTTTCACCATTACGATCTTTACATGAGAAAAAAGTCATATCACGAATTTTTCGTTGAGTGATGACAAAATTGTAAATAGGTTCATCACGATTTTCTCGGGATAAATCATAAATTTTGATGAAATCAAATGTTACAACAGCCAATTCTGTATGGCGATCAGGAAACCAATAAGTTTTAATCAAATGATTATTATTATCAAATGGCATTGATAATGGATAATGTCCAGTAATGGTTCCATTAGCAGCTAATGTAAGAATATGACATTCTTTAATTCCAGATATAGCTATCAATTCATCATTCAATGGATTATTCGATATTGATATTATTGTGAATGGAAACGAAATGGCTGCAATTTTTTGTGGATTTAATTTCTTTCGTGAATTTGAATAAACTTGACCAAGTAATTGATTTAGATGTATGATTGATAAACGATTTTTATCATGTGCAATGGCCATCAAACATGGATAATAAGCTGATGATGGCTGCTGTTGAGATAAATTCGAACAATAATTATCATATGCATTGGCACCAATCACCAACATTGAATTACGATGTACAACTGAACCGCTCATTATGGATACATGACGTGCCGAATGTGATTGATCATTTGATATTTGAACATTATCGAAAACTGAATCTTGCCATGCTTTCTGCACTGCCATAAGTTGTTCACATTTTTGTAATGACCATGAATTTGTTGAACTATGATGTTCATCAAATGCTTTTCGAATATTGGTTAAATAACCCAATTCTGAATGAATATCGAAAAAATTTTGCAAAATTGGTACAAAAAATTCAACAAGTGAAATGACCGTATCCGAAATCGGCACGATATACGACATGAATAATGAACTATAATTATCAAGATTTTCATATTTCAAACCAAAACGTTCATAATTTTGTACAATCATTGGATTGGCTGAGAATCTATTGCGAGACATTTTATAATTATCCGATAATTTTGATTGATGTGAATCAAGCGAATAGAATGATGTATACCAATATTTTGATATATGTAAGGCACGTTTTTTATCGATAAATGTCATTTTTTTATCATCTACTTTGTTATTATTGGATTTATTGCCGGTCAATGTTGCCGTTTGATGATGTTGTTGTTGTTGTTGTTGTTGGCTACGTTTTTAATAGTTTTTTATCCCGATCACTGGCATTTGGTTGACGTTTTACCAATGCTTTACATGAACTATCTTCTTTTGCACCACAATCACAAAAAAATGATCCATATTTTGAATATGTTATATCATGATTTCGATGACAAACTTTTGCACATACAGTACAAACACCAACACCGTCCAACATTTTACATGTATGACAATGATACCAATGTTGATTGATAAAATCTTTAGCTGTATGAGTAAATGTACATAATTTTCCAGCCAACTCTTCATCATCTTCATAATCAAGATCCATTTCATCATCAGTATCGATTATGGTCGTATTTTCAACATCAACATCAAAGTCATCATCAATAAACAATCGATTTGAAATAGATGATTTGATTTTACCATCATCTTTTTTCTGTTTAATATCTTCTTCACCACCACTGCCATCTTTACGATTTTTAAGTAGAACATATTTATATTCCAATGCATTGAATATATCGGATATATAGGCAAGCATCTGATAACTGGATTCCAATAAAAATCGCTGTTTACCATTACCAATTAATGATGTTTCGATCTTATTCAACATTTCACGATTGCATAGATGATCTTTTATCATTGTAAGCCATTTCATTACTTCATGAATCAATCGAAAATGTCCATGTATTGGTTTACCAGGTATGTATTCTTGTTCTAAATTACCGGTGGCCGAAATTAAATAAACCAAACTGGTGAAAAGACCAGAAAAATATAGGAACGTATTATTCGAATAAGTGATGCATGTGTCATTCAATAATGTTTGTACATTTTGAATGGTAGCTTCAGCAACAGATACCAGCACCATTTCATCCATTCGACCAGGACCTTTAATAATGTTGCAAATGAATTTGAAAAACATGTAAAGATTGGCATTACATGAATCATCAATATAATATGATTGATGATCATCATTCGATTTAATTGTTTCCAATCGTTCACTATCACCATCAGTATTCATACGTTTAAACAAAACAAGCCGAAACCAATTGGTCAATAATTGAATGCGATCATTATAATCAAGTATTTCATTTGATAATCCCATACAAAGACGAATCAAACCGACATCATCAGTAGATTTTTCCGATTGTGAATACAATGTTTTTATCAATTTCATCACATTCACAGCATAATTTGAAGTGATCAATGGATGTTCAGTAACTTTGATCAAATCCAATAGGCTATAATTTATTTCCGAAATTAATGGTTGTTGCGGTTGCGTAAGAACGGTAGGTGTTGACGGTGAACTATTGCCAAGCAATTCTTCAAATGCGGCTACACCAGCAGATGAATGTTTGAGAATTTTTCCAAACAATCGAAAAAATTCCGGCGAACAAGATTGAAATATTTTCACAATTTTCGATTGATCCATTGGTTTTAATTCGGAAAATAATGGATGATTGAAAACGGATAGAATGAAAAAAGCATTGCCAATAAAATGTGGATAAAGTACCAAATTATATGAATCTGGTTCAATATCTGTCTTGGTAAAATCTTGATTGGAAAATAATTTATGCAATATTTGATATGTCAACGATGATTGATGATCAATTGATGATGATTTTGATACAAATGTACTGGATACAAGATTTAATTGTAGCATTAAACAAGTAACAAATGAATCACTTCGTTGTGGACATTCTTTTTTTGAATAGACATATTCAATAAATTTAAACAATTTAACCATAAATTGTTTAAGTTTTATCCACGTTATATTACCATCACCTGTATCTACCGATGTAACCGTTGGCATATCAATAGCATATTTTTCATTAATAAATGCAGATAAATGATAAAGATGATTTGTTTTGCATTTTGATTGTGAAGATGTGGCTGTTGTTGTTGTTGTTGATTGGCTTGCTAATTCGATCAATGGAATATCAAAAAGAACGCCTTTTTGTAGCAATGCCGGTAATTCTTGATCAGTAATATTACGATCACTATTAACATGTATACGATCCCATTGATCAATTTTCGATACAATTGATTGCGGTAGATAATCGATAATATTTGCGGCAATTTCCGATAGTTGTGAATTGAATGAATTTGATGAACAAATATTCACCATTGAACGATAGAATAGATATTGCATATCTGCTGAATTATTACGACCAGCTTGTGATAATGGGCCATCATATAATAGGACAGCATTAACCTCTTGATGTATTTTATCGAATAGGCCAAGCATTAGAGCTAGATATTTTTCCACTATCATTTGTGGATCATCTTCGTTTCTGTTTTTTGACAATTTTTTAAATTCTTCATTAAATAAAAAGATCAATCGTTCCAGATAAATGTCCATGGTGAATAATGTAAAAAATTTTGGAAACTGATACGATTGAAGAGGCAAAAGTTGTTGTTGTTGTGTGAGTAATATGTTTTTAGATGATAATACATCATTCGATGTGGATGGTGTGTAACGAAAAAATGACCAACCAATACATTTTAATAATTGATAATTGAACTGTAGTGAACCGAATTTTCGTACCATATCTTTAATGATTGTTTCGATAGTATTCGAATTGGAATCACATTGTTTACTAAGTAGTTCGGAAACCCATTGACAAACAGGTCGATTATTTTCAAAACGTGGTAACCATATACACATGTTAAGTATACGAGAAGCATCAATAGAAACAAAAGAATAAAATTCATTCTCAACAGATGAATTAACCACTGAATGAATATCGTTAAGAAATTGTAAACTTGGTGGCAATTGATTAATCAAACGCCACATTGTGCCGAATGTATAATCCATAGCACAAAGACCAAATGAACCAAATTGTGGATAACGTAACATTGTTCTATCTTCATCTTGATGATTATCACATTGATGGTTTTGACGTGAATCAAAATCATATTGATAGCCAAGAAATTGCAATAGATCCAATAGTGAATTGTAAAATTGGCCATATGAAAGTGATTGAAATCCAGCCAACATAAAATTACAGGCAATACCATCAAGTTTTGGTTTAAAATTTCGTAATGATGAACATTTCGGTGCCGTTATTGTCACATCCATTAGATGATAGAATCGTGGATGTATGATAAAATCGAATACATTCAAATTATTAAGATGATCAACAGTTGTTTTTAATGATGACGATGATGTGGATGTATTACGATAACTAGAAATCAAATGGCTAAAATAATTCAATTCCAATTTTTTATCAACAAAAAATTTTATATTTCGAAACGAATCAGGTGATTTTTGTAGATTTTCCAATTTAACTTTGATAAGAGCTTCTTTTGATTTAGGTGGCATAGCACGAATAGCATCCATATTATCATTATTATTGATGATTAAATTCAATAAATTATGATTAATCTGTTCAAATAGATAGGCAGGTGTATCGTATAGATTTTTACACATATATTCAAATAGATGTAAAATACGGCCAATATAAAGAATCTGTGCAGCCGATATTGAACATTTGTTAGCGGATAATTTAACCGATATTTCATTCAATGCTAATCCAACCAATGAAAATACATGTTTTCGTTGTAGTAATTTCAGATTATGAAACAAAAACAACATTAACTGTGCATGTTCAACATTTAAATCTTCTTGAAAATCAGGACATTCTGGATTAAAAATGGCAACTTCACCTTTGAATGAAAGTGCTGATTGTTTGAGTTTATTGATGAAACCTCTCCATATTTGAATGGTTGTTGAATTGAAATCACATTTTATATCTTCTTGTTCTTTTTGCTGTCGTAACAATATAATTTGTGCCAAAATAGCCAAACTACGTACACCATGATGTAATGGCCATGAACATTCGGATTCAAGACTTGGTTTAAAACCAAGATAGGCAAGCAAAGAATTTTGTTGTTCATCCGGAAGTATCTGTACGGCAATCAAATTATGCATAAGTGATGTTAATGAATTGGAAAATCGATAAAATGTTCTTGAAGAAAGCGGTGATAGTGTTTGAACATTATCCATTTCTGAATCTAAATCTTGAATAACATGTGCCAATACAATCAATTGAGCATCGGTAAGCATCTGTTTAAAATATGATCGTAATGCATCGATTTTCGAGCATATAAAATAATAGTTAAGATGATCCAAAATCGATATGACTAGTTCATAATGGCTATCGATATCACGTTCTAGCATTGTTTTCACATCTGTTTGTTTTGATGTGTCCACCTTATTTTCATTATTATCAGCATTGAATTGTTCATTAAATGTTTCAAACAAAAATGAATGTTGCATATGTACATCATCTTCAAATACTTCATCATCATCCTTCATACTGGATGAATGATTATTTTGTTGATGTTGTTCAATAAATTTTCTAGCGATCGATGTAAATTCATCTTCTTGTACTTGTTGATCTTGTTCATTTATTGAACTAGTATTCGAATCCAATGTTAATTTACTACGAGAATGGCGTAATAATGTTGCACGACGATAACCGGCAGATAAATAGCTAAATAATAAATGTATAACATTTAGATTGCTTGATACAATCATATCGATTCGTTGCCAAGCAGAGTAATGGCCAAATTTATTATATTTAAATGTGGCATTCATCGTACGAACATTGCCTGATGAAATGGTGTTCATTGTAGCCGATGTCGGTATAGATGTACGTGATGAACTGGGACTCAATTCGGCTGGTGTTGTTGCCGGTGTTGTGGTCACACTACCCATAGTTGATGGACATGGTTGAACATTGAAAGAGAATTTTTTGAAAAAATTAAGCTCCTGAATATTTTTATGGTCATTTGAATCATCAACATCATCTAATTGTTCTTCAAGTATATTGTTGGTTTGATCACCAAATTCCAGATGAAGATCATTCAATAAAAATGACATTAATTTCAATGCATGTTTAGCCAATGGTATGCATAGAAAACTGTAACCTTGTTGACGTTTATTCGAAGTTGTTTGTTTTGTATTAAGAATCATTTGTAAACCAGTAAATAGTAGCCAAGAAGTGAACATATGAGCATTTTGACTAATCTGTCCGGCTACACGATTTGAATGGCGAAAAATGTCGAAAACTTTATCATATAATAATAAACTTTTCTCAATGATATCCAATGTCGCTCGTTCAGATCGACTCAATTCGGATGAATCGGCTAATGAAACAGTAGCTACTGATAATAATTGCGATTGATCAATTTGATTAGCATAAGAAATCAATGAAAGACAAGCCATTAAAGCAGCTTGCACAAGCACAATCATTTTCGATATACGATCACAGCTTAATGGTTCCAATAGACGATCCAATGTGAATACATTATCAACAAGTACAATGTCGGCAAGCTAAACGATCACAGATTAGATCAAAATGTGTACCATCCAAACGATCTAGACGAAGATTGGCACCCTCTTCAATGGCCAATAAATGTAATAGGTATGGACGTAGTAATGTATAATTATTGATCAGATTCAATATTGAAGTTGCACCACCAATATATTGGAAATACATTTGATTATGGCTAATCAGATAGGATCGTATCTGTTTTATGGAGTGATGTTTTGTTGTTGAACATATAGAATTTATATTTGATTGTTTTGAAAATGGTTCAGCAGCAACAGTTGTTGACGATAATGATGTTGGTGCAATGATTGTAGCAGCAGCAGCAGCAGCAGCAGTAGCCGAAGTGGTCATAGATGTTTTCACTGGTGTTTGTTGATTTAATGGTATTGATGATGATGAAATGTTATGTAAATCGGTCGGATGATTTGCAGCAGTGTTTGAAAAAATAAACGGTGTCAGTAGTTGATCGAAAAATTCTTCCTTTGAATTTCGTTCCAATAAACTTTGTGTTAATCGTATACGTTTGACAGATGATGATTGAATCATATCAGCGGTTAAAGATGATGTTTCTGAATCCACATTCATTACAGATGAATGTAATCGTAATGTATCTGGCATCGATTTCATACGTAACATTTGACATAAACATATTAGATCCTGTTGTGTTAGAGCATTAGATGTTTCTTTAAGATGATTATTATCATCCAATAATAAAAAGCTTAAAAATCTGATTAAACGATATTTGAGAAAATGGCGATAATATTCATCGGTATCGACATTCATTTCATCAACATTTTTCATTTGTTGTAGATATTGTACATTGAATTCAATGTAATTATTTTCTTCATCATTATAAAGAGAAATTTCATTCAATGAAAATTGTAAAATGTAGACCAATATTTCCGATACGATCGATAAATAGGTACGTGAAACTTTTTTTTCATAAAAGAAGTAGAGAAAAATAATGGTCATTACTTAGATATTGGCAAAAAAACGATAAACTTACTTAGATGAGTCTCGGTAAGAAGTACATGTCCACATAATGTCATCAAAGGCATCAAATATAGGCGTTCACTTGTTGCGAAATGAGTCATGTTCTTTTTGCTACATGATATCAAAATGATGTAATCATCATATAAGCATTTTAATTGAATCAATCAGAAAATATCATGTCTACTTACCACAATTCCATTGTTTTAATTAATGTTTCCAAATCCTGACGAGATATTGGCGGATTTGTTTGCTGTATAGCACCGGTATTACCATCTTTGACACCTATAGCACCAGATGATTGTGTATCGGATCGTGTTGTTGATGATGATGAAGCGTTTGTCATGAATGTCCATGATGATTGTGGCTGTGATGATTGTTCATCATCATTTTGAACAATATTTGATGATGATGATATATCATCAATAAACGCTTTTATTTGATCTGGATCAAATGCCGATTGTTGTTCCTGTTGTTGTTGGTCATTATTATTATTGATATTGATATTATTATTACTGGCTTGTTGTTGATTTAACCATGTTAAATAATGACCGGTAAAAAAATCAATCAATTGTTTAAGACGTTCTTTTGTTTCATCCATTATGTATGATTTTCATCATAAATCATAAATAGATATATTGAATATGAACGTCAGATTTATTCACTCGAGAATGTTGATATTGGGTTAGGTTTATATCTATTGTGAAGACGAAAAAAAAATTGCGTCGTTTAGATGGAATTCTGCGTTATATAAACTTTTGAAAACTTTTAAAACACACACACATATACATATAAACAAAAGAACTCACATTGAAAATTGATAAAACAAATAATCAGTAAATGAAAAATGTCTTGTTTGAACAAAAAAAAAAAAAAAAAAATGAAGAAAACCCGATTTTATTCAACGACGTTGTAGTTGATACGAACAAAGAGCAAATGAAATGAAATGAAAAAAAAATGTCTTCGAACGATATGATGTTGATGATGAAATTGATATTTTGATGAGAATCGTGATGCTAATCAAAAAGAAAAAAAAAAAAAAACTCAAATATCAACATCTACAACAGCAGCCACAGCAACAAACAAATTAAACATTGATGATGATGATGATGCCACTCGGGTAAATGTTTGTAGATTTTTTTTTCAATTTCTAAAAATAAATAAAAAATTGATGTTACAAATGATGATGTTATTATATTGGCAAAAGAATATATATAAAGATTAAGATGTCAACCAATATATTTGTGGATAGAGAACAAACATATATATACTCACTATATTATTATATATATTATAAACAGGAATCGAATCTCAAATCAAATAGAAGATTCTAAAATGGAATGAATTTTTTTTTTCTTTTTATTACTACTCAATTAGGCGGCGTGTTATTTTTTTTTCTTCTGTGATATGATCGACAAACATTACTACTACTACTACTACTAACTCTCTTTCTTTCTTTTTCTCTCTTTTTTTTGATGATGATGATAATGATTGATTACAGAATCAAAAATCAATTTAAAGAATTTATATTGTTATCTTTAACACTTTCAAAGTTGAATATATGATGAACAAAATTTATAATTCGATAGAATTAGAATACGACGAATGAGAACTTGAATTGATTGCATTATCCATTGAGTGTTGAGCATAGTTTAGTACAGTTTTCCTCTTTGCCCACCCCCCAAGATTTTGATCCAAATCAGTGGTATCCAACTTTCTAACCTAACCATCATCAAAATATGTTTGTTTCGAATACAAGTAAATCTAACTTAATTGTGATATATAATAGAATAGAATATCAAAGTTTTTTCTAGGACCGAAAGTTGGAATTCACTGATCAATGTTACCACTACTACATGTGAATATTAGAATATATATATATATATATATATATATGGATTTCATCAATGGCCAGACACACACACATTATTTCCCCCCCCGTAATGTCATCTATGAATGTGACTAGCCTGTTTTCTTAAAGCCTGACGTGTAAACTTCAGCCGTCTGTTGAGTTTCGAATTTTTTTTTTTATAATTTGTTGCCGACATATTATATTATCCTTTTTTTTTAATTTTTTGTTTTTTTCATCTCATATTGACTGAAATATCTTTATTTATCGATAAATAAATATAATATTATTATGGGTGGATCACAATCTACGGAAATTCCCGGTGGTGGTACTGAAGGTTTTCATGTTTTAAAGGTATAGAATATTTGTTTCTTGGAATTAAAATTTTGTCCAATATGTCTTTATATAGGTACAAGATGATTCTCCTGGTTCCAGAGCAGGTTTAGAACCATATTTTGATTATATAATTGTAGCCGGCAATACTCGTCTTGTGAGTCTAAATCAATTAATGCCAATTATTAATTGGTTAATAATTTTTTTTGCTTTAAACATTCAATACAGAATCAAATGAATGATGATCTAAAAGATATATTAAAATCCCATGTGGATAAATCACTTCGTTTGTTAGTGTATAATTCAAAATATCAAAACGTACGTCAGGTTGATATTGTTCCTACTAATAATTGGAATGGTCAAGGATTATTGGGTGTAAGCATACGTTATGCATCGTTTGAAAATGCTGATGAAAATGTATGGCATGTGTTGGATATCGCTCCAAATTCACCGGCCGATATTGCCGGATTGAAAGCTCATCGAGATTATATTATTGGTGCCGATTCATTCCTACAGGATGTAAGTAATCTCTTTTTTATATATTGAATTTAATAAATAAAAACTAAAAATTTTTCAATTCAAATAGAATGACGATATATTCAATTTGATACAAACATATGAAGGTAAATCATTGAAATTGTTTGTATACAATATTGATACGGATTCATGTCGTGAGGTTACAATTGTGCCTAATTCGTAAGTATTTTTTCCTTTAAGTTTTTAAAATCATTAATAATTTGGATTAAATTCAGTAACTGGGGAGGTTCCGGTCTACTTGGTTGTGACATTGGTTATGGTTATTTACATCGAATTCCACGGCCAAAATCTAATAATCAAGAAACCTCTCCATTATTGTCGGACGTTACTTCGCAATCAACAATCGGTACTGTGCCTGTTTCTTCAAAACCAACCATCACAGGTCACACAGGTGATGAAGTACAGCAAAACAAGCAACCACCATCGGATATAAATCGACTTTATACTGGAAATCTTATTACTGGACAGTCCAATGAAATGTCAATGCCTAAGCCCCTGCCTTTATCCACGCCATTATCATCAAGCATAACGGATATGAGTGGTGAACGACAACAACAGCAGCAGTCGGGACCAACAGTAGTAACAACATCATCCACGGTACCATCTGTCGTGTCTTCATCTTCAATTTCATCGTCATCAGCAGCCTCAATAACATCGACGGCTGTGGATAAACAAGCAACACCAACTATGATTAATCCAGCTTCAACCCCATTATTATCTAAAAATCTATATCAACACCATCCGACCAATCCGTCAACTTCGTATTTTACACCGGCTCCATCCTATAATAATAACATCAATCCTAATTTGTCTTCATCGATGATTCCTCCCTATTCAACATCATCATCATATGTCAACACTTGTCTATCGCAACAATTTGGACAATCAATGAATTTTGAATGCTCAGCACCACCACCACCACCACCAATATCCAGTTCAACAATGATGTCGGCTGCTCTTATTCAACCGCCATTCATTTCTAGCTATACATCACCAACTTTTTCATCATCATCGATGCCTTTTGCATCGGGTGGACAAATTCAACCGCCACCAATGTTCACGATGCCTTCACCATCATCAGTTATAGCACCACATAGCTCATCATCAACATCAACAACGTCGTTTCAATCGTATAAACCAACATTTCCAGGTGGTGCCTCCTATCCTTCCTCGCTTCCTCCATTAACCTCATCATCAGGCGGCTATTATGGACCACCACCACCACCACTGGTAATGCCACCGCCTATATCGAACACGAATACAACATTGTTTAATCCGGCCACATCGAATATGGTACCAACACCTTCAGCTCCTTCGGTAACATCTGACACAATACAACCATCATCATCGGCAGCACCACTGATGATGTCTTCACCACCACCTTCGCAATAAATATTACGGCGGTTGCAATTGAATTTCGTACTATTCATTTTTTTCTTTTTTTAATTTTTACAAAAAAACAACAATTATTTTAATTGAATAAAATTTGGTTGCCAACAATCAAACATTTTGCTCTATAAGTTTCTTGAACATTTTCGCATTGATGGATAATTTCAATTTTTTTTCGGGTTAAATTTTGCGATTTTTTTCTCTTGTTTTCTACTCTAATCTTGTGTTAAAATGGGTTGTGCACAATCGAGTAAGAAAAGAAACCAAGTTGATTTGATTTATTTTTTTTAATTAATAAATTTTTTTCAATACAGAAAACATCGAACCTGTTCGTGAAAGTTCCAACAGAACAAAGAATCTTTCAACAGCAGATGGTGGTGAAAAAAGCACTAGTCAAAAACCTGACCAATCGGAAGTGTCGAAAATGTCGAATGTCGAAGAAACGAAAAAAGACAATGCATCGAAAGTAACTTCTAGTACAGCCGATGGTAGTAGTTCCGTGGCTGGATCATCATACGATGTAGCATCCGCTGCCCCAAATTCATCGAATGCTACAAGTTCAGTGGCTCCTAGTTCAGCAGCCGGTGGTTCAGCAGTCGGTAGCTCAGCAATTGGTAGTTCAGCAGTCGGTAGTTCAGCCGTTGCTACAAGTGAAATGGTCAGTGCTATGGATACTTCACTTGGTAGTAAAATGAGTAGCCAAATGTCAAGTCAACTGTCTAGCTATGCCGGAAGTAATGTTCAGCCAACAAGTGCTGTTCAAGGTCAATCTATTGCCGGCGCTGGTTCAGCTATTGGATCGGAAGTGAGTGCTGGTAGTGCTGTTACTAGTGAGCTAAGTGGGGCAGGTGGCAGTCGTGCCCTTAGTAAAGTGGGAAGCAAAGCAAAAGGAGGAAACAAAGGATCAAAAAGTAAAGTAGGTAGTTCAATCGCTAGTGGTTTTGCTTCGGAAGCAAATTCAGCCGTATCAGCAGCAACAGGATCACAAACTGCTTCGACCACATTTCCGTCGCAACAATCATCAGCACCACAGTCAAAAGTAGGAAACAAAAAGGGTGGTTCAAAAGCTTCATTGGCTAAAAAGAACAAAAATTAGATTGATGAAATTAAATTTTTGATTTTTTTTTCTTATTTTTTTTATTCTGAAAAAATTCTTGAAAAGAATTGTATAAAAGCCGATTGAATTTGATTTTTTTGAAATTTGTTTGTTTATTTTTTTATTTTTTGGTATTCGCGTGTGGTTAAAAAAAGTATGTCGTCCGATCAGATGAAATCTGTTGCCAATCATATACAAAGTTTTTATCAAAAAAGTGTAGCTGAAAATCCTCGATTGCTGACTCAAGATCACATAGATAAGATTAAGAAATTTTTATATGAATTTTGTCCACATAAAATGTTGAAAATAACTAAAGAATTTTTGCCAAATTATACGATTGAAAACCTAAGTAAAACAGCAAGCTGTGTGGAAAAATTTATTTATTCCATGCCAAAATTATCCACTGAAGAGGACATTGTAAACTATGAAAATCTATATCGGAAAGATTTTAGCGATCATTTTGCTGCCGGTAATGATCCTATTCTTCTTCCAACTGGTCCGGTAAAATCATCGAACGAATTTATTCGATTACATCGCCAATTATTGGATGAAATAAATGAATTTTTATGGCATTGTTCAGAAATTCGATTCATATTCAATTTAATGAGGCCACCATATGGTAAAACAAATAATTTTACAAATAAAGTTGCAGACAAAATAAACGAAACGGTTAATGAAATTATCAATGGCCTTGAACGGCAGCAATCATTTTTATTGTGCGTGTATGAACAACGGGCTGAACAAATGGCACGTGTAACAATGTTACCACAAATGGAAGATGTACAATTAAAATTGAAAAATGGTGAACAATATTGTTGGATAAATTTTCAAACATTCGTTCGGCAAATTCAACAATATTATGGTACACTTTATCAATTGGCAATGAAAAATTTGACAATTATGGATGATATTTTCAAACAGGCATTGATTCATGCTCGATATGATCAATATTGATGATGAATATATATGGTTTATGATAATAAATCATAATATATGTAAATGTGAACTAATAATGTATTTAATTTCGTTTTAAAATCGTTTTTGAACAAAACAGTTTACAGGTGAATGATATTCAAAATTTAACAATTAAAATAACAATTAAAAAATGAAAAAATGTTTTTTGATCAATTCTAAAATCAATATATAACTATCTAACCAAACATGGATAAATAAGGCTAATATTTATACCAATCAAAATGCCCAACAATATGGTCAATGCTGCCATTTGTCCAGAGCTTGTTGCCAGATGTGATGGAACACATTTTGGTGCATACATCATACAAAGACTAGATAAATATCCCGATGAAATGGCCATTGTGATTGATCCAACAATGTACATCCAATCATTATTGAAAATGACTGGTAATGAACGATGTAAGCTATCGCCAGGATAATAATTACAATATAAAAAAATGGTATGAACAATAAACGAATCAAACTGAATATGATCAGATAACGTGGTCCAGGCCATTGAACATATTGTGCAATCAGATTACCGACAGTGGCAAATAGATTGAATGATAGGAAACAGAAAACGGGTGAAAAATAGGCCGATGATATGATATTATCTTTCGGAATGATTCTTGCGTGAACAGTTGGAAACAATGATAATGAAACCACATAGATGAGAATAATATTTAATAACAACATCCAAATGGATCTAAATACTTGAAGATATTGTTGTGTTTTTGATTCAATCAATGGTTGTTTATCATGAAATGATTTTCCATCATACGATACGGCACGTTCCAATGATCTACTCAAATGTGGACAGTTATTGTTACTTGTTTTTGAATGGCCTTTTTCGAAACAACTCGGACAGGCATTGATGCTTTTGATCAAATTCAGATTTGAATTCAGCATTGATGGTGTGGCAAAAAATCGATAAAATTCCTGTCAAATAATCAATCACAATGATGATTATTACGAGATTTGAGTATGATTTTAACGGGATACTTACATTTTTATTCACATAAAACTGTCCGATAAAACATATAAACAGAATGATTACGGCACAAGAGAAAAAAATCAAAGCCTCAAGATTCTCTTTAGGTGATAACGCAATCGATATGATCATCAAAATGGCAGCTATAGTACCGCTGACATTCATTCCCATCACAACGGAATTTGTATATTTCATTGGAAAACGTGCTGCAAGACCATATGCGCAACTTTGATAGATACCATTAGCCAGATTGATGGCAACAGCGGACAACATAGTCAACCAGAAAAAAATCGACGGCCAACCACTTGAATCAACAATGGCCATTGCGATGATGAATATGAACACTAGGATTTGTGCAACCAATGAATATGTGATTCGATAACCAAGATTTACAGAGCCCCTATGTAATGGTGAAAAAAAAAATTTGAAAATTTTAAATTCTAAAAAATGACAACATTAATAACTTATTACTGTGTACTGATGAACATGTTGATTAATTGTAGCAAAATATTCGGCGCTTTACTTGCAATACCCAAATAGGAAAGAAATGAATTACGATAATTATCGATTGTTGGTGTTGAATCGGTAACATTCAATTTATATGAGACAAAATATTTATCAGCATTGATCAACATGTTCCATGGTAATAGTGTTCCAATACCATTGATGAAAAATATGATGAATATTATCTTCATTCTAATAATAATCATAATATAATACGATTGATCATGAATCACCTGTCAATATCAATGTTTATAAACATATATACCTATCAATAGGAACATTGGCCATGATTTCTGATGATCGAACCATGATTTTTTTTTTAAAAATTCAGTTCTAGATCTGGATTCACAGGTAATCAAAAACAAAGTGAAAGAATTTCTTTTGAAGAGCGACTAACAAAATTTTGATAAAATGCAGAAGGAAACGACCAACACTACAAAGACACTACTTACACACACACACACACACACACCATTGCCACGATGAAACGATATATTGGATATCAAGCGCCAAATATTTATTTAACATAATCAAAACAATGATTATATTTAGAAGTAATTTTTCTCAACATTAAAAAAAAAAAAAAAATACATACATTTTTTAACCGGACCAAACTGCTAAGGAACCTAGTTCGTTTTCGGATATTTCGTATATATATTCAATCAGACCACGATCATCATAATCATAATCACAATTCACAATGCCTGATATAAGATTTTGATAAAGTGCTTCATAAAAAAAAAATAAGTAGTGAAAATTTTTTTTTCTCTTCTGCTTTCTTTGTATATTATATCAAAGTACGATACAAACCTTGATGATGACGGTACTTGTTCAGTGAACGTTAAGAGTGTTCAACCAGTATTTCGATATATACACAGACACATTTCAACGATTAAATTCGATCATTGATTTCGATGAAAAAAAATGAAAATTTTAACCGATCTTAAATAGTCAATTGGATAGGATAGGATAATTATGATGATTATCGGCTGATTATAATACATTGTCATTTTGTTCATGCACTTAGATTTGTTTATCTTAAAGCTATTTTGTAATTAACATACACTTGAAAAAATATGGGAAAATTTTTAATAGGATTAAAAAAAATATACTGAAATACAATACTTTATGACTGATAATTGGAATTTTTGTTGTTGTTGTTGTTGTTGTTGTTGCTATCACCATCATCATTTATAGTTAAATGGTGGTTGGTGACCATCATCGATTGTAAAATATTGAAAGTCATTTTTTTTTGTTTAAAGATCCGTAATATTTCAGCACAAAATAAACGATGAAATAAACAATTAATTTTTGTTGATGATTGACTATAATAAATATTAATAGTAGTGATTTCTTTCTTTTTTCTTTTTAATTTACCGCCAATCATTATATTTTGTGTGTGTGTGTGTGTATTCAATATGGCAAGGATTTTGGTCACAACAAAAATCGATTGCCAACAATAAATATAGTTGCAATGATTGGCATTTTTTTTTGAATTTTTAAACTGTTTTTTTTTGGAGATTTCAAAATTCCATTATTTCCGATTGAAATGAAAATGAATATCCGGATTGTTGATGACGCATTCATCAGATTAAAAAAAACATCCGTCCGCACACACACACACACACACACACACGCAAACGCTTAAGGGCAAGAACATGACGCATGTCAGACAGTGGTAGACATAAGAAGAAAAATTGAATTGATAAACATGAAAAATGTTGTAACTTTTGATTTAAAATCAAATGATCAAATGATGATTATTAAGCGATTAGATTAAAATGTAGTAGTGTTACTAAATGGGCAAAGAATAAAAAAGGGCCATTCATATCGATAACTAGGCAATCGTATTTTTTTTATCATCAATTCAACGTTGTTATTTATAGATTGATCGAGTGATTTATGTGGTTATGGAACAATAAAATCAATCATCATTTGTAGCGTCTTGCATTTTATTTTTGCTGTTGTCAATTTTCATAACACCATAATGATTAAGATTAAGATTAATTCGATAATTTTTATAATCACATTGATCATTGGATTATCAAATGGTTTTTTCTTAAAAAATCTTTATCCACCAACTGAAACGGCTAATCGATTGATCGGTACAATTGATTCGAAACCATTATTTTTAACACCATATATTGAATCCGGTCAATTGGATAAAGGACGTCGTTTAAGTGAAGTTGTTGGCTTAACTGGTCTTGATTTGAAAAGTTATTCCGGATTTTTAACCGTAAACAAGACTTATGATTCGAATATGTTTTTCTGGTTTTTTCCTGCATTGGTATGCATTCATAACAATATATTATCTAATATCTAATTTCAAATATCGTATTTAGACAGAAAAACCGATGTACCCGTGCTACTTTGGCTTCAAGGCGGTCCTGGTGGATCCTCTTTGTTTGGTTTGTTTGTCGAAAATGGCCCAATCAAAGTTTCGGCAAATGGAATCCCTTATATGCGTGATAGTACCTGGAATCGGGAATTTGCTGTTTTATACATTGATAATCCGGTCGGTACCGGTTTTAGTTTCACTAAAGATGATCGAGGTTATGCTACCAACGAAGTAGATGTTGCCGAAAATCTTTATGAAGCTTTACGACAATTTTTCACTCTTTACTATGAATATAAAGGAAATGCATTCTTTTTGACTGGTGAATCTTATGCCGGAAAATATGTTCCGGCTATTGGATATAAAATTCACTGCATGGGTAAAGAAGCAGAGAAATCTGGCATAAATCTTCAAGGTTTAGCCATTGGTGATGGATTTTCCGATCCAAAACATATGGTTGATTATGGAGATTACCTATATCAAGTAGGTTTAATCGATGAAATTCAACGTGCTCATTTCAAAGAAGAACAACGACTGGCCATAAAATACATTGATGATGGACAGATGATGAAAGCAGCACAAATATTTGATCGTCTTTTGGATGGTGATTTTGATAAAAAATCCTATTTCTACAATGCAACTGGTTTGAATTTCTATTACAACATTCTTTATGATCGACAGCCAGATGATTTTGGTTATTATTCTAAATTCTTGGCATCAGCTAAAACACGTGAATCAATACATGTGGGCAATTTACATTTTGGCGATGATTCTATTCGTGTTGAAGAACATCTACTCAATGATATGATGGCCAGTGTTAGTCCATGGATTGAAAAATTATTGGATGGAAATTATCGATTAATGTTTTACAGTGGTCAATTGGATATAATTGTAGCTGCACCATTAACTGAAAATTTTTTAAGACATTTAAAATGGAAACGATCGAATGAATATCGTATGGCTAAACGTTTGATTTATCGTATTAGTCCAAATGATCAATCAGTTGCAGGTTATGTACGTCAAGCTGGTAATCTTTATCAGGTGATTATTCGAAATGCTGGCCATATATTACCATATGATCAACCGAAAGTAGCATTGGATATGATAACACGTTTTGTTAAAAATGAATCATTTTAATCATTTCTGATTATAATAACAATGTTGACTAATCAATAATTATCATGATTAAGATATTCTAAAAAATATTAATAATACAAAATGACAAAAACAAAAAAAGAACAATTCATCCAGATTGTTTTGTTTCTTGTTGTGATGATGATGAGTGTTTGTGGCCATAATCAAAATATTCATGTGTCCATCGCCAATAAGTAGCTTTCATACGATCCCAAAGTGCTTCGAATGAATCCAATGCTGGTCGTACGTCTAGTAGTGCAAAATTTCCTGTATCTTCAAGAAATCCACCATCATAATAATCAATCACATATCGAACTTCTTTACCACAACGATCAACAATCCAATCATGACGATCGAATGGTAATTCATAACCCAACCAGCCACGAATTCTCGCCCTTGGTGAATAATCCTGTGCCCGGCCACCAAAACGTTTTAATGTTGGCCCACATGGACATTCTTTCATATGGAATGACATTTCCCATTTAAGTACTTCACGCCAAGCCATTTCATTGTTGAAATTATGAATCTTAATTATATGACTCATATCTTCTGATGTAAATTTTTCCTTATTGATTGTTTCATCTTTACCTTCAACTGCTTCTTGCCATTTCCAACCCTTTCGTAGCATTGCATTCCAAAACATTTGTTCGGATGGATATACCCAATATTTTTCATTTTCATCTTTTGGATTAAATTTCGGTATAGTAGATGTTTGTCGATTTTTATTCAAATCAAATGGTTGTCCAACGGATGGCTGTTGATTTGCTTCCATTGGCATACGATTATCCGGATTAATTGGACATTCAGAAACGATTGTTGATTGTTGTTGATTTGAATGCATTGGACAACCACTGGGTGGTGATGAAGATGTTGATTTTATAGGAACATTTTCTTTATTATCATTAATTGTGACCGTACCCAATGGACCAGATACTTCTTTCGAGGAATTTGAACCCATTGTTTATCAAAATTTGAATTAAAAATTAAATATACCAGAGATTCACATACAAACTCACATGTTTTGAAAGAGTTGCGTAAACATCAACGATCGCATGTGGTAACATTCTATATGAAGAACTTGGCAAAAAATATTGCAAAAATCAATCATTGTATATATCATCATAAAAACTTGATTTACCACCCATTGCAAAACAAAACTTTAAATATAAATCAAATCTTTTTTTTCTCATAAAATGTGATAATTAATCAATGAAAATATTGTCGACAAATAAAACTAAAAAAAAGCTCATACCAATAAATGGCCGAAGACGGTGAAATTCTCCGTTATCTTTGGGATTCGACATTGCCCGTCGCATTTCATTTATCCGACCAGGATCGACATTCTATCAAAATTCCTGAACCATATTACGTAAGTTTTTTTTCGAAAATTTCAAACTTAAATTGATTGTTTTGTTCTGCTTTATTTTCTACAGTCGTTAGTACCTCGTCTTTCTTATTTTTCACTGATTATCGACAAAATAGCTGTCTATTTTTCTCAATTTATTGATATTAATAATAAAACCTCAGCTAATTTATGGCTAGAATATCTGGATATTCCATTGAAATTGTAAGTAACCATCACAAGTTGAACAAGTAAATTATATGATAAATTCATTCATTATCATAGTAATTATCCCATTGGTCTCTTATATGATCTGTATGAGCCTGATATTCAACTGCCATGGAATATAACTGTAAATTTTGATGTATGACATTTGAATTGTTGAATTTTTTGGACAAAATTAATCAATATTCGTTTTTTGCTTAGCGTTTTCCCGAAGACACAATAGTTCGTTGCAATAATCGTTCATCAATGGAATCGGCATTTCTTTCCAGCCTAAAAGAAGCCGATGCACTCAAACGACGTGAACCGATCGTTTCGACAATGCCAAAGAAAGATCATAATCAACTTTGGATGGCCGTCGTAAATCATAAATTTGATCAATTCTGGTCAATTAATCGTCGATTAATGGCACCTACAACCAATCAGCAAACATTTCGTTATATTCCATTTCGTTTCTATATACGTTCACCAACATTTAGTGATCAACCATTGCTTGTGCAGAAATTGATTAAACCAATACTTGATTCTGGTGATCAAGCCACATATCGTGATCTAATCATACAAGTACTCGGTGATGAATATTTAAATAATGATAAATATAATCTAATTGTACATGGTATTCAACCAGAAATGGACACACCATTACAATGGATGAGTGAACATTTAAGTTATTTGGATAATTTTCTACACATTGTCATACATGATAAATCCAATGTATAGAAATAATCTTTATCGAATGAATTAACAGGAAAATAAACACAGACAACCATTTGACGATTTTATTTAATTTCTATTATCATCATCATCATCATCATTATTTTGTATATCTGTGTGTCTGAAAATTATTATTAAATTTTTTTTTTCGGTCAAATTTAGAATGCATTTTCATGTTCTACATATATTGATTGTGTATGTATGTATGTATCCAATTGAATTTTATCAGCTTTTTATTTATGATTTATGTATAATGATGATGATGATAAGTACAAAGTACAAGAAATCTGTCTTAAGATTATCACATCGTTATTATTTTGGATGATGATGATGATGATGATCTAGGGCGTCTAATTCCACTGATTGATTGATTAAATGAATTAAATTTGGTTTGAAAATCACCATCATCATCATTATTATTATGGATTCTATTATCGATGAACAATCACCATCGATGTTGAATAGAGATAAACGATTATTGGAAATTTGCAATCAACTTTCCATTGGATTTCATGTGACTATCGATGATATCGAAATTTTGAGATTCGAGTTTGTGTTTGATATTTTATTCGAAACTTGAATTTATATTTTATGTAATGTAATCTTTTTTGATACAGTCAAGGACGTGTTAGTGAAATTTATAGAATTGTTTTTAAAAATGGCAAACAACCAATCGTGAATGATGGAAGTAATCAAATACCGATTCAACAATTGGTTATCAAACTTTTTCGTCCTGATCCACCATACAATCCATATGAATCGAAATTGAATTCATTAATCACCGGTTTTGAACGTTTAGGACCACGAATATATTTGACTGGTGATGATTATATTGTCATGGAATATATCGATGTAGGTAAATTTTGTTTGATTGAATTAAAATTTAAATGAATAAACAAATCAACTTTTTAATTTCAACATTTAGGCCAAAGCATTTAGCCGACAAAATGATATGGATGAAAAATTCGTTCAATTATTAGCCTCAAGATTGGCACGATTTCATTCGTTACAAGTACCGATAACGAAAAATTCCTATAAAGAACGATATCGTTATGTATTTGAAGGATGGGCTGATGAAAAATTTTGGCAAAAAATATACGATGAATCATCAATTGGAATGAATGCATTGCGAAAGAATAAATGCCACACGATAATAGACTATAATGTTCGAATGGAATGTAAATTTCTACGCGAACAAATTGAATCAATTGATCCTGTCATTGTATTCTGTCATCAGGATCTTAACCATAGTAATATATTCATCATCAACGACAAACAACAAATGGATATAAAATTTATTGATTTCGATTATTCTGGTTATAATCTTCGTGGCATGGATATTGGACGTTATTTTGCTGATTGTGAAAAATTTGAACAATATTCTGATGAAGGTATTATTGGTGATGAGAAAATGTTACGTTTCATACATTATTATTTGGATGAAAATTGTCATATTTATGGCCAAAATTATCGTCATGATCCACGAAATTCTTCGAATACATTGCTCAGAGAAGGAAAATTATTTGTATTGTTTGCACAAATGATTGACATTTTATTTTGTTTATGGGAAACAATAACGGAACCAAAACATCGAGATGAATATTGTGTATGTTTTATGGACATTTTTTTATTATTATTATTATCCTCTAATTTCATTCATTTTTTATTTAGATCTGGGCTGAAAGCCGATACAAAGAATATAGACAATTTAAAGCACGCATTGCAAACGAAAACATTTTTCAATGATGATAATATCGTATAATGAATGTGAATTCTATATGTGTTTATTCGTAAATAATTTTTTTTTTCTAAACAATCAATTGTTTCACATTTGACATTATCGATGATGAATTTTGATTACTCAATACGATGCATTGTTCTTTACCAAATTCTGTATGATATTTGATTAAGTGGAAACAAAATTTGAATGTAATTTTTTAATTGTTCATCAACTTATACACACTTACCATATCGAGCCCAAATTTTCGGTTCAATACCTCGAGCTTCACGAATCAATATTGGTGTATCAGGCAATTGTTTTTTCAGATTTGCATAATGTTCTTGGATAAAATTTCTACGTATCAAAAAAAAAGTTTTATTTGATTTGATTTGCATAAAAACAAATACGAATAATAAAATGTTTACCTTGCGCCTTGACTAGTAGAACCATTAGGACAAAGATGAATACGTAATTCATGTAATATTTTACCCTTTCCAGTGATTTTCGATGCCATAATTTTCAATGGTCAAATAGGCAGATTTTATTTTTAAATCCAAAAAAAAAAATCCGATTATCCAAATGACTTTGAAACTCATCACATGCAAAAAAAAAAAAAAAACCATGATGCTTGTGCCATACATAAAAGTCAGGACATTAAAACTATAATTCGATTTTTTCGAAATTTTTTTTTATACAAATTTTATTTCAATAAAAACGCAAACAAAAAAAACCAACAAAATAATCGGAAATTGTATGACAAGAAAAAATCATCATGTTCCAGATAAGAGCAGTATGAATGATGTGAATGAAATGATTTTCAAGAATATAGTATAGATCAATATTATTTCAAAGAAACCAATGTAAAAAGATTAGATGTGATGATAAAATGATGATTAGATTTGAAGCAAAAATTCAGGTATGATACCGTGATTTGAACACCAATTGTTTAGTAAACTTTTCATTGATGTATTCCATAATTCACGTGTCGTTTCTGGACATCGTTGGTCAATTAAAGGCGAAAGACATTGATTAAAGCTAGATAGATATGGACAAATCTGATGACCAATTTCGAAACGAAACATCGAAGTTAATGACAATGGCCATCGTAATCGTTCCGGTAGTGATGGAATCTTATTTTTTGGATTCGAATCAAGGCATATACTTTCTCGACGAACATATTCAATACAATATCCACCTTCAATTAGATATCTTATTAGGAATGATTGTCCACAAAGATTTTCATATAATGAACGTAATGTTCGTATTACACGTTTCATATGATCATATTGAACATATGAAATGCAGGCAGACATCATTCTTTCATAACATTGTTTTAATTCATTAATTTTGGCGCACATATCGTCATATTCACTTTCTTCGATCAATATCTGACCATTATTGCTATATGGTGGACGTTTTAATAGCTCTTCAATAATGGAAAAATCTCTTTCCAAATATGTGTGCAAACAGACGTGCATCATTTTATTATCAATTTGGCATCCATCGATAAACTTAATGATGATGATTGTAACAAGAATCCATGATGATGGAAATTGTTTGAAAATGGAAAAAATTCATACTCATAAATGGTAATATCTTCAAGGTTTCATCATCATCACCATTGTAATTGTCATCATTTATGGAATCAATGAGTTTATCATGATAAATCAACAATGATGATATAATGGATTTAAATTTTAAAATAATGGAACAGCGAATCTTTATGTTTACAATACAGAGCAACAGAAGATATGTGTGTGTTTGTGTGTGTGTATGCGTGTGTCATATATGACATCCAATAGAAAAAATTTCACTTTCAATTCATTAATTTTATTATATGATAATAATGATTTAATTAATTGATTTGTTTGCTTGGCAAACATTTGTATAGCAATAATAATTAAATAAATTTATTGTTTTTTTTTACAAGATTGTCATCCATCCAATGGATATCCTAGATATACCATTGATATTTCAGTATTGCCATAAACAGCCGATACAGCAGGATATAATGGTTTACGAGGTAATGAATAGAATGCAATACCAAGAAATTCATAATCACGTTCAAATGCTAATGTTTGTGATTCACAATCAAGAATGATACGTAAACGATCACCAGTTTGATAACGTGGTGCATTATTAAGCCGTGGATATGATCCAATACAATGGCCATCATGTACAAGATGATTTTCAACAAGATTCCAACCCCAACTATGTGGATTTGATCCTATTAATGCGATATAACCTTGTGATTGAACACTGGCCTCTTTGGTTGCAATACCAACAACAGCTACGGTTCCAAGTGGTCCATCCCAACAAACTTCCCAACAATGGCGTCCAGTAAGGAATCCGATTTTACCTTTGGCAGCATCTGTGCCTAAAAAATAAATCAAATCAATTAATCAATCAGGCAGAAAAAAAGACAAAACAAAACAAATACTTTGAGCAACTGGATTACGATGCAATGTAAAGCCATTTGGTTTGATATAAATATTCCTTGAACATTCATTCGAATCCCAGGAATAATAATAGGCACGAAGTTTTGCCTTGTAAGATGTCAGACTTGATAATACATTCGATTTCATTACAGCTTTTGAGAGATTATTTTGACAGAATATTCGCCATATATCCGATCTATCATCATTTAATGTATAATACCATTTTTTACACATCAACATACATGATAATACATCATGTAAATCGGTAAAATTGGCTGCAATCAATTCAATCAAATTTGAAGGCAAATAATCCCATCTGGCTAAGACCATTTCAATGGAATTTTGATCATTCCATTCAATTGATAATTGTCATCATTATTATAAGTGAAAAAATCGATTTAATATGATAAAAAGAAAAAAGATAGATGATGACCAGATTGGCTGGCAAAGGTATTTTTTTTATGAAACACAAACACATTCTGGATCAGTGTAATGTCAATAAACTCTTCTGGAACAGTGCTATAGAATCATGAAATCGATCAACAACTGTCAATTTTCGACGTCAGGTGTCGCCATTGATCAGAAAAAATTTTAAAAAAATATTTTTTCATCGATACAATCGATATTCGATTTGTCAATGATCATATGATTCGAAAGCCGTTTATTTAAATTTCATTTTAAAAATCTTTATTTTTCGGTTCTTTTCAAATTAAATCCTATAAGAATAAGAACAATTTGACCATGTTACCATTGACATTGTTGCGTACTGCTCAGAATCATCCGATGTTAGTTGAGCTAAAAAATGGTGAAACTTATAATGGCCATTTGGTTAGCTGTGATAATTGGATGAATATCAATCTACGTGAAGTGATCTGTACATCACGTGATGGTGATCGATTTTGGCGTATGCCTGAAGTTTATATACGTGGTGTAAATATCAAATATCTTCGTATACCTGATGAAGTGATCGATATGGTTCGTGAAGAAGAATCTAAACATCAACGACAATCACGTGGTAAAATCGATACAAATAAACGGCCATTATTGAATCGTAATAGCGGTGGTGGTGGTCCAAGTGGACGAGGAAATTTTGGTGGAAGTGGACGAAATAATCAAAATCGAAATCCAAAATCAAATCAAATGTCGTATAAAAATCGAAATAAATAATATACAACCATTTAGCATCATCATGAGATTTTCATCATCATTCATTTTTTTTCTCCAAATTTGTAAATCCAATACACACAGACATTTAACTCGTACAAACACAATCGATATAATACTTAACGATATTTTTGGTCGTCGAGACAAATGAACAAAAAAAAAAAAAAATTCCATCAAACACACACACACATACACATTCAAATTGTGAAAAATTCTAATAATAACTTTTTAAAAAATTTGATCAGATTGTTCGGATTTTTTTTTTGTTTCGAACGTAGATTAAATCTAAATCCAAATTAATGACATTATTATTATCTGTGGATAGGGTCGATTTTTTCATCACCATCATCATCATCATCATTAGACAGGGAAAAATTTCATTTCCCTTTCCATTGATCGATTCATTCACACCATCTTTATTTTTTTTTTTTTGTCTCTACAATTTAGTTGTCTTTGTAGACAATTGTCATCATCATCATCATCATAATGCGCGTGGCAGCTTTATTTTCGAATTCAAAGAAAAAGAGATTTGCAATTGTCCTCACAGTGATTTGTGGTCATTCATTCATTTGAAGTGATAGGCAAACAACAATTGGCCATGATGAACAAATGTCTTTTTTTTCGTATTCATTCGTATAGTATCATTTGACAGATGATAATTATTGTTACGGTGTGATGATCTTGTGGTGGTGGTGGTGTTGATGATGATGATGATGATAGTGGTCATTTCAAAGTGTCTGTTGTTGGCATCGGTTCTGGATCGTTACGGATGGCCAAAAAAAAAGGCAGCTATCATTTTCTGACTATAGTGGTAAGATGAACAACAACAACAACAAAAAAATTTGTACGTATTGGAACAAAACGCCAACAGCCAGCAACATCTGTATCATTAACATTTTCATGATAATGATTTGTGACATGACAATGGAATGGAATGAGTGAAATACATGGAAAAAAACAAATTTTTTTTTTTCATTTTCTCCATTTGGATCTCATTCGTCTTTGACCACCATTTTGTAATAATAATTTGATAAATATTGTGAAAATTTTTTTTCAATTTTTACAAAAGAGAAAAATGTCGAAGAACTAAAATGTGGTCAAATGTTATGAAATTACATGCTCATCATGATCATCGGGTTTTTTTTTTTTTTTTTTTGTTCAATTGCACTCATTTTCCCGATTTTTTTTCCTGAAAAAAAAGAAGGAAATCATTTTATTGTCGTACATTATCATTCACACGGTGATTATGATGATGATGACCATCATCGTTGTCGATTCATTTCAATGATTGTTAATAGTGAGCCCATAAAAATTGACACGTTTTTGTTGTTGTTGTTGTTGCTGTTGTTGGTTTGAAAAATTCACATTTTTCAAAGTAAATTATGATTTTCAGGATCGAAAAAAATTTCGTGGAAAATTTCGTGAATTTTTGCATTGAAAAAATAGACGACTGAATTTCGTGAAAAATGTACGGTTCCTTCCGTCAATTTGATTTGGGCGGTTTCTTTTCCCAATTCTTTCATTGTACGATTTTCGAATTCATCCACTATTTGTCTGGTATTGATCGTTTTCGTTAGCAAAATTACTAAAAAAAAAATGTTGATGAAGCGGACCAAATCAATACCTGATACGCTAAATTTTTATTCTGCCTCTTCTTTCTTTTTTTTTGTCTGTATAATGACAAAAACAGATTTTGTATGTGTATGCCCGTTTTTTTAATCATCATGGTAATGAATCGAAAAAAAAATAATTAATGACATTTTAATTGTACCAAACACATACCATGTTTCAAATTATTTATTAATTAATATTACAATACATTGATTCTTAATTGAATCATTGGTTTTCGTTGTTCTTGTTCCTTAAGACCGTTCATTTCCTTCCGTTTACAACTCATGACATGTAGCAAAATTCATATATATTCATGTTATTATAAGAATTCAATCATTGTTGTTGTTGTTGTTGTTGTTGTTGTATCAAATTACCTGTCATCATCATGATCATTTGTGATATGTCATTTATGAATTATAAATGCAACAAGATTCTTTTTGTGATTGGAATTGGATCGAACCTCATGAATATTTTTCATTCATTCATTCTCTAAATGATGAAATTCAATTCAATTTAAATTTAGTTATATTTTTAAAAATATTCTCATTTGTTCATTTTGTATGTGTCATGTGTCGTAAATTTCAAATGTAAAAAAACTAATGATTTTTATTTTGTTTTTGTTCATTCAATTCGTTCGAAAAAAAATTTTATTTGTTTTCGTATGATAAATCTTAGAACTAGACATGAAAAGAAGACAAAAATAGAGCAACAAAAAAGATGAAGCAAAACGATGAAAATTAAAAAACCGAAAAGTGAGAAATGAAGAATGAAACAAAGTAAGAAGAATTGTCGTTTTGACATTTGATAATTGAATTTAATTCTGTCATAAAATCTGTTTTTCACATTCATTATGATTGATGAATAATGAAAAGTGAAACAAAATTCATTTCGATTTATCATGAAGATTTTAAAATCGAAATATCCTGATCATCATCATCATCGATATATGAACAATTCATCAATACAAAAAGGGAAGAACCAATCAACGTTTGTATTATCATTATAATCACACCATGATACAATGGCCATATCATCATCATCATCATCATCATCATCGATAGAAAGGTAAGTGTGACAGTGATGGATTGAATTTTTTCTACTATCCAATTGATCATTTTTTTCAGATATATTTGTGGATTACATCAATAATAATAATAATCGGATGTAAAATTGATCGCCACATTCATATTGTGGCCTACCATCGAGACACGATATGAATTCCACATTTGCAAACAAAAACAAATAAGAAAAATCTAAATGAAAGAAAAAAAAACCTCAATGATAAATGAATGATGGCCGGAATTTTGTAGTTAATTAGATTACTCATGAAAAAAAGGCTGATGATGATGATGATAGCAACCAGAAATGGCTAGAACTTGGAATTTTTTTTCTTGTTCTTCTCAAATAACAATGATGAAGAAATAGTTTGCAGATAGATCAATAGAATGATCGAAATCTGAATGGAAAAAAAAGTCAATTGTTTTGTCCAAAGATATCGATCTACATCATGTCTAACTACTACTATTCAAATCCATCGATTTAATTTCAGATATATCGATCCATCAACAATCAATCCTTCAATAATAACGAATACATCAGAGTATCATTCATTGTGTGTGTGTGTGTGTGTGTGTGTGTTCAAGTGTTGGACAGCAAACCAGCAAGTTAGGTCTTTCTTGGCTTTTGATCCCTGATATCATCATGTATTTGATATTAGGAACAAGAAAACAATTAAAATATACAAGTAAGCAATACTTATAGTTACTTTCATCTATGTTTCTATCTAATAGATTATTTCTTGGATCATAATAGAGAGAGAGAGAGAAAAAAATGGTCATTGTTTTCTATATATTTACCAATGGTTTGGTCATATGGTCATCAAATGGCCTAATAAACTAAATATAAATAAAATGTGTATCTTTAAGGTGGAGGTAATTATAGACAGTTATAATTGTACTGTTCTGTTGACGGAATTCAAAAAAAGTGGAAAATTATTGTTCATCTCCAACAAAAACAACAACAACAACAACAACATTTTGGATGATTTTCACTGTCATCATCATCATCATCATCATTTTTTTCATTTCGATTTTATTGATGACTTTGTTTTGTTTTTTTTTATATTGATTTATGAAATTTTATTGTTGATATTTTAATTCGATCGTATATATGTCTAAACAATGAACGATTGAATGCAATAAGACAAATGTTGTGCATTTGTCCATGCACTCATCATCATCATAAATTATTTTTATTTTTATTACTATAGTCTGTTTGTTTCATCATATTTCATTTCATTTCATTTCATTTTTTTTTTTTTTTTTTGACGTCCATATGGCCAATACGTGTACATGTTATTTGAATTGAAAAACAAATGAAGATAAACACACAGGGACATATTGTTCAAAGTCAATACAGGTGGTTATGAAAATTATTTGATATCATGGCCCCACATTGTTGTTGTTGTTGTTGTTGTTTGCATTCTGTTTCCGTTTTGAATTAAGACACAAGACAAGATAATTTTTCAAATTTGTGACTTTTTTTTATTTATAAAGAATTTTTTTTTTTTTGTTATTTATATATATAGAGAGACATTGAATATATTAGTTTTTTGCAATCATAATAATAATATAATAAGCGGAAATTCAGTGCTGAGTTGATAATGATGATGTTGGATGATGAAAAAAAAAAAAATTGGGAGAAAAAAAATTTTTTTATAATAACATATCCTATATAAGACACACCCACACACAAACACATGCATACACACATACACATGATTATAAATGGTAATAATCAATGAAATGATGATGATGATGATGATGATGACAAATAAACAAAACAGAAAACAACAGATAACAATCTTCATGACAAAAAAAAAATAAAATAAAATTCATTCATCATTGAATTGGCCATCATCATCATCATTAAAATGAAGGGTGTATGTGTGTGCTCATGGTTGGTTGTGTGTGTGTGTGTGTGTGTGTGTGTGCGGGAACAAACAAACGGAATAAATGAATTTTGTTTTACTCACTAAAAAATCCTAATAATTGAAGGATTGTAAAAAAGAAAGGATTTTGGAGTTTAATTTTCTGAGAACAAAAATTTGTGGACATTTAACTATCGGGTGTTGTAGGTGTGTGTAAGTGGGTGTGTGTGTGTGTGTGTGTACAATAAAATCTTATGGCAAAGGAAAAGAAAAGAAAATGATTACAACAGGTATAATATATCATCAATATTATGGAAATATAATGATGATGATGATGATGACAAACAAATCAACATACAATTAACAGCTGATGATAATATGACAATCATGAACAATGTCATATTACAATTTCTTCAAATGATGATAAAATGATGATGAAAGTATGAAGAAGAAGATGATCATTGTGTTTTTTGTGAATATCAAGTTTTTGTATATTCGTATTATGAGAAAAAAAAAGAAATGGTAACAATTAAACAATTTCTGATTTTTCTTTTTTGAGAATTTATGGCCATTTATTCCAATCGAATAAAAAGTTTATTCTTCATCACTGGTTCCATTTCAATTCAAGATGATGATGTTCATAATGAAGAATAATAAAAAAAATGGATGATATTTGTGATGACAATGAAATTGACTTTAATTTGATGCTGAAAGTTATTGTTGTTGTTGTTGTTGTTCTATATGTGATTATAACGATTCCGTTGACAGACCATGTTACAAATGTTACACCGAATCAATTCCATTTGGGTAATTGACCAATGACCATCGTTAATGTTTTTTTTCTCATACGAAATTCAGTAACAAATGATGATGATGAGGCATTTAAAACAAACAAAAAAAAATTATTCTTCATTCAATTCATTTTTTCCAATCAATCAATTCATATCGATGTATGATGCATTAATAAAATGTATATTGCAACGGATTTTGGTGTAAATATATTTTGTGTGTGTGTGTGTGAATGTCAGATATTGTTGTTGTTGTTGTTGAGAATATAATATACAGAAAAAAAATCACTATTTCTTTTCAAATAAACCATCATGTACATTCGTTGAATCCTGTTGCATTTGTTGCTGTTTATTAGCCGGTATTTTTGTATTGGCCATATTATTATTATTATAATTATTATCAATACCAGCTCGCCTTTCAATCTCTTTACGTATCGTCCAATCATATTCATAATCATATTCATAATGATGACTACGGAATAATATTCTAAATAATTGCCGTAAATACATATAATCCGGATCTTCTTCAAACCGTAAACCACGGCAATAATTGAGAAACATTTGAAATTCGGCTGGAAAACCCAAACAAAGGGCTTCAATTGGTGTGGACATTTTTCTTTCGGTTATACGATCATATTTTTGTTTCTTATTCGATGCTTTTAGACCTTGCCATGGTAATGAACCACGAAGAAAATAGATCAACACATAACCAAATGATTCAAGATCATCACGACGACTTTGTTCGATACCTAAATGAGCATTGACTGATGCATAACGTGCCGTACCTGTTAAATGTTTATCTTCACGATATTCAATATGTTTTCCTGTACGTACATCATAATATTTCTTCGCCAGACCAAAATCAATAAGATATACACGGGGTGAAAAACGACCAATACCCATTAGAAAATTATCGGGTTTAATATCTCTATGAATATATCCACGTGAATGTAGATATTCAATACGGATCAACATCTGATCGGCTAACATTAATACGGTTTTCAATGAAAATCGCCGTCGACAATATGAGAATAGATCTTCCAATGATGGACCTAATAGGTCGATGATCATAATTTGATAATTTTTTTCAATACCAAAATATCTGAGCATTGGAAAGCCAAAACAATTCTGTATTGATTTATAAACATGTGCTTCATAACGTAGTTGTGGATGTCGTGCTGATACTGGTTCAACTTTGACGGCAACATCTTCACCATTCTGTAGATTAATGGCACGATATATATCGCCAAATGAACCGGCACCAATTGGCCGTATAATGCGATATTTATCACCAACAACCGTATTACATAAATTTGTTTTGGACATTTTTACTTTTTTTTTAATTTTTCCTATTTTTTTTTAAATATATATTCGATCACGAATTGATTTTTTTTTTTTTTTGATTCTTCTATTTATATATTAGAACAGATGATCAAATTTTTTTTTGACTATTTATTCACGATTTTTCCAGGAATTTTTTCAGCCACCAACCAAAAATGACCAGCAAAAAAAAAAAAGAGACAGATTTGTCGGTTCGGTTTTTTTTTCAATTCAAACAATCATCTTTTTTTGGTGTATATAGTGGTGTGCACCACTTCAGCAAAATCAAAATTCACCGCTATTATGGAAAAAAAGAATGAAAGAAACAGAAAAAAAAGAAATCAAATAAAAAAAACAGGTTAGCCATGAGAAAAACAATGAACAACCAAAAAAAAATTGAGAAAGAAAAAAACAATGATTGTTCGATACAACAACAACAACAAAAAAATCGAACGAAACTTGATGGAAAAAAAAAAAATTTTAAACATTCGAATTTCAAAAAAAAAAAATTCCAATACAAACAATTTACCAGATAATGATCATTATTATCACATCATCATCATAATAAAAAGAAAACCAACCAAGAAGCTACACACACACATATTGAGTTTGATCAAGATTGTCATTTGTGTGTGTTTTTTTTTCTTGTCATCATTGGTTTATGGCACAAGTAAGAAAACAAAAAAAAAATTTTATTGGAAAAAAAATTAAACCAAACCCACCCACCACCCACTATGAAGAGAAAATAAAAGATTGACCTTTTCACAAAAAAAAAGTTCCATCATATATAAATTATTATTATTATTGTGGGTAGAAATAAAAATGGGTTTGCTTAAAAAAAAAAAAATGAATATATAAATTCTTTGATCAAATTACACACACACACACACCTACTTTCTGAATACATAAAAACTGTGTTTATATGAAAGAAACAATGAAAAAAAAAAAAATTAATCAAAAAAAAAACAAAGAAGATTGTGAGATCTAAGACGTTTATTATTACACAAAATATGTTGTTGTTGTTGGCTGTGTGTTTGTGTGTATATATATTTTTCAATCAAGAAAAAAAAATTAAATCAAAACTATACGGCTACAATGATGATGATGATGAGCACATATATAAGATGTGTGTGTGTGTGTGTGTGTGTGTTTGTGTCGTATTTGTTACATCAACATCATCATATCTCGATAATGATGACATGCTATATGCCACACCACATAACATCATATATACAAACATTGTGAATGTGTGTGTAAAGGCAGCAAAAAAAAAAAATTTTATTTTCTTATATATACAACACATGAGGAGTGATGATGATGATATTGAGGTTATAACACTGGCACAGGCTAAACTTATAAATATTTTAAGGAAAATAAAAATAAAAAAAAGTCGTGTGACTTGAATTGATGACTTTTGATTATGAATTTTCTTCGTTTCCCATATGAAATGCATGATGATGATGATCTGATTATTTGGAAGAAAAAAAATACCTATGATGGGGTTCAAAATGTGATGATAATCCATTGGTAATCCACCACGTCTTTCACACGATTCACTAATTATGTGGCTACTTGAATTTCGTAATTAGAAAAAAAAACACAACACACAAAGGACATTTTGATGATTTAATGTTTTCGATTATTTTGGCCAAATAATAATAAAAAAAAAGACAATAACAAAGATGTCGATATATACACAACAGTTCTTTTTTTTCTATCGTTCTTGTTTTTTTTACATAGAAAAGATAATGTCAATTGATAATGAAAGAGAAGAAATGGAACAACGAAAATTGAATGAAACCTTTTTATCATGTGGAACAAACGAATAACAAAAAAAAATTCGCAAACAGATGGAAGCCACACAAACACACACACACATAGTCTAACGACTAAACAAAACAAAAAAAATCGTCGAATCGTGTTTACTATCCATTCGTAATGAATGGAATGGAACAAGTTTACATGGCAATATGTTCCATTATCATCATTATCATTTGAAACAGAAGAAACAAAGAACACAGAAAACACACGTAGAAAAAAAAACTTACATTTGAAACACTTGTCTTGGAGAACGAAAATTAAAATCTGACCACAACCATCATCATCATCATCACCATCAGTATCGACAAAAAAAAAACACAAATGTTTCAATCCAGTTCAATTTGATCTCTGATCTGATGATGGAAAAAGGTTCGTTTTACAAGACTAGAAGGATTAATGATCAAAAATAAAATATACAAACACATACACAATATGAATGAGCAATGAAAGATAGATGGTTGAAAATATTGGGTCCAAAGTTTTGAGAAAATTTGAATAATAATTCGAATGGATGGATGGATGAATTGTTCGATTAGATGGACAAAATCAAAGACAAGCGACACAATCATTGGATCCTGGAACACACATATACAAACGGATTCGAAACACCTTTGTTGTTGGCAAACTTGATTATTAATTTGATTAAATACTAAACAGGCAGAATTTTTTTTTCATTATTATTCATCACTAATGATATGAATATTTTTGAGGTTTCCATTCGTTGATGATGATGATAATGATGATGATATTGATTGATTTTGTGAAATTGGAGAAAACAAATTTAATTTTTTTTATTATACACGACAATTTTTGATGATCAGAAACCCCATCACAATTATTCACAAGAAAAATCTACGTACATTTTTTTTCTCATTACACACACACACACACACGATCATAATATACAGAAAAAAAAGTTCGAGGAAAATAAACTCAACTTGTAGCAATTGGTTAATGTTTGATGATGACGATGATTTTGATGAGGTTGATGTTGATCAGGCTAGTATAGAGTTTTAAGTATTTCGTTTTGTTTTTTTTTTTTTACTTGCTTTTTACTCTGTGTACATTATAATATGATGATGATGTTTGTGTTTGGATCGTTTTACTCACATTCACAAACACACACACACACGTACGAACGAAAAAAAAAATAATCGTTCGTTGTTTGTGGATGTATTATTGCTCGTTGTTGTTAATGTAATGTAATATACTAAAAACAATTTATAGTAGTGGTCTATAATATTGATATATACCACTATCATCATCTTTATCACTATATAGAAGTTTTTTTTTTGTTAAATGAATGAAATGAATAAATGAGACCATATCATCAATATATACCACCAGAAATTGTTGTTGTTGTTTTGTTGCGGATATATAAGGATAATGATGATGATGATGATGATGGTCAGGTTTGGTCGTATACTAGATGAGGAGGATGTTGATGATGATGATGATGAGAATATAAACCACTGAGATATATTGAGTTTTGTTCGTTTTAAAATTTAAATGCAATGCAATGGAATGGAATTATTATTAATTTTCTGTTGAATTAAATGAAACAACAAATCTCTATTTGATTGTCTGTCTCTGTGTCTGTGTCTTTGATGTGGTTTTCTGGTTATTTTTATTGCATATTTTTTTTGTCTTATCTGATCTGAAACTATTTTTATTATTAATGGCTATCAATGGACCCTGTGTGTGTTTTTTGGGTCCTTTTTGTATCCAACACACACTGTTGATGGATTTCCCTTTTTTTTCTCGATGATGATGATGATGATCAGAAGTTTTTTCGCCTCTGGTGGTTTATATATATACAGTGTGCAGGTAGAGTTACCCGTTTTTGTTGTTTTTGTTGTTGGTAAACGGCAACAAAAACTCGTTGTCGTCAGTTGGTTCTGTTTTTTTTTTTGGATTTTGGTTTTTTCACTCCATGCTCTCCCCCTCCCAATCAATTTTGAATTCAAATGAAAAGAAGAGAAAAGTATTTAAATTTCTTTCCCCTGTTTTTTTGTGTGTGTGTGTTTCTCACGCCATTTCTTATTATTATACTTCTAATCTCTTAGTACAAAAAAAAAAAATTTCATCCTCCTCAAAACACTGAGAAAAAAAAGATGAATGACAAGAGAGAGGGGGGACGAAAGTAGTAGTAGTAGTAGTAGTCAAAGTTTGGGCGCCATTATCCATTGTGGATCATAGGTTTCTCTCATATATAAATTTCATTTTTTCATTTTTTTTTTTTTTGGTTACAACGTAGCCAAATTGATATATCGCATGCGCTTTGTTGATTATAATATTCATATATATCATATATAGTTTGGTAGTGGTAATGGAATTGAATTAACCAGAAAATAAAATAACGAAAATTCGAATCGAATGTGATAATGACGCCGATGAGCAAGAGAGAGAGATAGAGATGAAGAAAACACTTCTTCTACCAAAAAAAAAGTGGAGAAAAAGAAAAATCCATATATGAAAACAGACCCATCGTGTAACAGTGTAAAGAAGAAGAAAAAAAACGTCGCCAATCAAATTATTATGGACAATTGCTATGCTAGAATTATTTGGGGATGGCAACCTATACACAAACACAACAACAAAAAATTTCAAAAGATTCAAGGACCTCGAATGATGATGATGATGATGATGATCCAAGAAATATTGAGGTACATACAACGGTCATACAAACAAAATACATGCGTGCAATTTTTTTTTCTTTGAGTGCGTTTGTGTGTGTGTAAAATTCTTGTGCCCAGAATGATCAAAATGAACCAAAGAACAAAAAAAAAGAAACGGGACCATGGCCAAAATTTTTCCCTGGAATTTTTCTCACTATCATTTTGTATTATTTTTTTTTCTATTCATATTCATCATCATCATGATGATGATGATGAATGTAGAAATTTTTATTTTTTTACACGTAGCAAATTTGATTTGTTTGTTTGTTTGTTTGTTTTTTTCTGCTGATCTTGTTTGTGTCAAGGCATTTTTGTTGTTGTTGTTGTTGTTTTATGGCTACGCATTTGGAACTGTAAAATTTTTTTTTTTTTTTTTTGGTAAAAAAACGACCATGATTTAATGATAATTTTCCAATGTGGTGAAATGATCTACATGATGATCATGATGATGATGATGATGATGACAATCCAGAAAAAAAAACAATAAATAAATTGCGTGTTTCAATCAATTGCAATGGATCGATTGATGATGATGATGATGATGATGATGATAGTAAAAAAAAAACAACAATGATAATAAAAAACGATTCAATCAGATTAGATTAGACAACAACAACAACAACAAGGATAAACCATATAATACGCGTATTATTTTGATCTGATTATTTGAACAATGTGAAAAACGAAATCGAAAACAAAAAATTGACATTCAATGTCGATATATGGGCGTGTATGGTGTATAAATAGTTTAACCTTGAACTAGGTTTTTATATATATTGAATGAATGAATTTTTTCTGGCATATATATATATAGCCACAGAATAAAGAATATTTTTTTTTCTCAATGTACAAGAATTATCATAAAACAGATTATTATTATTTTCATGATGATCCTTGAATAAAGGCCAAACTAGACCATTTTTTTCAATACAGAATATTCGTTCCTCTAATTGGCCAACACTTCATCAATTCTTGCATTCGATTTGATCAAATGCAGTTAATTATTAGACGAATAATAATAATAAAAAAAAAACAGACATGTCATGCATTGGCTTTTTTTTCATTTCAAATCAAGGTTTTCAACGTGCGTAGGAATTCTACACACAATTTTGAACTATATTGAACTCAATTATTATGAGCATTTTCAATATTCGTTCCTCTAATTTCAATTAATTTATTTGGCTTTTTTCATTTCAAATCAAGGTTTTCAACGTGCGTAGGAATTCTACACACAATTTTGAACTATATTGAACTCAATTATTATGAGCATTTTCTCAATTTTTATTTCGGAAAGACGAAAAAAAAAAACGAAATAATCGTGATGTGTATGCAATGATTTTTTTTTCTTTCTTTCACGTTTTATTCCATGGAACTAACACGCATACACATACACACACACCAGAGGACACGGAATTGTATATACAAGCACACTTAATCGACTTTTGTTTACGATGACCTCGTGGTCCGCTTGTTTTTTTTCAATTGCAGAGGCGTTCCAGAAATGACTATTTTTGATTTCATTTTTTTTTAAAAATACAGGAAAAATTGTTTATTACTTAATATAGAAATTCAATTCAAATTTGTCATCGATTTTGGACAAAAAACAGAATAAAATAAACTACAATGATGATTACCTGAGTAGAACGAAAATAAAATCAGACTGGTAAATATGGCAAGAATTTGGCCATCAATCAATCTATCCAATGATTCTACTCTGTTTGTGATTGATCAATGTTTGTGTGTCAGGAATGGATAAAAAATGTGACATTTTTCAGATGGATACACATTTCATTCAGGTGGCGTGATCGACCATATGGTGCATTTCAATCTGAAATTATCTGACACATTCCCATCAGTAGATTATTATCTAGTCAATTAGGACAACAAAGATTTTTTTTTTAATATTCAATTACAAAAATGAATAAAAAAACCTTGAAAATTTCGTTTCTGTTGTAACGAAAAGGTCAACCATTTATTTATTTAAATTTCGCGCCATCATTTTAAGCTATTTTCACATTGTAGGTGTTGTTTGTGTGGAATAGTAATGCGCATACAAAAAATGACAAAAAACGGACCGTTGTGTTATTTTATGGCACGTGTATTTTTGATGAAACAAAATTTTTTTCCATTATTTATTTTGTGACATTTTATTATTCAAATTATGAATAACAATCAAAATGGCTGGACATTCGTTTTTAAATGTTAAAAAAGATAGCCAAACAATGGCCAAAAATGATACGACAATTTTTGGCAACAACAACAACAGTAGTAGTTCGACAGTTAGCCTAATGAAAATTGTCATATTGGTCATATCAGCTTTGTTGGGTAAGCTTTGTTTGTCGGTTTTCATTTTTGTAGATATTCGTAAATATTTTCCATTTGTTTACATTGTAGCATTTTTCGTAAGATTATTTTCTGTGTTACGTTTCGAAAGTGTTATACATGAATTTGATCCATATTTCAACTATCGTACAACAAGATATTTGGCTGAAAATGGTTTTTATAATTTCCATAATTGGTTTGATGATCGAGCCTGGTATCCATTGGGTCGTATTATCGGTGGTACCATTTATCCAGGATTGATGGTCACATCGGCTGTACTATTTAATTTACTTAAAATGTTAAGCTTTCCTGTCGATATAAAAGATGTTTGTGTATTTTTAGCACCATTATTTTCATCACTTACTACAATCATAACATATGCATTGACAAAAGAATTATCAGATGAAGCATCCGGATTAGTTGCTGCTGCAATGATATCGATTGTACCTGGTTATATCTCCCGTTCAGTTGCCGGATCATATGATAACGAAGGAATAGCCATATTCTGTATGCTATTCACTTATTATATGTGGATTAAAGCAGTGAAAACTGGATCAATATTCTGGTCTTGTCTTTGTTCATTAGCTTATTTCTACATGGTATCATCATGGGGTGGTTATGTTTTCCTTATCAATCTTATACCGTTACATGTTTTTACATTGATTATTACCGGTCGGTTTACCAAACGGGTATATGTTGCCTATTCGACGGTAAGTCGAAATTTTTTGATTTTCTGAAAAAATATTTTTTTTAAATTATTAAATTTTCTTCTTTAAAGATGTATTGCATAGGAACATTGTTATCTATGCAGATACCGTTTGTTGGTTTTCAACCAGTTCAATCCAGTGAACATATGGCAGCATTTGGTGTTTTTGGTCTTTGTCAACTTTATGCTTTCAATTCATTTATTCGTTCAAAACTTTCACAAGAATATTATAGTATTCTATTTAGATCATTAGTTTTATTTATCGGTATTATTTCATTGTCCGCCATCATTATATTGACAATTATTGGCAGTAAGCATTTATTAGTTTGTTAAATTTCAAACAATAGTGATTAACACATATATATACAATCTATTCACAATATAGAAATATCACCATGGACTGGCCGTTTCTATTCATTATTGGATCCATCATATGCCAAAAATAATATACCCATCATTGCATCAGTGTCCGAACATCAACCAACATCATGGTCATCATTCTATTTTGATCTACAGATTCTTGTCTTTCTATTTCCAGTTGGATTATATTTTTGTTTTAAAAATCTTACCGATTATAATATATTCATCATACTATATGGTGTGACTAGTATTTATTTTGCTGTAAGTATAGTTGGACTAAAATTCTTTTTCCAATTTTTAACAATAATTTTGATGAATTTCAGGGTGTTATGGTACGATTAATGTTGGTATTGGCACCGGTCATGTGTATACTTTCTGGTATTGGCATATCAAGATTGCTTACAATTTATTGTGGCCATTTGGATTCAACAACAGGTCAATCATCATCATCGACAACACATCATCAATCTGAACGTAAACAGAAACGAATTGAAAATACTTTTGTAATGAAAAAAGAAGTGGCCACTGTTTTTGTATTCATAGCCACTGGTATGCTTTTATCATATGGTTATCATTGTATTTGGGTAACATCCGAAGCATATAGTTCACCATCGATTGTATTATCCGCACGTACACATGATGGTAGTCGAATTATATTCGATGATTTTCGTGAAGCATATTATTGGCTACGAATGAACACACCGGAAGATGCAAAAATTATGTCCTGGTGGGATTATGGCTATCAAATAACGGCAATGGCTAATCGTACTATACTTGTGGATAATAATACTTGGAATAATACACATATATCACGTGTTGGCCAAGCAATGGCATCGGATGAACAACATGCATATAAAATAATGCAAGAATTAGATGTTGATTATGTATTGATCATATTTGGTGGCCTAACTGGATATTCATCAGATGATATTAATAAATTCTTATGGATGGTACGTATTGGTGGTTCCACTGATCGTGGTCGCCATATAAAAGAACAAGATTATTATACAACCAGTGGTGAATTTCGTGTGGATAAAGAAGGTTCAAAAACATTATTGAATTGTTTGATGTATAAAATGTCTTATTATCGTTTTGGATCAGTATATACGGAAGGTGGTAAACCGCCTGGCTATGATCGTGTTCGTGGTACAGAAATCGGTAATAAAGATTTTGAATTGACCACATTGGAAGAAGCTTATACTACTGAACATTGGTTGGTACGAATTTATAAGGTGAAAAAAATGCCCAATCGTGGTTGATGATTTTTTTTTATTTTGATATAAAAATTTTGATTTTTTTTTCGTCTCGGATAATAATTAAAAAATGTAAATTGTAAATAGTAGTGAGGTACGCACTAATCTTTGATTAATAAAATAAAATTTTTTTTTAATTTTTTCAATCATCATGACAATTAATGACAATCACATAACAAAAATGAATACTGATGATGAATGTTTGTTTGTCTTAATTTGAAATTTATGGTGAATTTGATCTTTCTTCTTCTTCTTCTTCTCTTCCCCTTCATCATCATCATCATCATCATCATCGTCGTCGTCGTCGTCATCGACTTCTTCATCATTATCGTCACCATCATCATTGTTGTTTTCATTTTCATGTTTTCGTTTCAATTCTTCATATTGTTGAACAGTTATTCTCTGTGGAATGGCTTCACGTAAAAATGAATATTTAGATTTGGCTATGAAATCTGATAGAATATTATAAGTAAGGTTTTCTTTATCTGGACTTAATTTGTAGGTATTTTTAACCAAATCTTGTATAAATAATTCTGCCGCTTGTGATGTTAAAGCAATGGCATCATTTTTAACTGTGGTCAAATTTGGACATGAACGCATTATAACATTTACACGTGATATCGGTACGGTTGTATACATTTTTTTTCTTGTATTCGACGATGTTGATGTTTCACCAGAATTATAATCCATTGATGTTTGTTGTGGCGCCAAAAGTGATTGTCCTTCGGACGTCGATGGTGATGATGAATCTGTATTATTCATTTTTAACTGCATTTGTGAAGAAAATGAATTAATTGTAATGTAATTTATATGGGCAAATAAAATTATTTTTTTTCAATAATTAAAAACAATAAAAAGAAAAAATAAAAATTGTACAAAAATTCATTGGACAAATTCATAAAAAAAAAACAAAACACATTTAATTCAATTTTCGGGAAAATTATCATTTTTAATTAGAAAAATAGATTTCTAGGAAATTTTCCCAGAGTATGACCTAGCCAAGTTGTCTGTGTTTTTGTGTGTATGTCGAATCTTTATATTTGTTTGTTTACAATCTCCATTCTTTTCTCTTTTGCTCTGTTTGAATATTCTTTATATCGGTTGTATTGTAGAATCCATTGGTGATTCGATCCAATATGAAATCCATTTTACAACATCATCGAACATTAACCGGTAACTATGTGCCATCATTTCTATATTCATTGTTGTAACCTACTATCTTTCAATCTTGATAGCATCACAAGTTAAATTATTTCAGATACGTTTCCAACAAACTTCAACATCGGATTCACCACCACCCAAGGTAAAAATGAAAAAAAACATCGATAATAATATCTGAATTGGTTATGATTTTAAATTTGTAGACAAAATTCGGCCCATTAGCCGATGAAGATCGTATTTTCACCAATCTATATGGCCGTCATGATTGGCGTTTAAAAGGAGCCCTTAAAAGAGTATGTCTATATATTCATGTTTAATATTCGATTCATTGTGTGATTCATAATCAATTAGGGTGATTGGTATAAAACAAAAGAAATATTACTAAAAGGACATGAATGGATACAAGGCGAAGTAAAAACGTCTGGATTACGTGGACGTGGTGGTGCCGGTTTCCCCACTGGTTTGAAATGGAGTTTTATGAACAAACCATCTGATGGTCGTCCAAAATATTTGGTTGTCAATGCCGATGAAGGAGAACCTGGTACCTGCAAAGATCGTGAAATTATGCGTCATGATCCACATAAATTGGTCGAAGGATGTTTAGTTGCAGGACGTGCTATGGGTGCATGTGCTGCATATATTTATATTCGTGGTGAATTCTATAATGAAGCATCGAATCTTCAGATCGCCATACAGGAAGCTTACCAGGCTGGTTTGCTTGGTAAAAATGCCTGTGGTTCTGGTTATGATTTCGATGTATTCGTTCATCGAGGTGCTGGTGCCTATGTTTGTGGTGAAGAAACGGCATTGATCGAATCGATTGAAGGTAAACAAGGAAAGCCACGGTTGAAACCACCGTTTCCAGCTGATATCGGTTTATTTGGTTGCCCTACAACCGTAAACAATGTGGAAACAATTGCCGTTGCACCGACAATCTGTCGTCGTGGTGGCAAATGGTTTGCATCGTTTGGCCGTCAACGTAACAGTGGAACGAAATTGTTCAACATTTCCGGTCATGTGAATAATCCATGTACTGTTGAAGAGGAAATGTCCATTCCGATGAAAGAATTAATTGAACGGCATTGTGGCGGAATAATTGGTGGCTGGGATAATCTACTTGGCGTTATACCTGGTGGATCATCCACGCCTATTCTACCCAAAGATATTTGCTCAACCGTATTGATGGATTTTGATTCACTTGTGGAGAATAAATCCGGTCTTGGTACGGCTGCATTGATAGTTATGAATCGACAAACAGATGTGATCAAAGCTATTGCACGTTTAGCTTCATTCTATAAACATGAAAGCTGTGGCCAGTGTACACCTTGCCGAGAAGGTACCGGATGGATGAATAAAATTATGTGGCGTCTTGTGGAAGGAAAAGCTGATCCAAAAGAAATTGATATGTTATTCGAAATGAGCAAACAAATTGAAGGACATACTATTTGTGCTCTTGCCGATGGTGCTGCATGGCCTGTACAAGTGAGTTACACACCCATTATGAACCAGTTTTCATTAAAATTTTTTTTCTTCAATATTTCATTTCCAGGGTTTGATTCGACATTTTAGGCCAGTCATTATGGAACGTATACAACAATATCAGGCAAAAGCCGGTAATAATGATAAAGAAAAGATAAAAGCGGCTTCACATTGAAAATATAATTCAAATCATCATTATTAGTTTTCAAGTTTTAGTACAATTTTTTTTCGATTCGATTTGAATTGAGAAAATGTTTTTTTTTCTTCTTCTTCTGTTTGTTGTGTATATTTTAAGTGAAAAAAAAATTGAAATTGAAAAAATAAAAGCTGAAAAAATGGACTGGTTTTTTTTGAATAATAACCTATGCATGACCAGTAGATCACAGATTTAGGTCACAATTTAGGTTGCACCTGGTATGTACGAGAGGTGGTACAACACAAATTAAAATTTCTTCTAGTCTAGACGTCAATATTTTTTTTGAAGGTATGTTTCAAAGGTTTTTTCGTTCATATATCATCATCCAACACAGTGGACAGGTGTCAATGTTAGCAAAAAAAAAAATAAATTAATCGATTTTTGTTTTCACACCTTTTTTTCCCGCTTAAAACTATTGATGATGATGATCAACAACAAAAAGGAAGTTGTAATTTTTTTTCCTTTTGATTAAGTTTTTTCCATCGATCATATATCGATATTGTCGTCCATTATTTCGAATGTTTTCCATCAAATTCGATTTCCTCTAGCATAAGTGCGTGTGTGTTTGGTTGTTTGATAAAAACCTCATTATTTCTTGTCATCATTTATCCATTATTATCAATCAATTGTTTTGTTTGTTTGCCGATCAATAATTTCAATATTCCATTGAAAAAGTGGCAATTTTATTTTTGTTTTTGTTTTTGTTTTGTTTTGTTTTGTTTTTCATCATCATTTATTCATTTTAACTGATTGCGCAATATATACAATATATATAATTATCATGCTATCAAAAAACTACTGATATTTATTTGATATTTGATGAAGTAAAAATGGTGAAAGATAGAAGAAATGATGAGAAAAGCTAAAAATCAAATATATAATAAATAAATAAATTGCCAGCTGAACATGAATGTTATGGCAGATTGCATTCTCAACAAATCATGATTGTCGCCATCGTTGTCAGGAAGAAATGATATCTCCATAGAGAGAGAGATAGTGAAAAAAAAAGTGAAACTCTTTCTCTCTCTTTTTTGTTATTCTTCATTTCAATTTATCAAAATCTCTATGAAATAATGTTTCAGGCAACTTGTTTTCGCAATCATTGACTTTTTTTGTTCAAACAAACAGTGTATGCGTGTGTCTCTGTTTGTATGTATGATGATGGATCTACGTCGTCATCAAAAATTGAAAAACAAAACTATTTGTGAAGAGAAATTATTGAACATTGAAATCATCATCATCATGATATTTTAGGTAGGTGTCTATAGTGTAAATATTTCAATCCATTTTTGATATTCTCAATTCTCAATTCGATCAATTAAACGGTCATTTTATCCGCTTACAAAAAAAACCAGAAATGATTCATATTCACTGCTTACAATCATAATCAGATGTTTCATCTCGATTCACTACTGTGTACATGTGTGCGATTGCACAATGCTTGCAGTGAGAAAAAAATTCATTGGAAATTTGTCGTCACAAGTTTGTTTCTAGCAAATGTATCTTATTGAAGATTTTTTTTTTTTTGATTTCTCAATCTTTTTTTTTCTCTTTTATTGACCTTTTGGCCATTTTTTCTCTCTCTCATTATGGCCATCATTTTGTTAAGATTTTTGTTTTGATGAATGGCATTGACATTGGCCGATTCTTTAGATAAATTCATACAATTCCTATATATCATCATCATCATCCTCATCATCCTTTTTTTTTGAATATTTTATTAATAGAAATTGTCAATTTACATGTGTTGTGTATGTATCATTTTTCCTCATTCCTCATTCATTTCAACTCTTTTTTTTTATTTACTAATGAATTTCGCAACCATATGACCGATGATGTTCTTGTACACTGTGTGATATGCACAACATGATTAATATTTAATTCTGAATTCCAGGAATTACATATATCGCTATATATACACACACATCATCATGATTTAATCCTGTTTTTAATGCATGCATCTATATTTATAATAAACAAAACAAAACAAAAAAAAATTCTTTCCACCCTAGACACATACACATTCATTTTAATTTATTTGATTTAATTAAAAATTAAAAATGCAGATGTAGCATTCATTCATTCATTGATGCATTTATTTTCATTGAAAGAATCGATTTTTATTATAATAAAATATATAGTTGACTTTCAAATTCAATTGCATTTTATCCGTTTGAAATTGCCAAGACACGTTGTTTCAATACTCGTTTTTTTTTGTTTGTTTGTTTGATTATATATCGTCGTATCTCTCGTATATATTATGATTATTGCAAAAGAAGAAACAACTTGTACATATGAAATGCATGTTTCGTGTTGTTGATGTTGTTGTTGCCATATAATTTGACATTATTTTTACGTCATTGGATTTGTCATATACACACACAGACACACACACATACACAATCGATTCCAATTGGCGGTGGTCGTATTGCGTTCTGTTCTGTATTTTTGCATCTAATCTTTATCATCATCATCATCATCATACATACGAAAAAAAAGTCCCCGATTTTTTTTTTGATAAGTAGCGGCATAGTTTAAAGTTGATTCACAAACTTAAAGTGTAATACCGATTACTTATTTTCTATGCTTCCCAAACCTGGGGGTTTTTTCTGTTTTTGAGTGTATATCATTTTGGTTTGTCTTCATCATGTTGCAATCGTTGTCGGTTTTTTTTCTTCTTTTTTTTCCTCACTCTCTTTTGTGATGTAGTCAGTGGGTGTTGGTGATGATTGTGTGTGGGGGGAAGGGGCGAGACATTGAGAGTGCAAACCGATTGGCGCAATATGCTGAAAAAATTTGATAAAAAAAAATTGTCTATCCGTTTGTAAGTACGTGTGGTCACAATTATATATGTCTGAAAATCCGTATCCGTTAATTATATGTGTATGATGTCATTCATGGGCGCCATTTATCAATCAAATGATGATTCTATATACTTGTTGCATAAAACTATGATATCCATTGTGACCATAGCGATAAAGGCCATTTTCTTATTTTTTAGTTTTGTTTTATGTTTTACTACATCCAACTATCACTATTATATGCCACTACTTAATCATCTTTCGGATACATTATTTTTACACATTGCTATGTTTCATTGAATCATACTGCTATCATTTAAATAAATAAAGAGGAGGATGAGGAAAAAAGTATCGGTTTATATATATTATAAAATGTATTGCTACTGATCTGATGCCAATTTTTCATTTATGTCAATGAATATAATGAGGGTGAGGATATACACTCATACCCCGCTTAACGCTGCCCCGTTTAGCGCTGATTCGATATAACGCTGTATAATTACCCTACATTGCATTACATTGTTACATTGTATATGAAGGGTAAAATGCATTATGTATAAGATAGCCCCGCTTAGCGCTGTTTCGCTTAACGCTCAGAATTTTTGGAACGTAACCCCCGCGTTAAGCGGGGTATTACTGTAATAATATATATATCGTATATCCAACGAACTTGGCAGGCAGTATTATTCGATAGAAATAATGATTTTTGTTGTTGTTGTTGTTGTTTTTGTTTTTCTTTCTCCCGATTGGTAATTTTTTCACATATATAAATGTAGGATGCAGAGAAATTGAGAAATAGACAGAGAGAGAGACCGAGATAGAAGGGAATGTAAAAAAAGAGAGAGAGAGAGAGAAAGAAACAAATATACAAAGACGAAGAAGACCATTTCGTTCGCCATTTAATTTCGTTGTTGTTCCATTGCTGTGTTTTTTCCCTTTACTTCTCGAGTCTTTGGATTTGTTTTTATTTCATTATGATGATTTTTTTTCATCTTTTCCATTCATTCAACATTGATGATGATTGCTAGTAATTCTATCCAAATGTGTGTGTGTGTTGTAACGTCACAAAATATATTCAATTTTAATCAAATAACCTGGTGATGGTGGTGGTGGTGGTGGTTATGTTTGTTGTTGTGTTTAATATCATTGCAAAAAAATTCTTATATATTCGCTTGTGTTAAACAGTAAAACAAAAAAAATCAACCGCCTCATCAATAAACGGATTGCATACACACGGTATTATTTATAATACGGATTCCAATAAATCAAGTCACCAGTTTTATACCTTTAAAAATGATCTACGAATCATCATTTTATTCATCAATAACCAGCATCCTCATCATCATCATCAGCAGTCGTTTATTAAAAATTTGATTCTTCAGTGTATGTGTTATAGAATATAAAATGTTTTTTGACAAAATAAATATCTTCAAAAAAAAAATATGGCTGTGATCTTTTTCAAATATCAGGTGTTAGTGTAAATTTATTTTGCCTATCAACAACATACAACGGAATCTTCAAAAAAAAAAAAAAAAAAAAAAAAAAAAAAATTACCTTTGTCCATCATCATGACCACCGAGATTGTTAACGGGCCAAATATTTTTAACCAAAGTCATCATCATAATCATCATCATAGTCATATTAGTGATCATCATCATCAAAATAGCCAAAATGTGATCAATGTTGATGGTAATAAATTGATGGTACCGATTTTTATGGTTACCAATAGTGAAAATGATGATGTTCAAACCAGGGAACCCTCATTGATAAATCAAAGATTATCCAGTAGTAATAATAGTAGTGATGGTGATAATGGTGGTCCAACAACGCCAATATCTGTCGATTCTAAATCAAATTCATATTTTGAACGAGCTTCATCATCATCATCGTCGTCATCATCGACATTATCATCACCATCATCAAGTTCTATACATCATTCATTTCAATGGTCAAATCTACGGTCATCATCAATGACAACATTGATGTTATCAAATAATCAATCTTCCAATGTTCGACAAAATTCCTCACCATCATCATCAACACCAACTACACCGATCATCGATAATGACATATCGACATCATCATCATCCTCATCGATTTTATCGCCAAGTCCATTATCAAGTTTAAATACACAGGCATTAGTACGAACCATATCAAATGGTTCAACATTTGGACCGATACCAAATTGGCCATCAAATGATTCATCGCCTTCATCATCTTATAATACTGTGAATCCATTTTATAAAATATTTCATATCCATCCAAATCAACCTGGGTGGAAACCATCATCATCATCGGCCACTAGTCCAAATGTGTCGAGTCCAAATTCTGGATCAATAATTTCTTCACCATCATTATTTTCATCATCATCTTCGTCGTCATCATCGTCATTACCGTCATCGACAATATCATTGACGAATCATTGTATTACAAATAATCAACAATCATCATGGATACAACCACAGCCATCAACACCGCAGCCAACAATATTGGCAACAACAGCACCGGCACAAATAAATGTACCAATCAAATTGAATTTACCATTAATATTTGGCGATAATTATGTACTTACAAGTCAAATTGAAGCAAGTAATCTATATCGTTGTTTAGAATTGAATACTGCCGAAGAATTTTGGTGTAAGGTATGATGGATAATTATTATTTTTTTCCTATTTTAAATTGAATTTATGAATAGAGTTTAAAGTCATTTTTCTTTGATGTGTTTATATGTTTGATATGGATAGATTTCTGTGTCAACATCAAACACACACACACACAATATGGATGAAAAAAAAAAAAAAAATTTGAATACAGTCATAACCTTAATTGAGTACATTGGCTCAAATATTTTTCATTCGTGATGATGATGATGATGATGATGATTGTTATATTATGTGTATGTTTGTGTCTATTAGGCCATCACCATCATCAAAATTTTATATAAGCCAGGCCACCGACCGCAAACACAAATCAGGATTTTTTTTGCCCCAATAGATAGAACAGGATTTCTATATTTTTTTTTTTGCTCATTTCGTTCATTCACTTCTAGTTCAGGTCACAATAGTTTTTTTTCTGTACATAGATGGTGATCTCCCTTTTACTAAGATGCAATGCCCTGGAACTTGATGTATGTTGTTGTTGTTCCACATTTCACATTTTATGTTGTTGTTGTTGTTGTTGATGGCGTCGGGCAGTCACGAATTGTTTTATATTTTTCAATGTGATAACCTGGAAAATAAAAATAAGTCGAGCAATAGAAAAAAAAAGAAATCCATGTCACTTGCTATTCATTCCTTTTTTAGATAATCATTTTTCTTTTGTTATTGTTGTTGTTGTTGTTATATTTGACACTAGGAATTTATAATGATAATAAAAAAGAGTTGATGATTGATTGTTGATTGTTTTTGTTTTTGTTTTTTTTAATACATATAAAGGTTGTTTTAAGTAAAAATTATTACGATTTTCTTGCACCACATCTTCGTATGGATGGTCATACGGGTATTAATCAGGTACAAAAAATTATCATTGGCCGTGTTCATTCATTTATATTATTCAGTCCGTCCTTTGGTGATCTACATTCATATGTAAGAAATAAACGAAGATTACGTGAAAATGAAGCAATGCCATTGTTTCGACAGATTGTTGAAATTGTTGCCGATTGTCATCGAAACGGAATCATATTGAGAGATCTCAAACTTAGGAAATTTATTTTTAGCAATAAAGAAAGGTGAGTTGTATATTCCGATTTTTATTTAGCATAGCATTGAAACTTGTCTGATATATTCAGATTATTTATCGATTTGAATTTGTGAAACTCGTTGAATAGCAACCAAATAAACAACCAAAATTTTTTTTTCTCTTCAATTTTTCCCATGTCCATTTTTTTTTTGTTAATGGCCTAGAACCCAATTAAAATTGGAAACCTTAGAAGGAGCTTCCCTTTTTGATGATGATGATACATTAACCGATAAACATGGCTGTCCAGCATATGTTTCACCGGAAATTCTTTTATCCAATTCATTCAGTGGCCTAGCAGCCGATTGTTGGGGAATGGGTGTCATACTTTATACAATGTTAGTTGGCCGTTATCCATTTCATGATGTGAATCCATCATCAGTGTTTTGTAAGATTCGTCGTGGTTCCTATTACATTCCAGATCATTTATCTAAACATGGAAAATGTTTAATACGATCATTAATGCGTATGGATCCGGATGAACGTTTAACAGCCGACGATACATTAGCACATCGTTGGTTTGATTCTTTTCGGCCATCCATTCTAATGAATAATAGTATTATGATGAAAAGAAATTCAACAACATCAATAGCAACAGTTCCACCTTCTTCCGGTGTCTTTCCATCACAACAACAGAATCAGAATTCCTATCATCATCATCAGCAGCAGCAGCACCAGCAGCAGCATAATTATAATAACCAGAATAATAATAATAATAATTATCATCGGCAACCGAATCGTTATCAAAATTTGTCACAACAATCACCACCACAATCACCAATGGCGATGATGATGAATAATAACAACAATAACATCAATAGTAGCAATAATGGTCAACAACAATCAACATCATCATCATCGCCATCAACGTCGATGACATTATTATCATCACCATCTACATCGACAATATCATCTATACGAGCATTACAACAGCAGCAAACAGTAGCAACAGGAGCAGCTCATAATCATCATCATTATCTGTTTGCATCACAGCCATCATCATCATTATTGCCATCATGTTGTGCACATCATAGTTTATTATTATCATCATCATTATCGGCGAATTTTGACCAAGTTGTTCCCGATCTCAAATTTTGAAAATAAATATAATCAAAAAAAAAAAAAAATAAATAAAAAAAAAAAATAATTACAATTACCAAAATGACAAATTTACACACACACACACACACACACACAAAAAAACATTTAGATTTTTAAATTGAAAAATGATATGATATATATTCATTTATGGAACAAAACAAAACAAAACAAAAAACAAAATCATCATCATTTTATTTAAAGGAATAACAAATTTTTTTCTTCACTTATTGTTGTTTTCATTGTTGTTGTTGTTGTTGTTTTTTATATATTCGATCAAGTGAATTTTTTTTTTTTGAAAATAATAAAATATATTTTTACTTGAAATTCTCATCAAGATTCATGTTGCTGTTTTTTTCTGAAATTTTGTCATTTCTAAAGGTCGTGATTTGAATTCAATAACTAATATTTGTTGCATGAGTCATCGCCATCGGCCAATGATTTTTTGAATTCAAACATTATCATTATTCATCCTTGATGAATTGAACCAATCTCAGTTTTAATTTTCATTCATTTCCATTCATTCATTCATTGAGATTTAATTTCATTCCATTTTTATTGACCTTTTTTTCCAAATGTATTTAACAGTGTTGACCGCAAATTTTCATTTTGTATGTCAATAATCAATTTTTTCCCATTTAATGATGTTGAACATACAAAAAAAACAGAAACAGAAACAGAGAGAAAATAAATTTGGAACATCAACTCTACAAATGGTCCAAATTTTGATACATTCACATTGAATCAATCATGAATGAGGTTGTTGTTGTTGTTGTAAGCATCAGTGAACGAGAAATAATTGAAAAAAAATTGATTGAAAATTGGATCATACAAGAATACAACATCACAAACCACATTTGCTCGTATTTGGCAATCATAATATTTTCTGGAATAAAAAAAAATGAATTTATTCCGATTAAAAATAAACCAGATTTCCGGGCCGTTTAATTCCGTGATGATGATGATGATGATGATGATGATCATGTGGTTTGTTTTTTTTCCAAATTCAGATTAGATGTATGTGTGTGTGTGTGGTTGATATCGAGATGCAAAAGATTTTCTTCCATTTATGATCCAGATTAATTTTTGTTTTCTGTTTTTGTTTTGTTTTGTTTTTTTTCTCCTCTTGTTTGTCTCGGAAAGATCCAGGATTACAATCCGAATAACAAAAATAATAATCAGATCAATTTGATTCGTGTGTTTTTTTTTATCATCATCATAACTATATATTATTATTATTATCTGTCGATTATCGGAATGTACAGTTCAGATTCTTATTCGATATTATTTGATACGTATAAATTTTCCGGAAATTGAAATGAAATCTTTCTGAAAGTGTGTGTGTGTGTGTGTACGTCGTTATATACGTGTCAACAACAACAACAACGACGACGACAACAACGACGACGACGATGATGATGGTGATGATGATAAATAGAAATTAAACAAAATCAATAGCCTTGAATTCAAACATTCAATTCATTCATTCAATTTTGATGATGATGATGATAAGCTGATGTGGATTGTCAATGTCAACAATATTGGTTACGACACCAAAAAAAAAATGAACATTATCGTATACATGTATGTATTGAATTTATGAACTCGAAATTCAATAACAACGAACATGTATATACACATTCATTCATTCATTCATTCAGATATATTTGTACATCAATCGTTTGTGGATATCGATTTTTGTTTTTGTATTTTGTACATGCACAGGATATATACGATGAACAGCTACACAGTTAGAGGTTAAATCGAAAACAATGGGAAAAGAAAAAATGTTCTCCAAAAAATTTAACATTAATATCGATTGATCGATAAGTGATCTGTTTTTTTTTTTTGTTTTTCGTTGGAATGCAATCATTTTTCAAGGGTCCAATCGAATCGATCCATTATCAAGAGAACACGATCTCGAATTGAATTTCATTTAATTTGATTTCATCATTTCATTTCATCATCATCATCATCATCATCATCATATGATGATTGATAATAAAATTAATGAAATCACAAAAAAAAAAAAAATTTCGCTTATTTATGGACAAAACTTTTTTGTTTCATCCTCCATTTTTGTTGATATATATATCATTTATATATAAACAATAATGTGATGATGATTATTCGATAATTGACAAATCGAATCTCTCTTTCTCTCTCTTTTCATTTCCCAATAATCAGTGTATATATTATAAATTCATATTTCCTGGAATCTGAAACAAAAAATGGTTTCATCATTGAATTGATGATGATGATCAACATTATCACATTATCATCATCATATAGCACACACACACACACCCATAACTTTTGGACGGAAACGCACTCACAACAACAACAACAACAACAAAAATTTTTTTTTCTTGGTCGCAAGATTTTCTAGTCATCATCATATAGTTATATGTGTGTTGTCATCCATACATAATGATAGCAACAATGATGGCATCATCAATCGTCAATCATCAATCATGTCAATCATGTCAATCGATTGCATCAATTTTTAGGTATTTATATTTTCATATTTCGTTTCGTTTTTTTTTTTTTGATAGCAAAAAAAACGAAACGAAATCAAATTAACAATAATACCTGTTGTGTATGTAATCATGAATGATGACCAAAAAGAATTTCATTTTTCTTCCACATGAAATTACTAACCACCAACGTCATCATCATCATCATCATCATATGCATAATAATATTGCACCATTATATATGGAATTTAAATTTCAATTTCAATTCTGGAAACATAAAAGTTTCCGTACACATCATCATTGTAATCATTGTAATATAATGCAGAAAAGAAAATTGATTATCGACGAGAGAGACAAAAAAAACGAAAGAGTTATTCGTTTTCTTTTCCTGTTTATATGATTTTTTTTTGTTTAATCTTGATTTTTTTTTTTTGATTTTACAAACAAATTGGAGATCAACAACAACAACAACAACAACAACAACAAAAAGAGAACCATACATCATTCATTGCAGATATTGCTATGCTACAATGTCAGATTTTTTTTTTCATCATCATCGTTGTTGTTGTTGTTGTAATAATTACGAAATGATGATGATGATGATGATAGAAATGAAATTTTGAAAAAAAATTTTTTTATTCAATGACAGGAAACAACGAATGGTGAAGATGATTACAATAAATATGAAACCTCGTAATATACAGTAATACTATGCTTTAATACATTCATATACCTTGTAATATTCAATAACCAAAAAAAAAAAAAACAAAACAATTATCTTCATCCGAGGTGATAGTGGTTGTTGTTTGTTTGTTTGTTTGATAATTTTTTTTGTTCTTTAGCATCCAATATGAATATAGTGACAAAAAAAAAGACTAAATGAATGTGAATGGTTTTCATGTGTGTGTGTGTGTGTGTTTGTTGGTCTTATAGATAAACAATTTACAAATATTGCAAACCGAATGGATGAAAAAAATAATTTGCACTTGAATTTTTTTTTCTGTCTTTTAAACACACATAATATATACCCACCATGATGATGATGATGATGATATTTACACACACACACACACACACACACAACATGCGTACGAAAATGGTGTGATGTTTCAAAAATAAAATTTTATTTTTCTTTCATTATTGTCAATGTATGTGTGTATCATGATGATGATCAATATTTCATCATCATCATTATCATCATTTTAATGATTTTTTTTGTTGTTGTTGTTGTTGTTGAAATGTTTTTGCACCATGGTGTGTGTGTGTGTGTGTGCATACCCTTGATAATTGGTAACGATTTAATCATCATCATCGTTAACGACGATATATTGCGACATTTTTTTTTTTTTTTTGTTGAAAAGTAACCAATTTTTTATTTTCGATTTCTTTTCTTGGTTTACTGTTTTTTTTCTTTGGAGAACAAATTTTTTACTATTCCATTGAAACAAATTATTCATTTCTCATTATCATTCTTTGGAACCAAAAATGAACAAAGTAAGAGAGAGAAATTGACATTTAAATCATCGTTGAATAGTTTTAATCGATAAATTTATTCTAGTTATCGATTTTTTTTTGTAAAAAAAAATTTTACTATTATGAAATAATTTCCAGCACTTGTTTCATCATCATCAAGATGATATCGGCAATAGAATTATGGTTTTTTTTCTCTTTTTCATTTCTTTTTCCACAAGATGATGATGATGATGATGATGAAATTGATTTCGAAACCAGATCTACATTCATTTCTCTCAAACAAGTTTTTAAGGAATTTATCTTGAAAATTTTGTCTTTTTCAAACCAAAAAAAAAAATGATGATGATGATTATTATTCTGCCGCATTTAATGTTTTTCGATTCATGCCACATCACATCACAATATTCCGTGACAAATTGACCCTCAACCGCTATTGCTGCTATAAATAGCAATTATAAATGTCTTTCTTTGTTGTTGTTGTTGTTGTTGTTGTTGTTGTTGTTGCTGTATGGTTTGAATGTGAACAAACAAACAAAAAAAAAAATTCAGTGCGTGCTATCCCTATATATGGAACTAGTTTCATCATCATCATCATCTTCATCAATGATGAATTCTTTATTTTTTTTCATGTTCATTCATCCCTATTCAACACACACATTTATATATCCAATCGTCAAAAAAAAAAACATGGTTATTTCTCTCTCTGCCAGTCGTCATTGCCAATCGTCGTTGTCAATTACCTTATTTTGTGTTCTATTCATGAATCATTAAAAATCATCATCATCATCATCATCATCAGCCTGAATTTGAATTTTGTTTTCTTCTTCTTGTTTTTTTTCGGCAAAAGAATTATAATGAATGAATTTCCGTTGAAAATGAAATGAAAATTTTTTCCCAAGAAACCTTTTTTACATTCTTAAGAAAGTTTCAAATTTTTTTTTTCATCTGTATTATTCTTGGAATTGTTATTTTATTTTTTATTCCAAAGAATTTTTGTTTCCACTCTCTCTCCTTTGGTTCGTGTAATAATGATGATGATCACGATAATGAGAATAAAGGTGACACAATAACGTCCGTTACAAAGAAACAGTGTGTGTTTGATTTCAGAATGGACAAAA